TTCATGTGATAATGTTTCACCATACATACTATTCAAAGATGATTAAAGTGTTATTTACATGGTCATCCAGGTCTTTGAGCATAATCAATACTTTATTTTCTCTCAAAGTCTACAGTGTTTGTGTTTCTACAAAGGCTTCACATCTACATGTACATGTAGGCCTACTTCATTAATGTACAAAATAAAACTCTGTTTCACCCTGAGAAACAGTAGATGATGACCAAAATTGATGTATACAATTTTCAAAACATGTATTTTAATTTGGCTTTTTGCATGTATTCCACACAAGAAAGAATATGACGTGCAGGTCCTTGACTCCTTGCACACAATCATGCTGTAAGTCCAAGTAACATACAATGAGAATTGCTTGACTAAAACCATAATTCCAGTGGTGCATGTGGATCTTGCAATATTGATTTGAATTTGGTGGAGTATGAGCAGGTGTATTTTCAACACATTTATTTCAGACATTCAACTAGACCCTCTAAAAGTGTCCTTGAAGTGGCCTCAAATTCATTCACCCATGAAAGTAAATATCAGCATCACAGTGATATATAAACTTATAACGGACTTCCAGGGCATGTAGCCTTCAGTGCATTAGAATTGGCTACTACAGGTTTTGTGTATCAAAATTTAATTACAGTTTATATGATCCTCATTATTATTTTTAAAGGACTCAACTCATGTCAATGTTTAATATTATACATAAAAATAAAAATTAACAATGACAGATTAAAGGTAATACAAAGTTTTGGTATAGGGTCATGAATTTGGTTCAAATTAACATATTGAAAGCATATGTGATCCTACAATATTCAGTGATCGTTGTCGCGGTTGAAATCGAGTCTAAAGTGATGAAAATTTAAATAATAAGCTCTTTATGTTGTATAGCTCCCTCTCAAGGTCAAGATATTGATATAGTTATAAAACAATGTTTCTTGACTAAAATCGTCCGATTTTACTATCCCCGTTTGGAAATTATCAACTGAAATTCTGAGATTATCATGGTCGCAGCTATCATTGTACGGCCATAGGCGCTGTTTGAAATTTATCAAAATTTACCGGGAGCACCGGTAAATTTTGATATTCGTTATATCTCAAAATCAGAAGTGTTTTACGGGCTAATTTTTTTAGTGCTTATAATACATCTGCAGGGGCATCCAAATATATCAAAATTGTAAGGAATCAATATCCAGCCAATTTTCAAAACTTTGTATTACCTTTAATATAATCCACTCATGCAACCATCTATGTAGAAGATTGTGCAAATGACGACAGGTAGCATTCTACTTCTCACTTGCAGAGCCGACTGTACCAGAAAGGCAAAATGTAAAATCAGCAAATTTCAGATAAAAAATAATTTGCCTTTTACAACGTAGATTGATACAAAATCTTATTCCTTAAAGATGAAGTTGAGTTCTGGTCATGCGATTGCATTGTGAAAATAACGGTGTGGAACCGACCAGAAAAGGTTGATCATCTAGCATATAAGAATTTGTGTGTATTGCAAGGTTCTGGAATCATCAAAATGATAAGAAATTTGGCCAAGTCTTGGTAAAGTTACAAACACCGTACATAGAAAGATGTATATGGGACTACACGAACACGTGGCGTAAAAAGCCGGCCCCCGATTTTTACGATGTTACATGCATATTTAGAATATGAAGGCATTTGAAGAGCCATACTTTTCAGGGAACATCTCTTATCTGATGTTCTTCCACACTTGCATAATAAGAATGAGTAATGCTCACAAATTATTTTTCACCTCTTCCCAGAACTCAACCTTCTCTTTAAGTAGCAAATGTAATTATGCCAAAATAATATAAAAAACTCCACAGCAACAAACGTGCCTTTTACAATCAATGCTGGGCAATAACTTTAAGTTCAATATTCTTCCAGCAATTGGAACTTAATTAGGTGGAACAATTTTGCATTTACATGCTGTTTCTGTACAATGGTACATGTACATGTAGTTAGCAATTTTGCTCTCCTAAAACTTTAAAGGGATCCGGTAACTTTGTCTCAGATTCTGAAATAAAATCCTTGATTTAGCTCATGCTGCAATGATAATTATAAACCTTTAGGTCAGTCAGTCAGTCAGGAACCCCATGAATGTTACAAGCCGATCGCCTATCTGATTATTAAGATATTTATGATTGGAAATCTAAACTAAATTTTGCTTTGCCAAACGGTTTTCATAACACTACAGTCTATTGGGGAAAACGAGTGGTAAAACCGGTCACTCAAAGATTGTTACTTTTTTGAGGCACTTCTTGATCATTTTGAAGTGCAATTTTTGTTAAGGCTTCAATATTACCCCAATAATCACAGACACTGATAACACGTAGTGCCGTGTAACTCAGATTTAACATTGTTAAACATGCCTTTAAAACAGGAGTTTTAAAAGAAACTCACAAACACACTTGCGTAGATGACAGACCATCTATTTTAAATGCTTGTTTGTATTTTGTAGGACATTGTAGGAGATGCAGCAGTCATGGCGGGACAGTAAATCTACTAGTAGATCCAGGATAACCTTGCAGACAACTTTGGGCTCTAGTTCACAAGTGTGCCCATACATTGGACCTGTGACTTGCGCGTGGAGAGTAGTACCCTACTATGACATACCAAATATCAACTAAATCTTCAATGATTGTTCAAATATTGGTAATTATTTCAAAATCATTATCTTTCTAACCTGTTTTGTGTCAATTTTCTTATCTTTTTTCTTCTTTTTTTTTTTGGGGGGGGGGAGAATTTTTCTAAAAACAAAGATATTATAATATACAATTTCTCACAGGTTTCACTGCAAATCACTGCACAATACAAGTGCATATCTCGTTATACAGTCGCGTGTTGATGGGCAGCCGCACAGGTGCGTGAAGTTTGCGACCCTAATGTACCATGTGACAAGATAGACCTGGGACCCGTCTTAAAATTAAAGAGTTGATATCAATCGCAAATATGTACATGAAAGATAGGGAACTGTAGTGTAGCCTTGAGTACACAAGATAAGAGATGGATTGGAATTGCTGGATACATCATTTTTATTTGTAGTGTAGCATTCCATACATGGAATAATGCCAAGATCCTCGTCTTGCCACTAGTTGGCAGCATGACAGTAGGGATACTACATCCCTCCCTTTCCAGTCTTAGACAGTTTGTAACTACCGTAAATCTCTGTGTATAAGGCGCACTTTTTTTCCGTCGGCAAAAATCATAAGTCGGGGTTGCGTCTTATACACAGGTACAGAATATTTTCAGTCCTCAAAATGCTACTTTTTAGTGGTTTTCGAAAATCTCTGTGTCTCATGAATCACATAATGGAAATAAAGTATAGGATCTACTATTTGCAGTTTAACTACGTTCCTAATTTGAAGGGAAGAGATTTTTTTTTTGCCGGCCCAAGCTCTCCCGTGTCTTCAGCTCACTCACCTGTATCATGCAGCTCCAGGCGCGTACGCAGGGGGGGGGGGGGGGGGGGGGTTGGGGGTTAAACCCCCCCCTTGAGTTTTTTTTTTGGTGTTTTTTGTGAAACCTTACCCCCCCCCAACGAAACATAATGTCAAATTTTCAAATTTCGAGACCAAAAAAAAAAAAGTGTCCTCTTACCCCCCCCCCCCCCCCCCTGTCATCTTTAGTTTTAAAAACAACATTGTTACTAGGTCTAACTTAGTTCACAAGCACTTCAACTGTGCCTCGTAATAAAATGAAAGTATTTTTGAACACTGAAATGAGAGCCAACAAGCTAAAAAAGCCCAAATAGCTTTTGAGTGGCTTTTTTGAATTTTTTTTTGATTTTTTTTTTTTTTGAAGAAAAAAAACATGAAAAACACTGCTAAAATGGATCTATTTATGATTTTTTTTTTTTTTTTTTAAATTGTCGGCCGCCATCTTAAAAAATAGCCCGAATGTCAGGGAAAATATACCAAGCGTCCATTTTGAGCGGCCATTTTGAAAAGAAAAAAAAAATTGAAAAAACAGGACGCTAAACATGTTTGTTTTTTTATTTGGCCTAAGGAAAATTCAATCGGTATTTTCATCGGTGTGACTCCGATAGAAGCCAGTTAGAAAGCAGTATGAGTGTAATTTGTTGTTCATATTTAGATCCTCCATTGGTCTGTTAGTATTGCCTTACAGTTGAAGTTTGATTTCTTGATCATAGCTATCTCTCGAGGAAGAAAGACAAAACTGTGACATAATATATGATTTGCATTAATTATATTACAGGTTTTGTTACTGAATTGTGTCAATTGCAATCTTATTAAAACAAGCTTCATGATCAGAAATGTAGATATTGCCATTTTGAGCGGCCATTTAGAAAGAAAAAAAAAAGAAAAAAAGGGCCTCCTCCTTCCTAGACCTATTTTTCGAAAAACAGGACGCTAGACCTAAACATGTTTTTTTTTTTTTATTTGGGCTTAGTATATTAACACAGCGCAGCCAACCCTCTCGCATTTGGAGGTAGACCGAAAGCTTCAGTCTCTGATATCGACGGTGGTTCCGCTGAGATTACATCTGGCTCCACTGACCGCCTCTAGACTATACATAGACTGAAGTACGGCCTATGTCGTACCTAGTGGAATAAATGGTTCGTTTCGGCATATGGGGAATGTCAACAAATGTCAGTTTTATTAAAGAAATGACCCATATCAGACGGTTATTTCTGTCTAATTTGGAGGGAGTCTCACGCCACCAGCTCGTAGCAGGAGACTCCTGCCACGGGGGGGGGGGGGGTGTTGAGTGCTCACTACCCCCCCCCCCCCCCCTGGTTAATGGTTGGGCCAACAAAAATTGCATACGGTTACAGTTCCCCAAAGTTGACAGATTACCATTACATCATTATTATCTAGCTTACTAAACAAAAGAACTATAGAGGGTCTAACCACATTTAACAAAAATAGACTAGTAGAGGTCTAGGCCTACTAGTCTACCAACACTGACACTAGATCAAGGGCTGGCCTACAGTTACAAATAAAATCTTTTTTGTTTGGACTTACCGCACATCTACATACAACATCGGCCTCTGTCGCCAGCAAGTCGACCAGTTTCCCTTTTCCTTCATCGCCCCACTGTGCTCCCAAGACCACATTGACTTTATTGACTGGCTCTAGTCGCATCTTCTTTGAATTTGTACTTATAGAATTCGAGTTATTTTCGTGGCTGTTTTCGTGGCTGTTCATGTCGAGAGTTGGGGTTTTCCTGCTATGTCTAAAAACACTCAGGAAAGCGAGAGCATGCACGTCGATTCACTGTACTGAATGCAACGTAAATAAAGAGAGATCGCGCGCGATTTCGAGATCAGACAGGGTACTGAGTCCTCTACGTTACATGTGTTTTGCGCGGGTACGATCAAGCAGCGCGCGCAGTCCTGAGACAACATCAGTGATTGGTGTATTCTGGAGGTGTGGTCGTAAATAATTTACGTACACGATTCATTTCATCACCTATTTTGTCGAAAATGATGTAGTCTACATTATGTCAAAACAAATCACAAATATGTGATTTTTAACTCGCTTTAAGACCTGTTCATTTGGAAGAATATCAGAGCAGAAAATCCTCTGAATATAGGATTGCTCTTCACTGCATGCCCTCACTTCGAAATAGTAGGCCTAAAAAATTATGATACTGCAGTATCATAATTTTAAAACACGAGGTTTGTACCACACATTCATCATAACACAAGCGCCACATGAAGTGCATGTGACTTTCAGCAAGATTTAATTACTTTTTTATAATTTTTATTATTGTAATAATTTCAAATCATGATAGGTAGCGCATCCTAACCCCACAACCAGGACAACGCGAACTTCACTTGAATTTTCCTTTTTTTTCTCCTGATCGACGTGGCTGATGAAAAAAAAAACTCAGTTTATACCCGGTTGTCACGATTCCAATTTGAATGCCTATTATATACATTGCCCGAAAACGAATTTGCATATACTCCCAATGAGGTTGGGTCAGATTTAGTGGTACCGGTCAGTGGAAGTATAAACTTTCTACAATTTAATAAAAATGACAATAAGAACATAACAAATAACCTTAACCACTGCAATGCAGATTATAGCAATGCACATTAGGCCTATGTACTATGAACAACTATTCTAAGATTGTCAAATGTGGTAGAAGTTTCCGAGGTCTGTATCTTGTGAACGACCGCGACGTTTCAATTTCCATCAGCCCTTTCTCTCTACCACCTTTTTTTATGGAAGGGTCAATCTTCCAGGCTGTATCCATCATATTTTTAGAGGGAATAGCGCCGTTAGAAACACCTGGGTCGTTAAAGCAGACATTCTAAAAATTATATTACTATAATTATGTCAATGGAAATCTTTTGACCTCAGGAATTTGGAAAACATTATATTAGATTTTTTTAAATCGTTAAAAAAAAAATATATATATATTTCATCATTCATTTTCTCCCCCCAAAAACCCAATGAAACGCCCAAAACAATGTGACTTAGGCGATAGTAGCATGTCCCCTTAACATACAAAAAATATTACCACTACATGGAGTCTATGGCTTTTGGTATAGTTTGTTGCATGTTTTGAATTCCATGCCGATTATGTTCTTTGAATTAGATAAACTAAAACAGAAGAAAAGGGTAATGTTGCTTATAACATAAAACTGACGAAATGAAGAGATGAAAGAATCAATATAAATTAACACAATTATGTAAGTAATATTGCGATCGCTATTGCCGGTCATCATTCATGCTCAAATCGCACTGACCAACAAAATCACATCAAATCAAACATCTCTCAATGTTTGTTTCGTATATGGTATATTGGTTAGTCGAGGCTTAGGCCCACCCCCCCCCCCCCCCCCAACCCCCCAACAAATACATTTGTTTTTCCTCGACCGCCCGCTCGTCATTTTCGGGCCGCTCGTTTTTTTTTTTTTTTTTTTTTTGGGGGGGGGGGGGGGAGCAATCTTAAATGCCAAGCATACCATTTTATGCAAGGATCAAAATGCATCCCGTTACCAGTTTGGTCTTTTCAGTACGCAATCTGTATTAATTAAACTTGCCATTTTTATTTTTCTATGTCAAAATGCCGTTCATTCAAATCAGGTTCTGAGCATTCTTAAACTCATTTTAAAGCCCATCTGTACTAGTTTACAGGAGGGATTAGACCATCCTGCAAGGTCACTGGACAGGTGGTTATCTCATCAAATCAGCTCTCAGTTAACAAATGATAAAGAGGATCATGGGGGACCAATGGTTATCGATTAGGCATTGTTTGCTTTATAGAGGGCACACGTAGCTTTAAGTAGTAGGCCTACAGTGTGGATTTAAAAGGTGCTGTATTTCAAAGCCAAAAATGCTTTCTGTGTTGGTCTTGATATTCATTGTACATTAAACTAGTCTTTTACCATTACCATTTTAAATGCTTGACATCCCAATTATTTTTTATTTTTTTCATGGAAAAATATTTATAAAAAAAAAAAAAAAAAAAAAAAAAAATCCGCCCGCCCGCCCCTAATCCAGAAAAGCAATCGAGGACAACCAAATGATTTTTTTTGTTGGCCTTATTGAAATAAATTTCACAACATTCTTTGTTGTAAATTTTACTTATTTTAGCCTTTTTTCGATGGAGATTTATCCCAACACTCGTCTTCTCCAAGCTCCATCGGCTTCCAACTGCGATCTCTGCCGTCTATAGTCTACTAAGAAAGTTCGTAATTCGCCATTGTACATTGCGTCGGTGGAATCTACCCACTCACGATCAAACATATTCGACATGTAAACATTCAAACCAAATAATTTAATTCAACTTAACTAAAGATTATTGTGTTGTACACTATGTACCTGGTATTTTCTATTTAAACAGAAATATGTTTTATGTTGATTTGTAATAATAATACACCTTTTAGGTTTAAGTCCCGCTAGTTCCAAGATTTTTTCTGACTTGTTTTTCAATACAGATCGATCAATCGATCTTATTTACTGGGTGTAAGCCACAAATATGTTTAAATAAATAATGCACCTGTGTAACATAATCTTCATGAAAAACAGTTTATAAATATTTAACTACATGTATGTAATTTCATAAGGCAACTTGGGATTTATTTCAGTAGCAATTGAAGAAAGTAAAGATTAATAAATTCCCCCTTCCCCCTTCTCACACCTCTGATAAAATTAATGCCTCTTTTAAAATCTGAGAGGTGACCCTTATAATTTGACAAGTGCCTCTTTTCTATTGTACTGCATGTGCCCCCTTTTTATTCTTATAAGTGCCTCTTTTCATCTCCGGTAAGTTCAGAATTCATATGCTTCTATAGAATATCAGTTTAATAGGAAAGAACAACTGGACAGATATCTACGATTAATGTCATCCTTTTAAATTCTACATGATTTAAACTAAATATGACGAATTCTGAAGAAGATTCGTTTTTCGAACATAGGGCCCGAATTCACAAAGGGGGTTTGTAGACAAAATAATCTAGGGTTATGTGCGTCTTAAAGGGATCGTTTAACAATAATAAATCTGAGATACACCGCCCTACGTGTTATCAGTGTCTGTGATATGGTGTACTATTGAAGCCCTAAAAAAATTGCGCTTCAAAATGATCAAGAAGTGCCTCAACAAAGTAAAACTCTTTGAGTGACCGGTGTTACCATATTCGTTTTCCCCAATAGACTGTAGTGTTATGAAAACCGTCAGGCGAACGGTTTTCAAAATTTGTAATTCCAATCATAAATATCTTGATAATCAGACAGGCGATCGGCTTGTAAAAGTCATGGGGATCCTGACTGACCTAAAGTTTTATGATTATCATTGCATCATGAGCTAAATCCAGAATTTTGTTTCATAATCTGAGACAAAGTTACCGGATCCCTTTAATGACGCGTTTTGACGTGTTTCAAACCTAGGATTGTCTACTTACCTCCATAGTGAATTCGGGCCCTAGAGTTTTCTAGACATACAAAATAATCACATTTTTTACCAAATAAATGACCTTCGGACACACACAAATTACTATTTACATTCCCCCTCTATTGTCGGATAAGATTTCTATATTGGAAGGAATCCACTTTACAAACACAAGTTGTTGATGAATCGGGCAAACCTCCGACAAGCGTGCGGGTCAGCGTGATAAAATGCATGCAAGTTGAATAACTTACTAGATTTGTCTACTCTGATTGATATCAAGATTCCAATCGACCACGATGTATTCACTAATTAAATGTCTACAATAATCACTTCACCAATGGATATAAAAGCTTTTTCGCCGCTAGCCCTACATAACAATTTCTATGTAACCCGCATTCTAACTATTGAATAGAAAAGGACATAACAGGTGAATACCATTAATCATCAGCACGTTGAAAGTAGCTCCTGTTATTGTAAATAGATTTATAAACTGGCATTATTCTTTCGCATTCTAGTTATTCTACCAAAAAATGCAGCTTGAGTAATGTAATAACGATACTGCTTTGCTGGGTCATCCTCAGTTAAGCACCGGGTTCCAAGCATTCTTTTTTGTACGTGAATGAATTATGCAAACACTCCGCGATACGCACATAAAGATGACGTCACGTGGTACCACCTCGTTAGCCAATCACCGTGCGTTCAATGTCACCTGTGGCTGACACCAGCGGGTGTGTCTTTTGCAACCCATATTCATTCTAGAGATTCAACGCGGCTTAGATTGTTGGCGCTCTTGATGATCTTCAAGACTTCTATTCGGTGAGTTTCAGGAACATGTACCGCTTTAAGGATCGGTCTCCAAATAAAATGTCAAGCGTATAATAAAGAGTAGATGTTTTGTTCATATTTGTACTCAAATTTTGAGGAAATACTTCAAGTCTTTTAATGTTATTTCTACCCCCCTTTCATGTTAACGGTAAGCCTGCAGCTAAAAGATCAATTATTTCCTGAGTATCCAACGTTGACCGGCTGCAGGATGATGTTGGAATTCATTTCTTAATGATTCATGTGTATAATCTACATAGAGTTTTCTTTAATTGCTACAATGTTGCTACAAAACATAATTATTTAATGATTGTACTGTTTGCCAGATCACCAGTGAACTTCGAACGTTAAGAGAACAAGAGAGAGAGAGAGAGGTTGGCTTAACATAATGGATGCCACAAGAGCTGTGAGGCGGTCACGTGGACTTGGTAGGAGTGAGCAGGACAAGGAGAACCGAGGAAGACGGGTAGCTTTGAGGAAAGGCGTGGTGACCAACAAATCCTGCAGTACAAGAACACTGTCTACCTTACATCGCAGACACTCTGTCGATGAGGGTCCTCGTGGGCACATCGGCAGAAGAGATGGGTCGAAGATTCCTATCTTCAAGACTAGGTCAAGAGGTCGACGGCTGGCTATAGTCGGAAAATGCAAGAATGTTGTGAAGATACAGAATTTGGCTGCATCTCCATCAGAGGATGAACTTCCCCTGAAGGTACCCACCAATACGCCCACAGAGGAGGGAGCACCGTCAGGTATGGCATGATATCCAATTACAATACTTTCTAACAAGAATACACTTCTATTGTGATGTTTTCATATGTGTTCAATGCCATAATACGGGAATCAACTTCTCTTTATAATCACCATGAAAAATAACGCTTATGTGGAGGGATTACAGACAAGTGACCCACTTATTTTGTAAGTCAGTATAATAGTAGAAACCATTGAATGATTCTGTATTTTAACTCTGTAAAATGTAAAGTCTTCACATTTATCTAATCTGGGAGGTAAAGTTCAAGAAATGGCTTCCATGAATTTGTATTTTAATTAGCGAAGAGTTAAAAAAAAAAGGATGTAAAAACATTGCCCATGGCGAGGAAGCCCGTATCATAACAGATTCTGGAGATTAAGAGAAAAAAAATGGACAACAAATTTGGTTGCCCTTGAGGCTAGCCCTAGGGCAAAAGTAATTCGAGTCATTTGAGAAATATTTTCCGTCCCCCGAAGACATAAATGAAATTAAGAACTTCTGGCATCAAAGGAGGGGGATGGGACGAGACTTATTATTATAGTTACATAACATAATCAAAGCTATATAAAGAAAACACAAATATCAATCTACATTTTGTATGAATTGCAATGGCCAAGCACTTCTTATTCTGTATTTTTTTTAAAGTAACACAAATAATATCCATAAGATTTTTAATTTACACTTTTTAAGCATGTCAAATCTCAGAGGACGACATGATATTCCTGATGCGAAAGGTCACCTTCAACGATTTCTTTGACGTATCCATGGAAACTGAGTCATCTTTGATCTCCCATGATGGATACAAGGGTGATATTCTGTCTTATCTGAAGGTTAGAAGCAAGAAGCAAGGGTCGTAGTCAAGGGCGGGTGCGATGAGGCAGGTGCCCCCACAAATATCCAGTGCCCTCGATAACCAAATTTTTGTTCTTCAAAGTAAAAATATCAACGGTGGAAGGGGGGGGGGTCACTTAAAATTAAAAGATTGCAATTTCGAAAAGCGTATAAAAAGTGATACATGAGAATGATGTTCAAACACTTTCATGATTAAAGAATGCAAGATTATTATAATGGAATGATTATTTACAGATGATGATTATAAATTGTGATCATAATTATTGCTACACAATGTTCTAGGTCCTGTTGAAAAATACATTTGACCAATCGCGTGACATCCGTAATTATCCATTGATGTATACAGTGCGTCCCAGAAAAAACGAAACCGAGAATTATCGATGTTTTATCAAAACTTAATCACAATTATGATTGATGAATGACACATAATTATTCGGAAAGTTTAGATCCTCTTTCATTATTTTGATGCAACTCATAATAATGCATATTTCACGCATGAGTGACGAAAATGAATTTGAAAACCAAAAAGTCATTTGGCGGACGGTATCTGAATTTCAAAGAGGAAAATTGTTACTTTGTGAAATTGAATTTTTTTTCTCTATTTTTCGTCTGAACCAAATATTCCAGGAAAGAGAAAGTGTTGTTGCTTCGAGGAGTGCATCGATCCCACCTACTGTGGATCCATTACATCGTGAAATACTGGTCGACTGGCTTATAGATGTACAAGTAAGCATATTGCGAATGTCATTTAACTGGTTCATAGTTGCTATTTAAAAAAAGTTATGTTCAGGTTTTTATTAGAAGATCTCGCCATGTTGGCAAGTCCAGGATTTTTGTCAGTTGGAGTTCATGTTCGAGAATACCAAAGTTCATAATATTAACTTTATAAGCATTATAATAATATTTGTCTGATCTAAGCTCCAGTGTTGCTATTAACTTCATACAATAATCAGATATAATGAATATTAAATGTTATATGTGCAGGTCGGAAGAGTCGGGACAAAATAGCTTGAACTTGCTCAATTATCGAATAAGATCGAAGATAACGAGAAATAGAAACATATCAACATATTTTTGCATTGAATATTAAAGCATTTAATTAAAGTAAGTCATTAAAAAAAAGATTGTTGCACATTGCATTTACTTTAATTTGAGGGGAACGAGAAATGGCATATGAACTATGAACTAAATGCAAAAACAGCATATTTCTATATAGAAACATTAATTTGCAGTATTTATGTCAGTTTGGCAGATGCATAGAGTTGTGATAGAGATCTAACCGGAGTTCTAAATACCATTTAATTTGTAATCTTTATTTCAATTTCAGGTTCATCTCACCCTTGAGAACGCAACTTTGCATTTAGCCGTCGCCATGGTTGATGCCTACCTGCTGAAGCGGTCTATCTCCTTGCACTATCTTCAGCTTTTAGGACTTACCTGTCTCTTTATCGCCTCAAAGTATGAGGAGGTCTACGTTCCAAATGTTAGTATTCCTATCTAGGGGCGTCAAACTATTTTTTTTTTGGGGGGGGAGGGGGGAGGAGGTTGACGGGACGGCGTGCAGGACGGAAATTGCTGACAAGTTTTCCCTCAAAATTTTCAACACAGAAATAGAGGTATTTACTTTAATTTGCCGATAAGGGAGCAACAACAACAAAATGGTTCTGGGATATAGCAATCCTGGAAGGCTGTCTCTTGGTCTTTGAACAGAAGGGTAAATTGAAGTTATATTTGCTTATATTATTCCGATCATACACGATTTTTTTTTTAATATAGAAGCAAAAATATGCAGATCGATGATTGCACAGATTTCGAGAATTTCAAAATCATCTTGTTTATCTCATGACATCATGTTCGGATTACTTAATTTTCATGTTCGCATGTTTCAATGGGTGATAGACAAAGGTATTGAAATTGCCCCGGGAAATTGCCTTGGTTGATTTTTCCCGAAAGTCTTTGCGATCTGTTAATTCTATTTGATATCATTTCTATGTATTTCGTTTTCATAGTTGGATATTCTTTCTATGCTGTGTGCCGAATGCTACAAAGAGGAAGAATTTTTGATAATGGAACGACGGATCCTTCGTGCCTTGGATTTCAATCTGTTTTTCCCAACAACTGTCGATTTTTTGACTCTGTTTCTTGCCCCATCTGAAGTTGACGATGAACGGGTAATAATTTATTTTAAACTTTTGCATCAAGATTTTACCTTCACCTCTCTTGATTTAATTTGGCCAGCCGCTTGACGGTTAATTCTTCTTTACTTTTAGTTTTCGCGTACTTATTATTTTCCCGCTTCAATTCCATATGTTAACATATTAAAACAATCTTATTGCGACGTAGTTGCTTAAAAAGTAGGGTCACAACAGCGATCTCTTTTTGCTTATTTGACAAATTTTGGTAACTATTTCTTTCCTAATACGCAATAGGATTTTGTTTTGTCTTAAATCTATGAAGCATCGACCCAAATTGTCAGTTCACGAGGGAAAGATGTATAACACAGACTCTAAGTTGACACACACAACATTACTGAATGGAAACTAAGCTTGAAAAGTGCTGTTACTTTCTTTGAAAGCATGATAAACAATAATAGTTTCATTTGTTTGTTCAGATAAAATGAAACACAATATTAGTCGAATATCATTGAACATAGTTTCAAGTTGATGTAGATGAAATGAAAGCTTTACATTGAATAATATAAAATCTCTTATTTTCTTCTCAAATTATAGCTGGTTTTCATGTGCAACTATCTGGTTGATCTCACCTTATCGATTTCCCATTCCGAGAACTCCTGCCCGTCGATTTGGGCGGCTGCCGCGATTTTCTTGGCTCTTACAATCCGAAAATCGGAAACCCGTCACAAATCTGACAACAGCGATCTCCTAAAGGATCGAGTGGACGATCCCGATGACACGGTGTGGGGTTTAAAACTACAGACGATGACAGGGTACAGTGAGTTCTACCTGACTGAGCTGGCCAAAGCGCTGGTGGAGAAAGTGCATGCAACTAAAGTTGCCAAGTATAAGGTAAAGTGTATTTTCTTCACAATAGTGTAGTTTTATAAAGTTAATGTTAAGAGAGACCGTATAGGGAGGCAGAGGGCGATTGCCTTTTATCAGTCCCTGTGCCCTCTTTCATTCTTAGCAATTTTCAGAGCAAACAACACTCTATTAAGGAAACAAAAACCTAAGAATTCCTTTTTGGCGCAACTCCTGAGAATATAATGCATGATTATTAATATCTCCACTAAAAACTATAGTCTATAACTAATAAATGACACATAATTTTTTTCACTACCGTCACTTCGTGAAAACAGCGACGAATATTTGGAAAGCTTAGATCCTCTTTCATTATTTTGATGCAACTCATTATGATGCATAGTTCACGCATGATTGATTAAAATCAATTTGAAGAGAGGAAACCGAAAAGTCGGTTGGCGGGCGGTATCTGAATTTCAAAGAAAGTTGGGTTTTTGCCCTTTCATATGACACCTCAATCAGGAAAAAATGAGCAAGGAATGACAAAGTTCTGTTTGTTTAAAGTAGCCCTTACATTTTCATAATTTTAGCAAACAAATTCGTTTTCACTGACTGCCTGCCGTAGCAAAAAGCAGAATTGACAAAAGACTTAACTCCGTTTCGTTGACAATATTAGCCATGCATGAAGTCTTTCGTCTACGGCTGATTGTCAACGAAACGGAGTTAAGTTTTTTGTTATTTTCGTTTGTTGATACGGCAGGCAGCCAGTGAAAACGAATTCGTTTAATCAAATTATGGAAATGCAAGCACCACTTTAAACAAACAGAACGTTGTTATTCCTAGCTCATTTTTCCTGATTGAGGTGTCATATGAGAGGGCAGAAACTCAACTTTTTAGAAATGTGACTTTCTGTTAGAAATTCAGATATCGTCCGCCAAATGACTTTTTATTTTCCTCTCTTCAAATTGATTTTAATCACTCATGCGTGAAATATGCATTATTATGAGTGGCATCAAATGAAAGAGGAGGATCTAAGCTTTCCAAATATGTGTTATTTATCAATTATAATTGTGATTAAGTTGATATGATAAAACATAAAAAATTATCGGTTTCGTTTTATCTGGGACGCACTGTATATAAATAACCAAGGAGATTTAATCAGTTCACATCAGCATCTTCAGTAGATGTAAACTTATTTATGTATCCGCTTTTCGAAATGTTTTGATTAGCTCATGATTCAATTGGTTAGGACTAATCACAGGGGGAAAAAATCTATTCTTCTCATTTCGGTTTACCTTTCAAACCCGACATCACAGGCACCGTATCGGAAATACAACATCGAGGGTTTCCAGTTCATCAGTGAAGAGCTAGCCAAATGGTGCTCTGCCCCCGTACACTTAGCCGCCCACGACCTCGTGCCTCTTGGTCAAATAGCTGAGCTCTACTGAACGGATACTGGCACTCGTATTCCTTGACCGCGTGAGATGGACATGGATCACCAACATTACGTGCTCTGTCTCTAATGAACGGAGACTAGTACCCCTTGAACGCGTGAGCTACAGACTCTGTACACGGCCTCTGCTGAACGGATAATAGTGCTCCTTGAATGCGCGAGAAAGGCCTTCTGCAATCACCAACATATTAAGTAGGGCCTCCTTAAAATGGCGTGCATTTCTAGGTCTCTATAATTGGGTGGAAACAGGGTTATAACTGTGAATGCAGGGAGATGAAAGTTAAATGAAATTGACATCAGCTTCAAACATGTTAGCCCTCTCCACCCATCTCACTGCCCTATGACAGCTAAAAATTTGAGAAAATAAAATAAAAAATGTTTGAAAACTGAAGCGTCTTGCCAGAGCAAAGATTATATTTAAAAGTGATGTATATATTTACTATATTTATATCTATATTTATATTTATTCTATGAAATTTAATGTATTGTCTATGTTCATTGTAATGTGATTTCTGCTACTTATGTCATGGTATTTTCATGGTAATGATGTGAATTGTTAAATGCAATATTAGAAGTACAAGTGTAGAATGAAAACAAAGTGTTTCGGCTGAATATCATCAGGGTGAATCTGATCTAATTTTAATGTAAAAACAACTTTAACAAGTAAACAACGTGAAAAATATGTGTTCTAGTTGAAAAGTGTTTTATGGGGTAATGCTAGACCGTATACACTGACCCTGAAAGGTATTAATAATGTCAAATATGTTTTCCAATATTTTGATGGGTCTTGCTAAGACTAGTTTCGGCAATCAAATAAGCAGTCTATTATAATTTTTCAAAAATTAGAAGTTTTAGAGTGTTCCGTCTACAGATAACCTCACAAAGCAAGATAATGGTCTAGCACAAAACTAATGTATTAAGGTCCTAATGATTCTAACCTTTGCTGACCTTCTTAATTCAGCTCCTTGAAGCCCCCCTTCCAAAAAAAAAAATTCTGCCAATATAAGAAAGAAATAGACCATTGTCCAGCCATTGTTATATCTACATTTCATGTTTTTTCTGCATATTTCCCTTTGGAAAACGAGTGTTTTTGGAAAACGAATGCCCAGATTAAACGTTTTTACTAAACCCTAGCAGAGTGATTTTTTTCCTTCCCATTTGTTTTAAGAATACAATCTAGAAAGTTAGGGCACATTTTTAAAAATCTCTATTTAAACTATATATATATATATGAACATATTGTAATTAGCCACAAATTATTAATTTTAGATGTTATATCTCTTGTCTTCCATTTTATATTTTTTCTAGTTTTGTTTTCTGTACATATTTCCTTTAATGATTTTGTTTCTTGGTCACTTAAAGAGTTTGTTGAGTCATCAAGATACATGTACATCAATGACATTCCGTTGTAGCAAAATAAGTTTAAGGAATTTCATGTTATATTCATATTTTGTTTTGTTTGTAAAATATTCTTTTCAATCTGTTATTGTTTGATGATTCTATCAACAATTGTATAAGGTTACATCATGTATATTCTTTCATGTAAAATGAAAAATTGTTTGTTTACTGCACGTGTTGTTAATGTTGCCTTTCTACTGTTCACTATTCTTTATTTTTTTCATTTGGTGATGGCATCATTCATTTAAGAAATCACTCACAATTTGTTTTGTTCACGTTTTGTTTTTGGTAGAATAGTATACGTAGCTGCAATAAATATTCTTGTACAAGAAATATATCGTCTATTTGTATAGTTTTTGGATTTTGACTCTTATGACCATGAATTCCCAATTCTTTAATAAAACAATGTAGTAATCAAGTTATTTGGAGGGGAGGGAGATAATAATAAAAGAAAAAAAAGGTAGATCAAAATTTTCTGGCACATTTTCTTCTGGTAGCTGGAACTATCATTTGATTTGTCTTTTTTTTTGTGCTTCATTTTGAAAGAGTAAACAGGAAAATTTCAAACCTACTAGAATTTTCTTTACATTGAAATGCACTTTTCATCTGGGGAACAGAGGGTAGTACTACCTTTCTCACACATAAAAAGATAATCAGAGAAACGAGTTGGTGACGGTTTGATGCCGGACAAATAAAGTTGTTGATGAAACATGAGAACAATATACACTTAATGTAAATCTGATAATAGAAAATGCATTAACCAAGTAAAATGCTTTCTGTCAATACTGCACTCGACACCGATTATGGATGTCATATGCTACTGACAATATGTGAAGGAAGTTGTAAGAAAGGATATCAAGGTTAATATTGGGTAGGAGCAACTGGCGGAGTTTTGATGACATATCTCAATGACTTTGACAATTAACATATATACTGTGATCTCAAATTTAAAAAAGGTATATTCCCATCATCTGCTTCTCTGATTTGTTCTGCTCTTCTTCAAAGCCTATAAACATCTACACCACACACTGAATATTCATGAGAAATATTTCACTTAATGTTGTTTTCTTGGTCACCTGACTGACACTGTTTGATATATTTTGTTTTTTATGAATTCTTCAGAATACCAAGTATTTTCAATGCCCAACTGAAGAAAAAAAGATTGCAAAATCCCTATCAAATGGCAAATTTTAGCAGCATTTTCAAATGACTGACAGCAATACAATACAGAAATTTATGAATTGATAGAAATGTTACATTTATTAGTAGCTTTGTACAAGCGGCACAATTTATATAAATAACTTACATCTTATGTACAAGTAGAAATACACCTTTGAAAAGAAAGGCTAAATATAAAACAATTGCTCAAGGTCGGGGGCAAACACAATTACCCATATTCTACTAAATTTGAACCTGATATTGGGTTTATGCTCGGTCTAAAGTTGAGTTTAACAAAAGATAAAGTCTTAGGATGAACTAAAGTTAAACCTGTACAGTATGGGTCAAAGATATACTCTCCAAAATGCATACCCTGATGAACTAGGCTGTATTGTGACATGCACCATATATAAAATGGTTGCCAATATAGTTATGGGAAAACAATTGTTGTTTGCTATTAAATTCCATTAACCGTTCAGCTGAAGCTTAATAGTACATGTACAGTGTAACTTGATTTACAAGTTATATAGAGAGATCACCTATGAAAATAAAAAAAATATTCTCTTGTACAATGCTTATCATTGGACATCCTGTACACGTTTCTCTGTAGTTCCAAAGTAATGTAGTTCTGTCACGATCATATTTATCTTCATGTAAATCTGGCATTTCAAACTTTACCCTCCATGCCATTCCATTCCAAGTACAAAATACAAATCTAAACTTTGTGCACACATTGCATGTATAAATATTGCATCAAATTACAATGTATAATCATCAAATAGAATTACAGTGTGATTTTGTCTTTAGATACTCAAAAGTATGCTTGTCTAGAACAAAGAGTCTCGGGTCTTTCTTGAGAAGACTATAGTCAAGTCTAGTACAGTCCTCTCAATACTCTATCATAAGAGACAGTCCATACATATTCAGAAAATAATATTTGGAACTTAAAGACTTGCAGGTGATTTTATGAGGAGATGGTACAGTATTCCTTATGCTTTCAAATAGATAACATTTAATGGGTACCCAGAAAGAGAGTGTTTGGAGCTAGAACACTAGAGATATTTTCTTGAGGAGAGTACAGTCAACTCACTAAACAAGAGAAAGTTCATAGGTGTTCACAAGTGTCTTGGTCCAAAACCTTCGGAAGAGGACAGTACCTCTCAGTGCTCTCATATACCAGACAGTTTATAGGTATTCACTTCTCAGAAAGCTATTCGGAGCTAGAAGACCATTCATCCTCTCTTGATACAATAGCCAGTCCTCCTAATGCTCTGTAATAAATACCTTAAACAGATTCAGAAAAATACTAGATGGAATTCGACTGCGCGCAGTCGAAAATGATGCCTCCGTCATAGAGCAATTTTACAAACCAAAACAGAAGAAATTTTTCGAATTCAATTTCAATTGTAATCCATTGACAGGTTCTCAGAATATCGTGATAACAAGCAATTTCTCATATACAGAATAAGCCCTTGACCTTTGACCTTATGAACCAAGAATCTACTCAGTTCATTGGCTCTGCATGTAACATACATGACCTAATTTTGGCAGGATTCCATCAATCAGTTCTTGAGATAACGGGATCACGAGCTGTTTTTGCATACATAATGTGCGCTGTGGCCTTTGACCTTTGACCTCATGACTCCTAAATCTAATCAGTTCATTGGCTCTGCAAGTAACATACGTGACCTAAGTTTGGTGGGAATCCATCAATCGGTTCTTGAGATAACGCGATCACAAGCTGTTTTTGCATACATAATGTGCACTGTGGCCGTTGACCTCGTGACCCCAAAATCTAATCAGTTCATTGGCTCTGCAAGTAACATACATGACCTACGTTTGGCAGCAATCCATCAATCAGTTCTTGAGATAATGCGATCACGAGCTGTTTTTGCATACATAATGAGCCCTGTGACCTTTGACCTTTAACCTCGTGACCCCAAAATCTAATCAGTTCATTGGCTCTGCAATATACATACATAACCAAAGGTTGGCAGGAATCCATCAATCGGTTCTTTAGATAACGCGATCACGATCTGTTTTTACATACCTAATGAGCCCTGTGACCTTTGACCTTTGACCTCGCGACCCCAAAATCTAATCAGTTCATCGGCTCTGCAAGATACATACATGACCAAAGTTTGGCAGGAATCCATCAATCGGTTCTTCAGATAACGCGATCACAAGAACGGGACGTACGTACGTACAGACGTACAGACGTACGTACGTACGTACGGACGGACAACCCGAAAACATAATGCCTCCGGCTACTTCGTAACGGAGGCATAATAAAATGAATTTTCAGGAAGACACCTGCTCCAATCTTGAGGGAATAGTAAAGACCACTCTCTAATACTCTCAATGAAACAGTACTAAAGACTGGAAGTCTACTCTTGATGACAGAGTACATTCCACTCCCTAATACTTTATAGCAGACAATTGATTGGTACTCAGAAGGATGCTGTTTGGAGTTGGAAGTCTCTTGGTCCTTTCTTGAGCAGATAGTTCATCGGTACTCAGAAGGATGCTGTTTGGAGTTGGAAGACTCTTGGTCCTTTCTTGAGCAGATAGTTCTGATTGTTTAGGGATGCTATGAAACCATCAAAGTCAGGAACTTGGATGTTCGCTTCCTGTCAGTAAATGTAGTGGGAATAGAAAATATACTTCACCTTAAAATGGTATATTCTGTAGAGATCTAATAATGAAACTTTGAATACACGATGGGATGGAGATATAGGGTTTTTCCTGGAGATAAATCCGTAAAATTTTGTGTTTGCCTTCATTAACATCTGATATATTGGTAATAGATATCTCAAAAATATGATCAGTATAATAGCCTTAACAGAACACGCACACACACAGAGCATCCATGATGTATCCTTGTGTTCGCTGTAGTAAGAAATCTGTAATTATATCCTGCCTTACAAACACAGCTTCCTGACTTAAGCATGTAAGGAATTATATTGAACCCATGTAAATTACTATATGTAACTAAATTAACACACATATAAAATATTAATGAAATAAAAAAATCTATATAAATGAATTGCTCCTAATTGTCATTTAATTTTTCCTTAATGTCATCTCTGAAATTCAAATTCTAAGCAAAAAAACTGTGATTTTTGATGTAAGAACACAAGACTCATCAAAGAAATACATAATGACATGTATTTCCAGCTGAAAATATCACATAGTTCAGCTTTTTACATCCCAGTTAAAAAAAATATTCTGTTAGGAAGACTGGTTAAAAATATTGTACCTGTGCAAGTTCTCTTAGATGCTGCATCGTGAAGATGTTGTTATATGTCCTCTCAGCAACTTTATTTAGAACAGCAACAAACCTCTTTGCCTGAATAATGAGAGTAATAATGACTGAGGGTATACTTCATAAAGCAATCCATCAAAATTTTGTCTTTTTCCTGGTGATAATGAAATAGTCTTTAAAATGTCATTATCTACACCAACCATCACTATGCAATATTGAAGAGCATTGTTAGTTATCCTGATAAACAAACATTTGAGGGCTAATGCTTCATATTATGCGAATAATAATCACATTTATGTCAGGTAAGTGATTCAACTCCTTTGTAACAATGGTAAATGACTTTGATTCCAAAGGACAAGGACAAAGGCCTCATCAAATGTTCAATCCTTATCTCATAGCTTTCAGCAATGGAAAAGGATATGATTATTTGTTTTAATCTTATAACCAGCTCATATCTTCTATAATCCAATATCGTCCCATTTGCAATACAGTAGTGAAATGATTACAATCTTCAATCTGAATACTTCCAGGCATTAATTTGATACTAGCTCATGCACAACTTGTAAAAGAAAGCTCAGTGATGATATCACAATGACTTACTAAAGATTTACTGCTCATGCCGGATCCGTGTTGAGACCTCTGGAAATCTAGAAAGCCAAACTGATCTGAGTAGGTATCTATCATGCTGTCAAAAAGAGAAGACAAGATATGAATTGTAAATCCAAGAATACGGATCCATAATGCTTCGAAATCTATCCCATGCCATCAACAACAAAAACAAAGATTTCTTTAGGTGGCTGAAAGGAAATCAAATTTCACATCCATTACACAAGGAGAAACATGTCTCAACTCATTGTCTACTGACTTCTCTCAAACCCTCTTCCTGGCTAAATACATAAACCATCCCTTACCCTTACCTTCCTCACATTTGGAAGGAGATTATGATAGAAAGCCAGTTTGGTCTGCATTTTTAACAAGCATATGTGGATTGAATTGTATTGTAGTTGAAATAACATGGATGTACCATATACACAAACAACAGCATCATCACTGGTGTACATTCAAAACAATCTGCTAGGGATCTTTGTCAACTTAGTATATAATAAAGCATATATGGACTTAGGCCATACCCACAATAGTAATGTTTTATAACTATTAACCTAGTCTCTTACCTGAACTTCATAAGCTCCACCACATCTTCAGCATCTGCTAGTGTAGCCTGTTCCCTGAGCTCTAACCTGGCCCTTGCTTCGGTCAATCGCATCAAGGATTCTAGCTGCCTGGTGGTGATCGGGGTGCTGTCCATACCCTGGTGCTGACGACGCAGCTCCAAGTAGAAATTCTGCTCGTCAAGAAGAAGAGAAAAAGCAAAAACAACATGATATTTGATGTTTTTGACATTCATCCCTTGCTTTTTACAATCTTATCAATTCTAGCTGCCTGGTAGTGATAGGGGTGCTATCTGGATCCCGGTACTGCCGACAGAGCTCTCCGTAGAACTTCTGTTCAGCAAGAGGGACAGAAAGAGGAGTTCCTGATAACTTCATGTTCCTACACTCTACTACACCTGTTCCTTGCCCCACTTAATGTATATGAGGTGCTACCTTGACCCTTGTGCTGATGGAGGAGCTCCAGGTAGAATTATGCTTCAGGGGATGAGGTGCAGATTGCAAAAGTCAATCTAATTTACTACTCCTAACTAAAAATGAGCTTGATCTAGACCTTCTTTAAAGTCATCTACTGAGAGCCAGATTAGCGCTGAAACATGTACAGACAACAGGCCCCCTACACAAAACAAGTACAATGTGTCTAAAATCTAGTTTTTAGCATCTTGTAATGGAATGAAATATGTTGTGCATAAAATACTGAACCGATAAGTGCAGAGCTACTATTTTTCACAAGAGTACATAAAATGCACTATTCGCAAAGTATGTTGGATATATTGAAGATGTAGACAAAAAATATAATGGCATTTTTTGTTTCCTCACATTGCAGTGCATGGATAGATCCCTTACCTGTAACACAGTTGCAGCCTCTGGCATGAGTTTGGGGTAGACATACTTCCTGGCATAAGCGATGTACTTCCTCAGCAGCTGGGATGGGATGGGGTCAAAGGCTTCACCCCGCCCTACCTTGAGTCTCTCAGAAAGGGGTCGTTCGGATTCCCAGAGACGTCTAGCATCCTCGTCCTCTGATGTGGTGATGGACCCCGAGGGATGCCTCGTCACTCGAACACCACTCATAGCTCTGCAGCAAAAACAGTTATTACAAGTTACATAATTTCTTGTGTGTTTTCAAAGTTGTTAAAGCAGGACTGCACTACTTGTAGCTACTCGCGCCCTCTTTACAGCAAACAATGCCTAATCGGTACCTGTTGGTCCCCCATGGTCCCCTCTTTCTTATGTTAATTGAGAGCCGATTTGATGAGATAACCACCTTTCAGTGACCACGCAGGGAGGTCTAATTCCTCCTGGCCAAACTAGTGCAGATAGGCTTTAAGTATGTTAATGTTTAGTTGTAAGGCATATTTTCGGCTGGTGCAGTAGGACGCTTTACTTTACTGCTTTATTTTAATGATACATGAAGTGATACAATAGGATATCAAAGTGTATAGTTACACTTTCTTGGAATCATGGACATGTTCACAACCAGAAATCGGCAATTCAAGCCTGTGTTTAAGTTGCAGTCTGTTGTTAGAATGTCTTCATATATCTAGCAGACCTTGTGTCCAAATTTGTATCACTAGTATCCTTTCACAGAAAGTTATAAGTACTCCATTGTGTGCATATTGATTTTCAACATTTTGTTAACTACCGGTACTTACAAGAAACTATAACATTGCCGCAAAAAAGTGGAATCTTCAATACTTGTATCTTTAATAAATGTTTAACTATTATACAATAATATTAATTTCCTACTTTTGCTTGCCAGCATGTAGAGCCATCACATGTTCAGAGAGCAAAGAATCCATTTCCTCATCAGGCTTGTCTAGTAAGATGAAGACTAGATCAAACCTAGACAACAGAGGGCCACTCATTCTGTGAAAAGATTAATAAAGAATCAATATACTACTACATCAGTCTGTAGTCAGGTTTATCTACTCAGATGAAGAACTACAAATACATGTGCAGTAATCCCCTAATCTCGGGCACATCAAATTATTAAATGAGGAAATAAATGTTACCTTTCAATACATCATGTTTATGTTGAACTTGATCTCACATTTCTCAACCAATGTTGCATGCATAGTAAAATCATCATGTCCAATATAAAACTCGTGGACCACATTAAGCCTGTCGCTGATCAAAAGATCGCACCATGAAAACTGCAAAGTGCTGATTTCAGATTGACATTTTTAATAAAAAGAACACCTAAACCTTGTTCCTGATAAGATATTTGTGACAAATTACTTTAATATACCAATGTACCAATTCTAACCTTTATTAGATGTTAACATCAGTACTTACTTGAGATTGTCAGAGACAGTCTTAGCTTTATAAACCAATGTTTAAATCCTAACTGTTATTAGATGTTAATATCAGTACTTACTTGAGATTTTCTGAGACAGTCTTAGCTTTATTATAGTGACCTCCTACAGGGTTAGCAGCTGCCAGGATAGAGGTCCTGGCTGGAAGACTACACACCACACCAGCCTTGGCAATACTTATGCTTTGCTGCTCCTATATGTGGCAAACATATTGGAAATTACATAAAAGGGACACACTCATTTGAGTGTCATGTAAAGTAGATTTCTGGTTAAAGTTAATTTGATGTAAAGAAAACCATGCATAAAAATGTACACTCGTACTAAGACAACTACCTCTCCCAACAACTAGCCTGCAGACAGGTTGCAGCCCTTAACACAATTACCATCTGGAGAACTATCACAAATAGTAGGGGTAATATCAATCAACAACTGACTAATGAATTTTGGGTAGTTTCCCTAATTGAGGAAGGAAATCACAAATACGGATCAGTAAAACAATATATCAACGTTGTAGTATTCTGATGAGAATGTTTGTTAACCTGAATATAGCACTCAAAGCTTTTATTACTGATAATGAAGAGAAATAGTTGAAACAATGAAGTCAGGCTTACCATGGCCTCCAGGAGAGCTTGATGCTGTGAACCCATCTTGTCAAACTCATCTATACAGCAACAACCTGAAATAAATGAAGCAGAGAAGTTGACAAGTACATATCAATGTAAAGCCACTCTATTTGAGTTGTGAAAGCAGCAAATCAGAAAATCAAGAAATATATTATTTTATGTCTATAATTGAGGTAAACATTATCTAATTTTTACTGATTAAATTTTTGAGATGCTTGACATAAATTAAATTTTCAAATTTACAGTGCCTTTGGGAAGCTTGGCTAAAGCCAGGGTAATATTAGTGGTTTGTATGTGCTTTGTGCATCCCCTCGAATGACTATGTCTGCAATGGAAATGTAGCCGTCATAATTATTACAGGCAAACATATCATTAAATATGTACTAATATATGTATCACGACAGTCACAGTCACTAACTAATAAATGCATATATATCATTAGGATGTTGATGCTGAGGGTCAGAGGTCACCACTCACCTTGGTCACCTAGAACCAGTGCTCCTGCCTCTAAGGAGTAATCTCCTGAAGATCCATCCTTGGTCAGAGTCACGGTCAACCCTGAGGTAGTCGTTGTGTTGCCACACACGTACACACCTCTAGGAGCCACATTAGAAGCAGCCTGCAACATCTGCAAATAAGTAGAAAAGGTTTACTACTCAAATTGTTAATTATCAAAAGAATAAGTCCTATAACTTTGCTAGACTGACGGGACTGTGCTTCGTCACTGCTGTTCTTCTGTCATTACACATGACATGGTAGTTCTGGGACCTCTCTTACAAAGAGTTGATATCAATCGCAGCTTATTTGTGATTGATATCAATCAAAACTATAAGAGATAGGAGACTGCAAAGTTGTGATTGATTTGGATCAATCGCAACTCTTTGTAAGACAGGGCCCTGAAGAACCCTTTACTCAGACTAGTAAGGTACTTTGAGGCAAGATTTTAGCATTGACATGACCACCATATAATTCTGTAAAATATTATGTTCTAGAGTTTACAATGAAAAAATACAATGAATAATGGTGAAATGGGTAAATAAGTATTCATCACTTGATTAGCCAAGATATTGTTTAAAGATAAAATTAATACATCAGGTTTCCAAATGTGCTCCCATCATAAATGTATGTTGACGTATGTTGGCAGAAAGAGGGTTCACACCCACCACAGAATTTGTAAACTATATTCTTATCAATGAGCATTTGTAGTTAATGGGAATAATCTGACTACATATTTGTCTTTATTATCACCATACAATCAAATGAACTTAGAATGAAATACCTGACTTTTCCCCAAACCAGGATCACCAACAACAAGGATATGTGGATCCCCTCGTACTGGGATTCGATTCTGAGGAAAAATAAAAAAATATGCATCAAGAATGTACAGCTTTATTGTGAAATACAATATTACACTCCATATAGTGTCCAACAATTTTACAAACAATAACGTTTTAAAAATCACATGATTTTTCTCTTCATTAAAAGAGTTTGAATTTTTGTTAATCGCCCAATTTTTCAACTACTAAATTTACATCTAACATATTGATGTACAAGTATATTACAGCTAGAGATCACATAAACTGAAATTTGTTCCAATGTAAAAAATAAAAATGAGACAATAGGAAATTGAAATGCCATTGAATGATTACAAATCTGCTTCTAACTATCTAAAATACATGGTCATGATGATTACAATTTTACAGAAAATATTCTTTAAAGAAACAAAGAATTTTTTTTTTAGAATGGTGTATGAACAGGGTTTAACAGTCGGATGTGAACTCACCTTATCATTGGTGTACTTGTGTGTGCCTCCTAACAGTCCCAGAATGAGTCCTGCTTTGACTAACTCATGACCATAGATGGTAGGACACAGCGATCTGATAAGAAATATCACAATGTATGCAAATGGTGAATGTATAACAGATACATCATCATAACTATGCACCATACATGACACCAAAGTGCTTGAGCTAACTATGAACCATACATGACACCAAAGTGCTTGAGCTAACTATGAACCATACATGACACCAAAGTGCTTGAGCTACTTGTGCATCTGAGACCTTCTAGCATCAAGGAAAATTAGAGAGTTAAAGGGTGACAGAAGAACAGTGATATCTGTCTTTTTCTTCTTCAATTAGCTTGGCAATCAATTATATCCTGGACTTACAGTCTTGAAAGCATAGAAACCAGGTAACGAACCATAAAATATTAGTGACTTCATAGACTTTTCAGTTTACCAATCTAGTAATTTGAATATAAATTATATGTGCAGTGCATGTATGTCAGATCTGTGACAGCAATTACTACAGTTGTTTCAACAGAATAAACTAGCTACAATGCTCACCCTATAATGAGTTTGAACAGGTTTTCTTGGCTCTGTATCTCCTGGATGGCATAGAGTTCCTTGATACTGAAGTCCACTGCAGCACCTGCACCTATCCCACCGCTGACATCACTACCCTTCTTACTCTTCTTCAGGTTGGACAGTGAGTTGGCATGGATGTACAGCAGGAACATGCATTTATCCTTGTTTCGCCCTTTCCCTACGTTCAAAGAATTATAATGGTAGCCACAATTTGTTTGAAGAGGGAAAAAAATTGTTTGAAATCATGTAGGCTTTCATTTTCAAAATTATCTGACAAAGATCCCAATAAAGATATTAGCACCAAACATTAAAAATTAAAAGAAAAACAGGAGATGTTGTAAACAAAGCAAATAGACAGACTTGTGACAGAGTGCCACTCTTTGGAGGTTTTATAAGTTCACTTCAAAGGACAGAAACAAAGCATTTTTTTCATGAATAACAATACTGATTTATTTATAGATGTTTTAGTATCCATTGATTTCATAGCCTAAAACGATTTCCACTTTTAAAAACTCAGCGGTTAAAAACTAAGGCATAGAACTGAACATTTTTTTCTTACCTTCATCAACATTAGAGACCTTGACAATGCCACTCACTGTAACTGTATCTCCTGGTACGCAATTGTCCACTGAGAAGAAAAAAAAGAGAAGAAACTAATATCAGTAATGTTTCAAACTTGCCACTACTTGGCTATAAAAGCAAAGAGTTTCAACAAACTATGTAAAAAACCATGTGAATATTGATATACTTTCAACTACTGAAATTAAGAGGTAATAAATCATTGAGCACTGGATTACAAACAGAAAATATTATTCATAAAAATAGAAAAAAATCTATCAAGAGTATATACCCCTCCAGAACCCTAGGATACATACTGATAGCAAAAAAGGTGTTACCATGGTAACTCACCCAGGTCATGCATGAGTTCACACTCTACTGTTCTTGGTATACGTCCTGCCTCTCTCTGCTCATCCATGACTATCTCTTGAAGCTTGATAGTTTGCCAATCAGCCGTCTCCGTAAGAGGAGATTTTTGTTTGGGTACAAAAGAGCGCCCTCTGCACTCTGGTGCAAGACACTATGAAGAAAACAACAAAATATGAAAATCATACTTTCAATCAATAGTACAACGTCTATATCAACAAGATTTATCCTTTATACTTGTCAAGTAAAAATTGTTATATATACCCATGGATATACGTATGGGTATATATAACAATTTTTACACAAAGTCATCCATGAAAAGGGCATTCCTTTAAAAAAATATTATCTATACAATTAAAATATTTTGCTGTCAATTATAGAGGTATCACAAAATAAAACTTTCATCTTATCCTATGCTATGTTTTAGGTGAATTGGATTTCTAAAAGCCACTAAACTGAGGTTGATAATTCACATAATTCTGAAGTCTATCTTATTCCTGAGGTACAAAAAATCTTCTAGTACTATGTGAAATTAAAATACATAAATATTATATTATATTATGAGAGGAGATGTTTGGACAGATCTTTTCTTCTAAGGTACAACCAATAAAAATGGTGCTATGAACAAGCCAAACAAACAAAAATCCAACAAGTTCAGTTTCAAACCTTGGTAGGTAGAATGTATTTCCCATTAGGAAGATGAACAATCTGTATAGAGAGAAAAGAAAATTTGAAAGACAGTCATTTATTTTTGGCAAAACAGCAAGTACACAATATTCAAACAGATTTACAGCATTAATTAATTTGTCAGTACATGTCAAATACATATGTTTGCATTGCTATTCTATTTTGCAGCTTGTTTGCATTTTGAATGTGCTTTCTGGTATTAACACTAAAATAAGAAATAGATTTAACCTTGAACCCTTTATTTTCAATATTATTCACATAAGGAAAGGGATTGATGTTTCTTTCTTTTGAAAGAGAACTATGCAAATATCTAAATTTTGATTTAACTTTACTCCTCCAATAGCAGATCCCGGACTTGTCTTACATACTATTGTTCTAGATTGATTGCAAGATCTGTAATCAATCACAAACTTGTAAACTCATATATATTTTTAGTACAGAGTTGTGATTGATATCAACTTGCGATCAATCTGAGTCAATCACAACTATTTGTTACTTGGGGCCCTCATCAATACTATTCATTAGATATAGAATAATTTACCTGGATATCTCCACAGGTATTGCACTGGAAGGCCATCTTGGTGCACAGAGGCCTAATGTTGCTAACTCTTACTACAGTACCCTTCACAGATACAAACTTGCCTGAAATACAATGAAAACAAGTATTACTGTATTTATTAATTATAAAGTTTTCTTCCATAAATTCCTCAGAGCATATTTAATTCAATGAAATACACTGAAACATTTTGTTAAGTCTGCTGGTGTCTAGGTGTCATAATTATATATAAAATATGGTCAATGAACTGAAGTGCACTTAATGCACACACTAAGTCTGTTTACACTCACCATAGCAATTGGCTTTCAAATTTTTGAAGGCTGTGGTTGGTTCATAGTTGAGTATTCTAGAGAAAAGTAAAAAATGAAAGAACAACATATTTAACACCTGAATACCTTACCTTGATGATGATCAACAATTAGGGGGATTTCAGACATCAGTTTGAGTTAGATACAAGCTGAGAAGAAAATTGTGATACAGTAGACTAAACATTGTTCTTCTTTTCTTATAAAGCCATCTTATCAGCTCATTTGTATTGTTGAACCGAGACATTGCATAGAATATAGACATGATCAACTGCAGAACATCACTTGATATGTACATGTATACTTAATAGAACATGCTTTACATCTAAAAGAAAATAAACATCTTCTTTCACTTAGTGCCACTTAGATTTATTTTAAAACTCCTTAAAATAGATCATGGCATATTAGATGACAAAAGTTCTTTGGACATCTACATATTTTCATCTAAATATTGACACTGGAATTTTGCTTAAAGAGAGAACAATTTCCATATTGAGACAGCCTTTTTTGTTTGTTACCTCACCATCTCCCAGGAGTTTCTGTTATATTGATGAGGCATGATGTTAAAAGGAACTAGACGAATGCAAGAGGGATATATAGAACAAATTTAAGAAAAAAAACCATTACAAAATATATATTTATTTACCTTGCATGAATCAGAGGAACCTGAACTAACATCGGAGGGATTTCAACAGACCCTTGAGACTCAGAGTTTTCCTGCTCTTGTAGAACTGCTGCCTGCTGTTCGAGATCTTTGGTCCAAACCTGACAAAGAAAGAGGTTTAGATTTGGAAGTGATTTCTCCTGAATTTTGCATTGAACTTCAAAATCTGAAATTAATTGAAGAAAGGGACATTCTTTCATATAAAATTGTTGACACAATTCTATCCAGAAAACACATTCATTAGTCTAATATATATATTTTATGAAATGTTTCTACTGAAAATATTCTTGAGAAATAATGCTACTCAAGGCTATCCCTTTGTAAGGGTTTCTTTTGATATGAAGAGCTCTGTGCCGTCCATCCAGGCTAAACAAAATCAAGGGTATTTCATACTACACCATTTCTTTGCAGTTTAATACAAAGTGCTTGCTCCATATGTCTGCGTCCTTTTATAAATAAGTCACCTAAAAAGACCAGGGGGGGGGGGGGGGCATTTCACAAAAATTGTCATCAGTGACAAATGACGGTTTGTGTTATAAGCTACTGAAATCCTTGCTTCTGATTGGTTAACAACAGATTTGTCACTGATTTTTGTAATTTGTCATTGAAAAAAGGCTTTGTAAAACGGGTCCCAGTTGAGCCAAAATCAATTTACCTGATGGAAAGCTACTCCTAGACAATTGATGATTCTCTGAGGCATATCCCTGATGTCAGCTTTGAGTGTTGGTAGAACACTCTTTACCGTCTCATCCTCCAGGAGTTCCTTACAGTCCACCAAAATGCTTCCTCGTTGATCAATCTCAGTCTGGAATCAACAACAAAAACATCATATATGATGTATAGTATATTGTTTCTGAATTCATATATATAAATAAGTATTTATTTCATAATTAAAATAGACAGTGGTACAAATAGATCATAAAATTACTAAGATCATAATACATTTGTAGTAAAACGGCCCAGGACTCAGAGGGTTTCTAGTTTTCAGTTAATTATTTTTTCAGTTTGGGCGAACATCCATGTAAAGTGTATTAGAATAATATCACTTGTTAACACAAATTTTGGGCACTCCTTCATAATCCCAATCAGAAATATTTGACCCTCCAATGGGTCAAAATCCATAAATAAAATGTAAGGGTTTATTTTAATGTAAGTTTTTAAATTTTTGTTTATCTATACTTGATACTTCTGCTTTAACATACTGATCCACTGATGTCAACAGTTACCTTATCATATTTTGGTAGCCTTGGTCTGAACAACATCTCAAAGGTTTCAATCTTGGTCACTGTAGGGGAATCTGAGCTGTATGCTAGGTCACAAGAGAAAAAAAGCAAATATTTAAAATTTGCTTCTTGTGTATTAAGAAAAAATGGAAAGTGAGATCATTTTATTTGTACAATTAATATTCTGTTATACCGGTACTGTGAATTATCAAATTTCACAACAATCAAACAATAACAAAAACTGAAATTTACTCCAACTCATCAATGATTCAAATAAATTGAAATTTAAATTCAAAGTTTATTCAACACTCTTCATAAAAAAAATTTAAAACATACAAATACAGAATGGTATGATAAAAAACAAGATAGTGATAACAAATAACAATGGCAATTTATGAGAGCATTTGGGATAGGCAGAAAGGAGGGATTCCTTATATGAAAGCCTACCTGTAAAACATACACATTCAGGAAAAAAACAAAGAAGAACAAAAGAACAGAACAAGAAACAAAATGGATAAATGGATAATTTCTTACTCTCGTCTGTAAAGTAGAGTCTCCATCCTTTATAAGGGATAAGGCTATTGGCAATGTTTTCCATCTCAATATGACGAGTGCTGGAAACAGTAGTAGCATTACTTGAGACATTATTCCCAAAGCCACCACCTACAAATCAGATAAAAATACAAACTCAACTAATCACATCATATATGTGGTTTACCTGCATGGCATCAAAGTCACTGAGAAGTAATACTTGTGGTAATTCAAATGGAAAATAGTTGGTCCAAATATGAAACACAAAGGTAAAAAGGTTATAGTTTTGGAAGCAAAGTAATCATCTTTCCTTAATTTTATACTTGCAGTTTTGGTAAAATCAATTAAAAAAACATCTTTGGTAAGAACATACTACAACCAGAGATTAAGATAATAATGGCTGTACATATTCAAAGGTATAACTGATGTCCAATTGGTCTGATGAAACCTTAAAGTAGACCAAGTGGTCTAATTAATCTAGCCATAACATTTGGGAAACTAAATAAGAAATTGACCCAGGGTCACACTAACCTTTTATGGAAAAAATTATTTTACATTTGAATGTATATCAACTTCAAGGTCACATAGGCCTACCTTAACCATAAATTTGAAAATGGTTAGTTAGAATATTTAAATATATATTTCAAACAAGTTACCTCTTCCTCTGTTATTCCATGAGCCCCTGCCTCCTCCTCCTCTTCCTCTCCATCCACCTCTACCTCTGTTACCTCCTTCTTGGCCTCTCCACCCTCCTCCTCCTCCACCTCTTCCATTACTCTGGTATGTGCTGAAATAGTTTCCTCTATTGTTGCCCCGTCCCCTCCATCCTGTGCCTCTTCCTGCTCCTCTTCCCCTTGCTCCTCCTCCTCCTCCTCCTCCTCCTCCTCCCCTCCAGGTTGATGAGGATCCCTGACTTTGACTCATGCTTATATGACTTAAGATATCACATCTTCTGCATTGGTTTCTAGTACAAGTAAAAAGAAAATAATATATTGTTTTTAGCAATAAAAAAAGACAGGCTCAGCATGAGCATGCACTAAATTGATGGGCGCTAGTGTAGTTCCGTATCCATTTTTTTAAGCAGTTTTTTTTAACAGTTTAATATCAATTCTTAGCAAAGGAATTTTAGCCCAATTTTTTACTAATTTTAATCATAATCATATAGACATCTAGGGTCAATTGCATTTTCCACCTGAATTTCGATTACATCTGACATCGGGAAGCCTCCGTTTAGGGCTTCGATGTCGACGTCGTCGCTCAGTACCGTCTCCATGCTATAGCTCTGCACCTCAAAGTGAAGCTATCAGTCTAAAATTATGCAAACTTAGCGTATGCTTTATGGTATTACGCACATGCACGATACCATAAACTATACGAGAAGCTTGCATAATTTAAGACTGATAGCTTCAGTTTGAGTTGCAAAGCTATAGCGCGGAGACGGTACTGAGCGACGACGTCAACATCGAAGCTCTAAACGGAGGATTCCCGATGTCGGATGTGATCCAAATTCAGGTGGAAAATGCAATATATGATTATGATTAAAATTAGTAAAAAATTGGGCTAAAATTCCTTTGCTAAGAATGGATATGAAACTGCTAAAAAAATGGATACGGAACTACACTACTAGCGCCAATTAATGTAATGTACATGAAGAAACATTCACAAATTGTTAACAAGATTGCTTATTTTGCAAATTGCAAATATGCAATTAATTTTTACTCCACGAGCGTGATGGTGGCTCATCAATATCATCATTAGGATCAGGCATGCCAGGGAGTCCATCACACATCAGCTGCATCCAGGCCAGGCACTGCATGCACAGATACCCCGCCCAAGCCGCGGCCGAGGCAGAGCTCCGATTCCATAACAAATAACAGTTTAATTATATTTCCAGCCCGGCTGAGTTAGTTGTCTGGTAGAGAAGTGACTGCAGACAAAAGGTTAGCAATGTGCCAATGACATGGACATAGTAACTGGAAAAGTACTGATGTATTTGTTTGCAATTTCAAGGTAAAATTAACGTTTCAAAAATCGCGCAAAAAGATTCTTACCACTCCGACTGAGCTCCATTGATCTCTAAACTAGTCTCGGTAAAGGCACGCAAGATGAACCGTGGTGGGAATGAACAAAACCATGACTATCCTCTTCCTTACAAAGTTTGTCAATACCTAAATAATCATTGAGTAAAAATGCGATTTGATGAGATATTATAATTCAGTATAGTGCAGCTTAATTCATATATTTAGAATATAAAAAAGAGAAAAATAAATTAGCTGGACATTTGGGATAAGACTAACCAATGCAACACAAATGTTGATGTTATTATGCTGCAAGTGCAGTGACATGTTTGCTTGATTTTGAGGAAATCTTGTTCCTATACTCCTTGCTAGTCCGTCATCCCCAATGGTTATTAGGTATGTTTCTAGAAAAAATAGCATGGACTCCAATTATAATTCAAATTAGTGACCAACAGTGTAGTGAATCGATTAAGTGACATCGTGACAATTGACATGATCATAATCAATGTCTTTGATTCTCCATTTAAACTTGATGGAAACCTCACCCCAAGAAATAACTGTAGTTTTTCTGAGAGATTTCCTGTATTGTTGCCAATTAATCTACAAGAGTGTACAAAGTGTAACTATTAGTTAGCGTGTATGTGTCCTGAACAGACATTTTGCTGACCTAACAATACGGATACAGATTAGATCTACGTACTAGTATGAGCATGAGAGTCGAGAGAGGTATAGTATTAGTAAGCAAAATATTCTTAGCATAATGTACAGTTTCTCAGCTCAGCACGACATGGCAAGGGCATCACCATTTTCGTGATAACATGACGTACTTTACTAGAAAGTATACCGTAAGTCGTTTATGTTCAAATAAATGGTTTCAATTTTGTGGATGCTTCCTTCCCAGGTATTTGTGGTGATGAAGTATTTCATTAACCTGCCATTTAACCCTAATTGTACTACACTTGTCAGAATGTAAATTGTCAGAAAAATAAGTTTTTGCTCTTCTGCCTGGGGTGTGCATAATTGAATAGATTCATCAACTGCTATATTTTAGTAGTTTTGAATAAAGAGGTTAAAATTGTTCCCCTGTTATATATTTTTCACCAAATATAATTATTACCATCTCAGCTATTATTTTCCCTCTTTGAAAAGTAGAGGTTTTATTATTTGATTAACAAATCTTCAACTAAAGCTTGGTGCATGATACATGTACAAGTTTGCCTGGTACATTTGTACGTCACATTATCAAGAAAACGGCTGCGCCCTGTCATGCAAAATAAAAAGGCATTTCATCATGCCAAGAATATCTTATGTTTTGTATCTCTTGTACACTTTCATAAGGATTATTGTACATCAAAAGGCAGGAATACATCTCATCTTTCAGCATGCCTAAACTTATTCTTTGGGGTGAGGTTTAATTCCCATGAAGTCCTAATTGAGATTGGAATGGCCAAGGGCTAGGCTTTTACGGGAGGCACTAATTTTTTGTCAAAATTTGTGCATATTTAAGGTTAAATTTTTTTTTTTTTATTATTCATTCAGTGAGAATCATATCTAGCTGTCAGTCAATGACTGTTACTATTGTTAAATCTATTTTAAGTCAGAACTGTGATTTTTTTTTTACAGCTATTCAATTTGATTTCATTATCCTAGGTATATCCAGTGAGATTGGAAATTATCATGTCACTCTTTAGTGGTATGAAGATCAGCGGAGGGAAAGGAGAGAAGAGTAAAGATGATTCAGCATCAAGAACGGGGCAGGAAGACAGCACTGAGAAACCTGCAGTCTCTGCCTTTGGATTTATCAGAGATACACCAAGTAAGTATCTTGAAAAAAATGCAACAATGGATGAGGGGTTTAATGCTATTGAATATGGAAATTGTTTACAGATATAGGCCTCTTAGCAGTCCTAGGTCAATATGAAGAAATGTTAACAAATATAAAAATAGAAATTGCTATCATCTGTACCAAATAAAAGAACTACAAGTATTGTTTGCAACATTTTTTTCTTCATTTAAGCTTTGTAAACCATATTATATCTTTGGACACTTATCTTCTCTTATCTTTGAAATTCATCAAGAAGTACAGCAAATGTAAGAAATCACTTTTGTATATTTATTCAGAGAGCTCATCAACAGCAGGAGACCCAACTTTAGCCAGCTCATCTGCAACAATAGAGACAAGAGCACCATCTCAGACTCAAGTAGATGATCCTGCTCCTTGCCCACAGACTCGTTCTAAACGCACCACTCCTGGTGTCAATTTTGATATAGATCTGGACCTGGACTTTGAGCTTGATCCACTTAGACCAGGTCTAAAACAGGATACGGGGCAAGTGACACAAGGAACAGATCTTGAAGGAATTGATTTCTCCAAAGATGTAGACCTTGATGCTCTGTTAGAAGAGTGTAACATCAATGTGAAGACTGATGCTCCTGCAAACAAGGAAGATAAGTTTGAAGATGCTAGAGCAGAGTTGGAGAGAGAACGTGATCAAAAGGGCAGAGATAACCTTGATATGGAAATGTCATCTAGTGAACCTAAAGGAAAGGAAGAGAAGGAATTAAATATTGATGATGAACACAAAGGACATACCGCTGTTTCAAGTGAAAGCAAGTTTGGATTCATCAGTGACAGTGATGGAGACGATAACCAGATACCAACGGAGTGCTCGTCCAGGACTATAGATGATGTTTCTTCCATTTCATTAAGGACAAAGAATCCAGATGATGGAGCAAGCTCGCTTTATGATATTGAATTGGATGTCCAGGATACATTGGATGTTCTTTTGGAATCCCATGCAGCAAGTGAACACCAGCTCAGGTGAAAATAGGAAGAAAGATAAAGAATAGATTGACTCATTTGTTACACATGGAAAATACAATTAGAAATGTTTAATGATAAGCTGTAATGTACTAATCTATACCTCATGCAAGTGTCATAGAGTATTACAATATGATTCCAGAAAATGAAAATAATTTTTCTTAACATGTACCTCTTTACAAAGAAGACCAGCCTGATACAAATAACTGTAGACAAGTGCTGTAGAATGAGAGAGCGTAGTCTTTCTGAATATTGAATAAGAATTCTGATAGCGGGAGAGAGAAGGGATAATTTGTTGTCAATATGTATTTTTGTTATCAATGTGTGGAGATTTTGTAAATAAATCCTTGGATGTATATTTGAATTTAGATTGAAATAGAATGGCATTGACTAATCTACTTTAAATTATTACCTCTTCCACAGGCTTGCTGAAGAAGCATTAAGTGAAGAGCTGGAATCTCTGGGAAAGGAGAGACTAAAATTAATGTACAGCATGATCAGAAAACAGAAAAAACTGGATGAATTGCAAACTGCACAGTCTCAGGCTATTAATGAAGAGAATTATGAACAGGGTAAGTGGTACTTGTGGAAGATAGTGAAATATATAACAGATACATTGTCTGGTTGATAGCTCATCACTGCTGAAATTATTGATGTAATTATGAAACATGAGATAAATTATCTTGATTGTAAAATTGAACTGAATTGTATGTTTCAATGTAATGATTGTTTTTGAAGTGTAATGCCCTGTCTAAATATTCTGAGTGAAGGTATATATTATTTATTTGTCATCAAAATAGAATCATACACTATATTATCAACAATTCTTGTTATTTTACAGCTGAAATTCTGACCACAGAATGCAACTCTCTGGAGGAAGACCTCCAATGCATACCTCGAGTGACCTTGGACGATGGTGTGGGTGATATCTTCAGCTCCAGGACCATCATCCACGAGAAGAGGAAGAGACAGAGATCAGAGTGGATCCTGGCCCTCCAAGATCTGCAGAATCAACAAGAGGATGTCATCAGCAAGATGAGGGAGGGACGGAGTGGAGACCCTGAGGGACAGAAACTGAAACTGGACACGCAGAAGACAGAACTGGACCGTGCAATGGGGTAAGATGGACGGCAGGAATTAAGTTAGTTGTAGACGTGTAAAATATTTCAGAAGCTTTCAGTAGTAATGAAATTACTGCAACTTTGTTGATTTTAGAGGTTCAAAGTTAAAGAAGAAAATGTTGAAAGATACATTGGTTAAAGTGTATTGTGTTTCTTAATCAGAAGTTGGAATGTATGTTTGTGTTTATTTCAAGGGAGGGATTGATAAAATTAGGTCTATACCACTATTGAATATATATACCAGTGCTTTTGTATGAAATTTTGTTATGAAATAAGAAGTCAATCTGTATCCCTGAAACAGAAGATGATCATAAAAATTTAGTGCCTGACTGCACATTCCACTGTAAGTTTGGAACATACTAACTTTGTATGGTGCATATCGTTTTTATGCAGCCATGTTTTGTTGGATAAGAACCATGTTGAAAAGAGAGAGGCACAACTCTGGGCCAGGATTGATGAAAAGACAGCTGATCTTAGGGAAAGCAGGGACAAACTGGCTGTCCAGAAAGGCAAAGTGCAGGTAGGGAGTTTTCCATAATTATCATACAATGTAATTCTTATCTTGTTTAACTGGGCAATGAGCTAATAGAGAGGTCAGAAGCACAGTTTCTAATGACATTATTCTTTAAATGAGAGTAAATTCTGGGACTTGGGTTAGTTTGGTCTATTTGATTTTAATTTTTACGACAGAATAAAAGACAAGAATTTCTAGTGGGTATCTCTTGCTCTACAGAAATAAATTTAAACAAAGCTATTTTATTGATTTAAAATTATGATATGATATTTTATTTAAAAGGCAGGTCTTATGATGACCAGTTGACCCTTGAAAATTTTGATCCATTTTACTTTTTTGAAAGGTATTGTTGTATGTTTTTCAGTTTAGAAATTCATTCTAGAGACAATTTATGTTTTCAGTTTTCATCATAGAATTTTCCTCTGTCTATTTTCTACAAATGTTGAATGAAGGATTATCCAGGCTGTGATATTTTTTACAGGATGAAATAGCTGCACTAGAAGAACAATTACGGAGGTTGAGATCGGAAGAAGAGAGACTGAGCAGTGAGATTGGTGAACAAGAGAACGCCATAGATGAAGTCAAGGCTGAATTCTCAGAAGAAATCTCAATCATAGAAGAGGAGGAGAGCAATGTGAAGGAACGTGAGGATAGACTGACCAAAGATAAGTTGATGCTAGATGAGGATGAGAAGGCTCTGACTGCTGAGGTGCTAGCATTTGAAGAAGCTCTAGCCAGGTACGAAAAATCTTTTTCCCTTCTTTTTGACCCCCCTCTATTTGGATTTGCTCTCTTTCCCCCTTTTGTTGGAGTCACCTTTTTTATCATTTTTGTCATGGTCTTGTTACCATTGTCAAGTGTGATATTTGAGATTCGATGCCAAATTCTAACTCATATTCAACATGCTCTGTCAGTTCTCCTCATGTGTGGAATTCCTTGCAAATGTCAGTAGGTCTTTATCAGTTGATTATTTTAGTGTGCATTGTGCCCTCTCTGTCTAAAATGCAAATTGCCATACCACATTTTAGAATTCATACAAACTTACCTCTGTCTATTTGAAATAATTTCATGATATATGTAATGTTTACGTTACCTGTTTTTTAATGATTTGCCATAATATTGTTCTTTCAGGGAAGAAGATCTGATGTCAAGAATTTCATCATCTCAAGACACCATTAGTTCATTGAACCCAGATCAGGAGGAAGGAGACGATGACTGCAAAGCCGAGTGGTCTATAGATCTTGAACCCAGCTCTGACATCACAGGGTTAGTAAAGTTATCCTCTTTTTAAATTAATATTTTTTTGGAGGACAGAAGTAGACTCTGTAAATTTTATACTAGGATTTGTAGATACTACTTGTGCATATAAAAACTTACTAAATAGTATGCCTACTGCGATGTATAAATACATGTATGTATTAAAGGAAAAATGCAATATGATGATTTTATTTTGTTCTATCACTTTTGAATGTATAGTTTTCACTATAAAAAAGCAGTCAGATAGTATGATAGCATATTAAAGTTAAAAAAGAATCATTTATCTCATGTTTATGATCCACAGTTTACGAGAGAAAGTACTAAGTACTACAGAGGAGATGCAGTTTACGAGCACCCAGATTATATCCAACAAAGCCAGGCTAGCGACCTTGAAGAAGAAGGTCACTGATACTGAAGATCACATTGTGACGCTACAGGAAGCAAAGCAATTTGCTGTATCAAGTAGGTATTTCATGACTGTGTAGAATAATGCAGTATATATATATATATATATACATGTATGCTAGGTGATTTGATGCAATACAACCTACAAAATACATTCCCCTTTGAAGACTTAATTTATTCCTCTTCCATTATGTGTTTTTGAACAACTTAACAATCATGGAAGGCACCACCAAAAATATGAAGAAGTGGCAATGTGAGGAATGCTCAAATCTATGTTTCTTTTACTAAGAAATTATTTATATTATTATTTATATTTCTGTGTATTCAATTTGTATTCTGTTCAGGACCAGAATGTAAAACAGGTTATGTATCTAAAATATTTATCTGATTCTTGTTATCCTGATTAAATATATTTCAATTAAAATAAATAAAGAAATGAAGCAAAGCAATTGAAATGAGCAAGATAATAAAATCATACAGTATTACATGCAACAGAAGACTCATTATGGATATAAGAACAAATTGAAGTGCTTTATTTGCATATCATTCATCAATCTCCTGATAATAAACCTGAGAAATGTTACTCTCTTTAAAACTATACTTTTCTTGAAAACAAGAAATCTGAGTATTGCTTTCATTGTGCATAGTATAATGAAAAACAACTATTCCATTTAATGTTACATTCTCAGTGAGGAAATTTGGTGAGGCCAAACGTTTGACCGAAGAGATCAAGAGCAAGATGGGAGAGGGTCAGTCGCACCAGGCAGAGGTTGAAGCTGTCTCTGAGGAACTCAAGAAGCAACAAACAACACTGAACGGTCAGCAGGAACAAGTGGTCAAATTGAAGATAGAACTTGCTAAGGAAGAAAAGAAGTGGGGTGAGTATATTAACCTTGCATTGTGGAGTAATTAAAGATTTAATTTTTCCTCTAGCCATAAGGAATGAGTTTTCAATTCATTTGCATGTTGATCTTAACATCCTGATGAAAATATATGTCACAGGTTTTCAGAGAGCTGCTAGTTATTTACAGAGCTCATGTTTGTCATTTTTTTAAAGCTCAATTTAGGAAATGTCTTCATTTTAAAACCTTTATTAAATTTTGAACTATATAGGGCAAAATCTTGATTTTATGAACTGCATTGACTAGCTATTGGTCTTCATGTAGTATTATTTTTGTAATAAACAAATATTGTAACTTTCATCTCTTGCATTTTCTGTCAATTTGTGAAAATGAGGGGTGTATTTAATCTCTTCATATATAATTTCTTTAATTTTGAGGGTCATTTTTAATTCAGACAGTCATTTGCTTGTGGACTCCTTATAATGTACTTCCTGTGGATTGTATAATTCCTGAAGCAAGTTTATTCAATTCTTATCTATTCTGCAGAGCTTCAACTTTGTGAGAGGGCCAAAACAACGATGGCTGTGATCACCACCAGACTTGAAGACAAAGAGTCCATGAATTCTACCCTGTCCGCCCGCAAGCTGGAGATAGAGAAGCAAGCCTGTGCCCTGCTGGTGGGTTGGTTGTGTGGACGTCATGGGCTGCAGATGCTGCCTGAGGTTGCGGCCATGTTAGAGGAGTTTAAGGATCATGAAGGGATGGGCTTAGGAGATGATGTGGAAGATGGTCATCAGTCAAAGGTAATAAATTTTACCATTAATTACATGTACCATCGATATAAACTGTATTGATGTTAGATGATATTAAAGTTCACATTCAAATGATGATGTGATGTTGAAGTTGTCCAAGAGGAGAGTAAATATAAAGAAATCCTGATTTTGGGATGATACTACTCCAATATAAAATGGAATAAAAGGTTAGGAAGCTATCATGACCTTGATGATGAACATGTATAATCAGATAAGGATATTCTTACACTGCATGAAACATGCTGCAACATTGTATTTATTCTTGATTAATAAAAATGCATCTTACACAACACTTTGAATCACCTGTAAATATATCAAGAAAGTTTTTTAAAGTATTTTTGCTGCCTTGGTGAAAGTTTTTAGTCATAAAAGCACTTTGTCAATGCACTTAAGTCACATCAATCAGCTGTACTAACTTCTATTGCTCTGGACGTTTTTTTACAGACACCAACAAATGCAATGGATGACAAAAGCTGTGAAGTCCAGAGAGAACTACAGGAATTAGAAGAGAACCTTCAGAAGGCAATAGAGGCTGAAGATTTTGATGCAGCAGATATCCTTTGCATTCATGTGTGATGATAGTTTCGTTGTTCTCTATACTTTTACACTATTTCTGTGTAATAATTACCATTATTACTGACTTTAACTACCACGGCTATTGTTTAAACTAATAGTATTACTGCTTTTTTGTTGGTGGTATTGAAGCCACAGCACTTTCTTCTACTGATCAACTCATTTCAAATTTGCTGACATATCTTCTAATTCTGCTGATTTGTCTCCTACTAATATTACCATTACTTTCTTTTTTCAATGAAAAATTATTGCTTCTGCTGCTACTGCTACTACTCCCATTTTAACTTCTACTTCCATTGATACTAGTATTAGAATGTGCATACCGGCATTAGTATTAGGTAATAATATTACAAGCAGTTGAGCTTCTTCATAAACAACATATTTTAGCTCCTTCACAGAGTTTTCTGGATTTACTGTGTGAAGTACATGAAAATTAAAAAGAAAAAGAAAAAAATTGATACCCTTGCTATATTCCTCTTCTTCTCTAGTACTGTCAGAACATATTCTTGTCTTCATCCTTGACTAGAGTTATCACAGCATATACAGGAGAGGATCGAAAGTCTTCAAAATCAGGAAACGGATGCAAGATGACAGCGGAAAAATCTTCTGAGGAAGCCTGGAATGAAAATATCAACTCCGGACCCCTTTTGTGTCAACAAAGTGTGATGTAGTGAAAAATATGACAAAGCAATACCCTGTGTCCCAGATAAGTTTGATGTGCAATGTTATGGTGCAATTTAATTGTTATAAAGAACATTCCCAGACTATAAATCAGTCAGGAATGTTATGTTTATGTATGCGATGCAGGTATACACAGGGAGACATATCTTTTGTTTTTCTTCAATTGAGAGGGAGTAAAAACTGTTGATTCATGTTTGGTTGTCTTGTTTTCACTTCCTATGCACTTGGATTATATTGATTTGCAAGACATAGTATACTAAATACCCAGAAGAGTAAATCAGGGAAACATATGGCTCATTAATGGTCAGCTGGTCGATAATTTTTCTATATTTGGCTATTTATACATAAGAGCTCAATACAAAAATAATCCCAATTAAATTCTCTAGTTTCAAGGTAGCAGGTATTTTGCAGCCCTATACCCTTGCAGTGAAACATCTCAGTGCTAAAAATTTGATGTGCTACTTAAATTACAGTCCAAATCATATTAAAGTATCTTTGTCTTACATAGCTGAGTGCAAACACACAATGACAGTTACATTAAAACTGACATTATTTGAAGTCTGTCTTCTTTTTCAATGTGATAGGAAACAATTATTCATCCTACTCTTGACATTGCAGCAAATCGCTTTGAACTTTTGACGAACTTTGTCTATTAGCAAATCAGAAACAATGTTTTTGTGTACGTTTCAAATACAATCATATTTGCTCTCAGCAGACAATCTTTTGGCAGGATAAAAGTATGGCAGTTTGCAACTTTGCATCTAGTTTATTTTGAATTCTTGCCTTGTCTTTTATATTTAAGGGCAAGACTTAATTCTTAGTTTAACAAACTTGTAGAATGAGATTCATTTTATATGCGTGGTTACATTATTTAATTTCCATCTGTTATCCTGTCCTCATCCTTCTCCTATTTGTCCTCTTTTGCCATATGAAATACTGATTGAATAGATCCCAAAGGTTATCAAATGTAATAAAAGAATATAATGAAAAATTGTGAGATTGTTATGGTGTGTTGTTTCAGTGTATTATATACAAGTTAGAATTGCCTAATAAATCTGTATTATAGAGTCAGATTCACGGGCGTACCTATGGGGGGGGCAGGGGGGCAGAGTGCCCCCCCTGACGGGCTCCAGGGGAAAAAAAAAGAAAAAGGGGAAAGAAAAGAAAAGAAAGGGAAAGGAAAGAAAAAGAAAAAAGGAAAAGGAAAGAAAAAAGGAAAGAAAGAGAAAAAAGGGAAAAAAGGAAAGAAAAAAGGAAGAAGAAGAGAAAAGGAAGAAAAAGGGAAAAGAAAAGGAAAGGAATAAAAATGGGGGAAAAAAATAAAGAACATGGCCGTAAGCACCAGAGGGGGGGGGGGGGGGCAGTTGACCCCAGATATTTTGAAATCGTACAGTTTTTTTCCTGAAAATGTAGTGTAGGCCTATACCAAATCCTTCAATTCTACTTTTGAAAATGCAAAAGTACCCTCATGACCAGTTCGGTCACTCGAACTCCCTTCACTCCTTTTGCTTTTGAGATTCTTCGAAAACTTTTAACGCATCTTTCCCCCTTCCCCCATCAGAAAAATATTCTGCATACGGCCCTGAAAAATTAAAACAAATGAAAATAGGAAAATATAAGTGATATAACAAATTTGAAACTCTTCGCTGGCGCGAACTGCTTGCTAGCCTATTTTGTATTAAATGTTTTCACTTCCTCGTCCCCCTGAAAAAAGAAAAGGATTAGTATTGCCTAGAATACAATATTGTGCCTGCCCCGACGGGCCCCGACCTGCAACCATGGCAACAATAACACACAATATATGTACCAAATGTTACTAAAAGAGACTAATTCATTTTTCTCGCTCGCTACACTCGCTCGCGAATAAAATGAATAGACATTGCTTTGGAAACAATTGTGCCCACCCTTGACCTGCAACAATATCATTAAAAATGGAAGAGTTTTTTCGCCCTCTCGCCAAAAAGGAATTGAATCGCGTTAAACGCGATTGCATCCATCCTGACCTGCACCAATAAAAACAAGTTTATTTATTAATTTCTATTAAAAGAGAATTTTTTTTTTGCTTGCTCGCTATGCTCGCTCGCCAAAATGGAATTGACACCGCTAACGTGCCCGCCCCAACCTGCAACAACCAGTTAATAATTATGTACGAAACGTTATTCAAAGAAGTTTTGGTGTGCTCGTGCTCGCCAAAACGGAATTAACATCACCTTAGACATGATTGTGTAAGCCCTGCCCTGCAACAAAAAAATCTGAAATTTATGAACCAATTATCATTACAAAAATTTTGCTCGCTCGCTCGCCAAAATAGAAATAACACCGCTTTTAATAATCACGTCCCTGACATGGAACAATTAAACCAAGTTTATATACCATATTTTCCCTATAAAGAGAAGTGATTTTTTTTTGCTCGCTCGCCAAAATAGAATTAACACCGCTTTTAATAATCACGTCCCTGACATGGAACAATGAACCCAAGTTTTATGTACCATATTTTCCCTATAAAAGAAAAGTGATTTTTTTTTTTCGCTCGCTACGCTCGCTAGCTCGTGGAATTATGTGCCCACCACTAACCTGCTACAATATCATTAACAAGAGAAATGTAGGGGGTTGCCTGCCCGCCAAAATGGGATTGACATTGCCTTAAACACGATTGTGCCCGCCCCCTACCTGCAACAATGAAACAAATTTTATATAGCAATTCATTGAGAGAAAGATGTATTTTCGCTCGCTAGCTAAAATGGGTATAAAATCACCCTAAACACAATATTGTTCCCGCGCCCTGCATGGGACAATTGAACCAAGTTTAAGTGGCAATTATTAAAAAAGAAGTGATTTTTTTCTTGCTCGCTACACTAGTTTGCAAAAAAATGAAATTAACGTCGCTAACAAGTGAATGTTCCCACCCCCAACTTGCAACAATACCAGTTTATATACCAAACGTTACTTAAAGATTTTTTTTTGCTCGCTCGCTCGCTCGCCAGAAGTGAAAATTAGCATCGCCTTTTTTGTTTGTTTCGGTCGCTTGCCCCCCCTGACGGAGTACCCCAGGTACGCCACTGGTCAGATTAGTGATCAGGGATAATGTATGATATGAAATCAAAGAATTCAAACACCTAGTACAGTGTTGAAAAATCAGGCAAACTTTGCATACTGGTATGTAAGATTAAAAAATGATACCTTAATAACTTATAAGTTTATTTGAAAGAGTGAAAGAAAAAATAAAGAAGGAATATATGCTTTGAAAAAAATAAAATGTGAAAAGAAGCAAAACCATAATTCGGTTATATTACTGAAATAAGCTAGAAAATCGACATTACTTGGCACTTTGTAGGTGATCCATCAAAATACTCATGGTGAAATTTCAAATGGAGGTGGTGTAGTGAAGGGCTGCCGTAAAATTGAGTTGCATCTGATCGAGACCAATCTTAATCTCGAGCACAATGCCATGTTTTATATTACTCCACAATTTTCTTACATGTATCATTTCTCCGACTTTACACAATCTTTCATTCACTCAAACTTGCTATCAATATCTTCACTGTCGCATGAAATATTCTAGAAGTACCGCAAATAATTACTCGACACAGAAAAGATGCTTTTTAAAAATCTTTTAATAGCTCTAAATTGTGATAAATTTACTAATAAAAAAACTGGGATGAATATCATATTAGAATACACATTGAATTCTGAGCTTATCTGGCAGGATAACTGAACAGCATATCATATTAGATGGATGAGAAACACTACAATATCCAATATCCACTTCAGTAGACTTCAAACAAAGATTGTTCCCTGTTTACCCTTCTGCTCTGCAAGTCTTCATGCCAAATGGATAATTCTAAATATTATCTGTATACGTATTGTGCCACGACTCATCTTTCATAACGCGTAGAATTCATTAGAGTATAAAAAACAATTTAAACACTGCCCATCTCAAAGAGCTAGGATTTAGTTAGTACAGAAAGTCTATGTACATTAACATGTCAAAATACAGATTTTTATGTTGTATAACTCATTAGGGGATACCTGGTGTCTTTGTATACAAATAGTAGAAAACAGAGATTTAGTTCATTTGAAATAACTTAATTAGTCATAATTACTCTGTATCCAGCTGATGCATTGAAAATTATGGGTAGGGCTGAGAGCGGAAGGAGATATTACCTCAAAATACTCTCTTGCTATATAATTCATTGATGAACCAGTACATATATTCTTGTACTAATATTAAATTTGAATTATACCAGGATCACAATTTTGTATTAATAATATTAGAAGTCCATTACAAAACCTTAAACTGAACTAGATTTATTTTTGTTTGCATAGAAACAACTTACAGCAAAAATGCATGAAAATTCATTTGGAAAACACTTTTCTCTTCATGCTTCATTTCTGTATGCACTGAAAACATCCAACACACTGGACCATTCTATTTTTCCCCTTTAAAAATGATTACCTGGTATATCCATGAACATTTTAAAAACAAGCCAAGAAAATATCCCCTCTTGGTAATTTTCATCAATGACCATTTATCAGCTACTTCTGGATAGGAATTACATGAACAATGACATAAAATATACAATTTCCTTTAACTGAATACAGTAGATTACATAAGGCAAGCATGTCACTGTATCTTCACGCGGGATCATTAAGTAAGATATTTGATTGAAATTTTCAGAACATTTTGGAACAATAGCTCAAATTCAATTCAGAACTTGTGCTATTAAAAAATTTATTCCACAGGGATTTGCACAACTTTAGCCTGTTTGAAATGCAGTGAGATGTATTCATACAGTCCTATCAACAAACAATATGAAAAGTATTTCTCTGTTATACTGAATATTCGTTACAAAACTATTTAATAAAGTTAGCTGAATTTCATTGATCATTTTAGTCATGAATACTGGGATACACTGACACAAAAACAGCAATTTATTGTGCTGGGAATATCGGTATGTTAAATACCACCTTGATATATTATTTATTTTAATTGTGAATACTTTGGTGAAGGAACACAGGGGTGCTATTGAACTTTCAAAACAGCTTGAAGTAGTTTGGCTTGGCAACAGTACTTTGATGAGAGCAAATAGAATACAAGATACTAGAGAATACAATGAATGAAGTACCACAGACAGACTGCGCCGTGAAGCAGAATATGAGTACAGTATAACGGCTATGCAAGCACACAGAATACAGAATGATTAGAATACAATCAGCAGCACATAATTACAGTTCATTTATATACAAAAACGCAATCAAAATGTACCAACATATACGATTCAACTCCTTGATTATATTGACAGAAATATTTAAGTATGACTTGTGATTAAGATATATTTAAGTGTATGGCATTTAGGAAAAAGACAGAAAAAGACAGAAAAAGAAACATGATAGATGCAGGTAAACAAAAGTGCGGTGCATAGATTGATTTTAAAACGAGTGTTGGTATACATACATATAAGAAACAACTTATCCTTCAATTGTAATAATCAAACAGTCTTCACTACTGACAATTGAACAAAATATAGTGAGCATGATCGATGACATATCATAACTCTGAAATAGAAGAAAAAATATCAGATTAACAAGTAAAGCTAGTGAGAATGTAAGGCGACATAATCGTACTGATAGATCAAATATTTGGTAGTACATACGGTATCCCAAGACACAGTAGAAGGGATCAAATAATAGTACATGTACATGATATAATATGGAATAAAATGCCACAGCATTCGAATAGATTCAAATACTGATATTGAATATACAATAATTGAACAGTACATGACACACATACAAGACTCATGAAGGTTAACAATGGCTTCAACGTACATATCAAATAATAATATCCACTTTACAGATAAAGTACACAATAAATAAGGTTAAATAGCAACACTAAATCTATGTATAATAAGACTAATCAATTTTACCACTAACAGATAATTGTAAAATATTTACATGTGTCCCCATATTAAGATTCTGAAATGGGCATGTTAAGATGAAGTCAACTTGTGTAATGCAAATACCATTGTTTTATTCTTTTCTCTTTTTTTAATTCTAAGGAAGACATACTTTTTGGAAAGGCACTGCTTACTGTGAGAAACAAGGTATATCTTAGAAGATTTAATCCAGTTTTTAAATATATCATTAAAAAAAAATGGTGTATATGATGTAAAAAAACATCCATTTAATCATGTAATTTTAAGACATTTATTTAAAATCATTTGATTGTTGTGTTCATTCTGGAGGTTGAGGTAATACCTAAATGTCAAAGCAGCATTTTGTTCAAAACAGGCTTTTGTAAAAACAGGTATATTTCATAATTAGTTACTGCTGCACTAAAAAGGTATTAGACAGATATACCAAACAACCAATAAAACAAATTCATTTTTTCTCAAAATATTTTGATCTGGACATTAACAACATTGTGTTTATACCTTTCTCTCTTTCCAATTTGTGTATGTGCCTTTGAATCTGTCAATGATTGAATCGTATCAAAATACCCCAAACCTCTAGAGAGGAACTGGAATAAATCAAGAAGTACCATTATGTGAGATAATGTGATGCCAAAAAAAGGTCCACAAATCATTTTAGATGAAGTTGATGAACCCATCAAAAGTACACTGCTCCAGAGGTACTTCATCCTAGCCTCATCAACATGCTTCACACATCAATTTAATTGTGAAAATAACTCAAGAGATTTAACACAAGCAGTAAAATGACACTGCATTCTCAAGAATGTATGATGATGAATAAGAAAATAAAGAGCTCTATAATGGAATTCTTAATGGTTTGTAAATAGAGGAATAAAAATCAAGCACAATAAACCACAAAAAATGGTTCATCCAATCCATAAAATACTAGGAATAGGTCACACACAGTCTCACAACAAAATATGCAGATTATTTTATATGTACAATAACACAAGCATGAGTTGAAGCAGAGGCAAGGCAGAGAAGAAGAGACACACAAAAACCATAATCGCACATATCAGCTCAGAAGTGGCCAGCTGTGGATGCGACTTTTTCATAAAGACCATCTGTTTCCAGTGATCACTTAAAGTGGTCCCACATCAGTCACATGGCATGATTTCTGCTGTGAAGGACTTGCAGTGCCCTCCCATGTTGTGTTTCTTGGGCTTGATCTGTACATGTCATTTAAAGCCACGGCAATAACACAGTGAAGTATTACCACAAAGCAAGCAGAACATTTTGTGTCAAGATCACCTTAATACTGCTTTTCTATGAGACAATAGATTGTGTTGACACTGCATTGGCAAACCTCAAACATGTTAACTTGCCACAAGCAAAGTTCTGCAGATGGACCATGCAGATAATCACTTATGATAAAAATGTTTAGAAAATCTATTTTTAATTACTTGCCCTTTACATGCCCGGTATAACTACCCTTAAGATATACAACTATTCTTTTTTTAAACAAAATAATATAGTTATGAATATGCATTACATTACAGGTGGGAGGTTCTAAAATAATAATTTCAGAAAGAAAAAAAAATTACATATGAAAGTAGAAGTGATGTAATTGTATGCAATGTACAAGGGATGGTCATGGCAAGCACAGACAAGAAATAGGAAAAAAAATAACTGCCCGGTATATTAAAAAAACACTGACTTTTGTTTTCAGTTGGGGTATGTTCATTCCTGTTCATAATCAGTCCACATCCTCATTCCTATGTTTTGCTTGTTCACACGCAAGCAAAAAATTTCATTGTGTTCTCCTATTCCCAATACAATCTGTGAATCAAATGATAGTACTTTTGTAAGACTTTAACAATATATCTCTAAAATACAACATAAAAAGTATGGCGTGAAACAAGTTTGATAGGATAGGGCTGTTTGTTTAGTATTCATGCTCGCTTGCAGACTGGTTGATCTAAACCAGCATGTATCCTATCGAAAATGGCCACACACCTACACATTATGTTTGCAACGCTGTATGTATCTAGGTGCATTGGAGCTACACATATCAACCAGTATGTGGGTGAGATCATCCGTGTGAATCCTCTGCAAAACCACAGCACTGCTTATATGTTTATGCCCACATCAAACATTTTGCACACAAACAAGTTACTGTTGTTTTTTAAAATTTCGATAATGTCAAATAAACAGGGCACATTGGATCAAATATTTACACAAAATAAGTACACAAATCAAACACATGGTTTGCCAATTTATGTACAGTAGGCATGGAATTGCTCATACCTCTGTGTAAGAAAAAAAATCAAATGAATGGCACACTTTAACCGCACTATGACTCCTGGGCTCCAGCAAACTATCATGTACTCAAACAGAGAGCTATGTCAAAGATCCATGATGAGGTGCTTTGGTATCTGCATAAGTGAGCATTTCAACCATGACTGGTAAAGGAAGATCTGATTCAAATTGCCTTTTCCTACATGATGGGCACACACAGCCTAAGTATGGACAATTGTTAAAGAAGCCTGCATGCACAAGAAAGCTGCTTGGATCACACAGCTTCATGAACAGATGCTCCAAGGCAACGGCATAGGGTCAGACTAAGAGGTGATTGATGATTTCTTGTGCTTGAGCTGGTTCTCACAGTTCACAGAGGAGACACAAGTTTAGACCACAACACCTCACAAACATTGATCTATAAGCTCAAAGGCAGAAGTATGGTCACACAATGGACAATTGTGCCTGAGCAAACTGATATTGGGCAGGAGAGAGAGGGGTTTGAACCATATTTTCTCACAAACCGATGTTATAGGAGCTCTAAGGTTGAAGTGCACGGTCAGATTGAGAGATGAATGATCATAACTTGTTCCTGAGCTGGCTCACGGTAGTCAGGAGAGGGGTTTGAAATGGAGGCTCTTAAAAAGTTCAAAGGCAGAAAATTTCCTAGGAGGATTGTTACTTGTGCCTGAGCTGGCTCATGGTGGGCAGGAGAGAGGAGGTTGGACCACACTGTCTCAGGAATGGATGCTCTAAGAGCTCAAAGGCAGATGCTCTCTGGGACGGATCTCTCACCAACAAACGCTCAATGAATCCTAACAAACGAGGTGATGCCTGCAAGAACACACAAGATATATCCAAATGAGATTATGAAGATAACAATTTACATAAATGCTGAAAGGACATAGATATGAACAGACAAATAAAAAGGATACATCTACTAAAGAATTTAAAACAATTTAACAACATATCAATTGTTAAATTATCTGAGGAGAGCATAATCTAATTCATATTTAATAATATTTGAATATGTCATGCATAACAGCATTTTCATTCTTGAACAAAAAACAAAGAAAGGAATTACCCAAACTATGTACTATACAATTTAATAATATCTGATAATTGGAATACTTTTCACATAATGAAATATTTTCCACTTCTAAAGCCCCTAAACATATCAAATATTCAAATACATTAACCTTCATGAATCCAAAACTTTTAAGACAACTTACTTTGTGAGTGTTCTTGAGTTTAGGAGGGGGCATGTCTCGGATGCGCCTCATAGCCTGGAGCGGGGGTTCGTTGAAGAATGGGGGTTCCCCATCCACCATCTCCATTACCATGATGCCAAGTGACCAAATATCAACCTGAGAGAGAAGTTGTCAAACATGAATTTAGAATTATAGTAGAGACTAATCATTTTACAAATGCATGCATACAAAGAAGATGCTCCTTGATTACAATAACAGCACATTTACATTTATGATATCCCTAAAAAAGATCTAAACTGACTTATAAATCTCCTTGATTGTTCATTACCGCTTGTTCTAGTCATGATGTGGCTTTAACACATATCAAGGATCATTTGATGATTGCGATGAAGAATAAGCATAGTTCCTATAACTACTGGAATATTTTTGATAATGAATATTCTGACCAAGCATATGAAATCATATGATCACAGGATTTAAGTTACTAGCAGCAAATATTGTATTACAGCATCACACAATTGATGAACATTTGGTATATTCTACAATTATTGATACTATTTGATTAAAGTACTGGAATACACAGATCTTTCAACAGCGGTTCAAGATTCAAGAAAGGAATGAACATTGAGATGGTCTCGTAAAATAGTCTTGTTTTTCCAGTCCTCTGTACCATAAGGTAAACTAGAGATAACATCTGGTGCCATCCAGTATGGCGCACCAACCAATGACAACCAACAAAAACATTAGAGTGCCTACAAATGGTCTGATATAGCCATGTGATTCTTACCTCTGTACCATAAGGTAACCTAGAGATGACCTCTGGTGCCATCCAATATGGCGTACCAACCAATGATTTCCTCTTCGGAGTGTCTGATGAGATCTGAGCACAGAACCCAAAGTCTGATAGCTTCACCTGTAAATCACAAATAAATGATATAGGACTTTACTAACATGGTGCAATTATGCTATGCATGGAGCATCACTAAGTACATAAATGACCACTCTAAAATGGGCTGATTTAAGCATTATTGATGATTTATAAAAAAAATATTTAAAAAAAAATGCAAAATTGCAATAGACAGTGAAAGTCAATCAAAGAAAAACAGATTCAATCCCAAAATATTGTTATTGATTAAGTAAAATATACTCACTTCACAGGTTATTACATTTTCTCATTATGACATCTTGATCAATAAAACCTGCCTATGATTGGTAGAGTAGAAGTATTTGTCCACATTCATGTCAAATTCGTCTCTAGCAACCAACACACTAATAGCGACATAATATCCAGAATGTGGAATTCTGATGACTGACAAAGTGACAATACAAAAAAATAACTGAAAGGCATGGGAATATCCTAAATGAGTATAAAATGATGTGATGAGAAGTTTTGGGAGCTTACATTTCCATCGTGTGTGAGAAGGATACTGTCACTCTTGATGTCTCTGTGAATGACTCCTTGAGAGTGCAGGAAAGCTAAGGCCTTCAGGATTGCTTGACACACATAGGCCACTTGTTCCTCTTGCATACGACTGGAATGGAAAAAAAGATATGAAAGGAGTTTTGCATTATTATCCATGATGACATGGACCTTAGAAACAATACTTCAAATTGAACCAAGATACAATTCAGGAAGTGATATTGCTCACCAATCTAAGACAACTGAAAATTAACCCCCCCCCCCCCCAAAAAAAAAGCTGATTCTCTTTACACAATTTTATTTTTCTATATTTTACCTCATGTACTTCTCTTAAAAGGAATATCCTCAACAATAAAAAGACCTCAACTGCAATGTTAGAAGAAAAAAAAAAAAATTAAAAAAATAAATCAAAATTATAAAAACACTATGAAGACATTTTATTCCTTGCAACAAGAATTTGAATCAAGGATGATACTTGGACACTTCTAATGAAACATCAATATGTGATTCAACCTTAAAATCACTAATCCATATTACAAAACAGTGCCTAGTAGCATCTACATTTAATCAAAGATGTACTTTCTAATTTGATATTACTGCCATTTAATTTCCAAACTACTCTGACTATCTTACCCTGTATGTGTCACAATGTCTGTGAGGGCCCCACCTTCCAGGAATTCCATGACGACCCACAGTTCATCCCCCACCAAGAAGCTATCGTACATCTCAACAATGTTAGGATGCTTGTAGTCACGCATGATCACCACCTGGTGTGAGAGAGGAAATAACCAATTCAATCTCATGTCTAGCTACATGTATCTCCACTGATTAAAAGCAACATGATGATGATCACTGACTGTCATAGAGAGTGAGGCTGAGACATGGTACCTACAATACAGTATTCAGAATGTCATATCTTCAAAATGTTGGTACCAAATTTCCTGCATAGAGCGATAATAAAGTGTAAAGAGATAACAATTGCTGAATGAAGATGATTCAATGAAGCTATCATATATCTCAACAATGTTAGGATGCTTGGAGTCATGCATGATCACTACCTGGTGTGAGAGAGGAAATAACCAATTAATCTCATGTCTAGCTATCTCCACTGATTATTAAAAGCAACATGATGATGATCACCGACTGTCATTGAGAGTGAGGCTGAGACATGTATGGTACATACAATACAGTATTCATATACAACCCATACCTAGAATATCACTAAATTTCCTGCTTAGAGTGATAATAAAGAGATAATAATTGCTGAATGAAGATGATTTCAATGGAGTACCGGGTATTCAATAATCAACATTATAAATACTTTCTCACCTTAGTGCTATTAATATCGACGCAGATTTGTTTGGTCAATATAGATTCAAGACAAGACAAGGATTTTATACCCAGGATGTAATACTCATGGTAGCATATTGTTTATATGCAATTATGCATGGAATTAAAACAGATTTAGGTTTATATTTGCAGTTAGAATATTACGAGAAGTCAAAGGAAATAAAAAAGGCATTAAAATGAACAAATCTTCTTGTATCAAAACTGTGTGCTCTAATATCATCCAAAGACAACATCTTTTATGAATAACTAGATTATTAATATTAAATTATGTTGCTACATGTTCTATTGTATGAGGGGTTGGGAAAGTATTCATACCTCATTGAAGAGCAATTCTCTCCTCTGCTGTTTTCTCAGATCCATCTTCTTGACAGCAACCTGTCGTCCAGAACTTGCCTCTGTGGCGATGCAGACAATCCCAGTTGACCCCTCACCAATCTTCACAAAGTTCTCCAGTTTGTACCGGGGGTCACCGGGGCTGACCACCATCTGCAGTGCACTGCGGAACTGTTCATGTGACACATGCTGTTCACCAGGGTTAGGGGTGGGGTTGCTGGGGGAGGGGCTGGAGTTGGAATGTGGCATTTGTCCTGGGGGGCGTTGTTGTTGCTGCTGACCTGGTGGAGGGGGCCCACCGTAACCTTGGGGTGGGGGCTGTCTGTTCTGAGGTGGATGTCTCCCTTGTGCATCTGGGTGCTGTAGATGAATATGAAGTCGATAATCACATTACAATACTGACATTTACACATACTGTACGCCTACTTAAGATATTAAGGTCTCCTGTGAATGAATTATGCAAGTGAAATGATTTAATGTAGTAAAAGAGGATTCATTCTTAAATGCAATTTTTCTTTATTTCTCCAGGAAATGTGAACAGACAGAGATATACCTGGATCATGTCAATTCAAGTGTTAAAGCAAGACAGGTTAACTCTATCAAAAGTTCACATTCTACAGTCAAACTGCAAGGACACCTGTGAAATTCACTTACCCTTGGTGGGAATCCCCCAGGTGGTTGGGGCTGGCCTGGTGAACCGGTTGTTCTAGGACCTGATCCTCCACTGCTAGTACTGTCTCTTTGGTATCCTCTGGGATCTCCTCTGGGATCTCCTCGTGGCCCCCCTGGTCCTCCAGGGTAGCCTGGTGGTCCTTGGCCTTGAGGTGGGTGAGCGCGAGGGTCTCCTGATGCCCCTCGTGGTAGACTGTGGCCATCAGGTCGCCTGTCCTGGTACCTGAACAAATTAAAATCATCATGAATTTTTGAATGCCCTAAGACATTTTACAGTAATAATTTAACAAGGCTATTTACATCATAAATGAGCATACATCATAGCACATTATTAACCATTTGAATAAAGATGCATTATAAACAGACAGACTACTGACAGGCTTCTTTATAAAACTTTAATATAAGGTAAGTGAATTTAGATTCAGATTCAGAAATGGTATAACAATTAGATACTATCTTATATTGTCATCTCAGCATAGAATGACCTCAAGTCATGCAGCTGAGTGTTTATTTGGGCACAAAAGCATCTTCTGTTTATTTGAGCATTTGTTGGATAAATTGTTGCATATCTGCAGGACCAAGGATGTATGACTCTCAAGACAAATGCACTGATGCTATCAAACAAAAATGTACAATGCTGCAAACTTAAACTGACCTTGGATCCTGGTTCCTGGGATCCTGATTCCTTGGGTCCCTGTTTCTTGGGTCTTGGTTTCTTGGGTCCGTACGTCTTGGATCATTTCTTGGGTCATACCTAGGGTCCTGCCTAGGATCCTGCCTAGGATTTTGTCTGGGGTCATTCCTGGGGTCATTCCTAGGGTCATTCCTAGGGTCATTCCTGGGGTTATTCCTTGGATCACCTTGTGGTGGCTGATCTCTTCTCATGGGATCCACCCCTCGACCAAGACTGGCCCCCCTGTTCTGCCTGTCATCCCTAGCTCTGGGATCTCCACTACTATAATTGTCCATTCTCTCATAGTTATCCTTGTTATAGTTATCCATAGGCTCATAATTGCCTCTACTGTTCACCGGCCTCTGCGGACCGTCTGGTCCATTTTGTGGTCGTCCGTTTGGTGGACCCTGGTTGTCATTTGGTCTGTAGCTGCCCTCTCTTGGTGCGTACTGGTTACCCCTTTGGTCTGGATGATTGGGTGGGGGACCACTACCACCACTACCACCGCTTCCTTTAGAGTTCAATCGGTCCCTCATCTCTCTGTTCATCATCATCTGCTGGGCACTGCTGTTTGGGTTTTGGTCATACGGATGTGCTGGAATCTTCGTGTTATCTTCAGGTTTCTTTTCCCCGCCCTAATAAAGCACAAGATTTTTTTTTAATGGTCAAACACATCTGCATGTTAGGATGATTCTGGGACTAATTATATTTTACTCTCAGTTTTCTTAACTCCTAGTAAATAAAAACATATACCAGGAAACATGTACCAGGAAACATGTATAGTGAAATATATAAAGAGATTGGAACATCAAGTCATTATAGTCATTTATAAATAATGCTGCACATCACTAGATTTTGATACATTACATATTATCAAATACAGGGGTTTAAAAGGCTTTTCAGTACTTGAAACTCATGATAAATATTCAGATTTTCATGCAGGCGCAAACAAGGCTTAGTCCGATGTCAAACATACATCATTATGGATGTTCTTAATTCAAACAATCATTGAAAGAGTGACTGTTACTCTACCTATCTTTTACATGAAATTTTGTTTTGAGGCTTTATTAATAACACATATCATAGTTACATATATTTTACCGAGATTTAAGTGAAAAGTTTTCAAATCTTTGTACATTCAAACCTGTCTATAGGGAAACACAAAAAGTGGTCTTTGTAGACAGGTTCCTTTAGTAAATGTTTCAAGGGAAACAAAAAATGTGGTCCTTGTAGACAGGTGGTCACTAAAGCAGGTTTGACTGTATTATAGTAAAAGTATAAGTATAACTGTTCTCACCCCTTGAGGGCCTTGTTGGCCTTGTGGATCCTCCTCCTGGTTTCTCCTCCTGCTCCTAGGTGGGCTGCCACGACTGCGCAGAGAGTTGGAGCGTGCCACAGACATCCGAGGCTTCGTCCCATTCTGCTCAGGAGACTGTGCATTGGAGCCCCGGACAATACCCTGAAAATAACACACCAAGATAATAGGGAATAGTGATTATTGAAAGGAAAGGGTATGAAACAATGATAAATCAACTTATTGAAATTATATCTTTCTAAAAATTGTAAAAAGAAATGTACATGTATGTGCATGTAGAAATAAATTGAGACACATAGTCAAAATAAAGAAAGGAAGAAATATAGGAAGAAATATAGGAAGAAATATCACTGGACTTTGAACTAGTCTCACAATAATAAATGCATGCCCTACACTCAGTGTGGTATATTTAGTAAACATAATAATAATGGTTGTACAGTACATCATAACATATACTGTAGTAGGTCAAATGAACAATAACAATCCATAAAAGAATATGATTAAGTGTCTAGACTGCAGTCTATTGTTCTCTATCATTGCAGCACTAATTACCAAAATCAATTTATACAGGTGACAGGATTATTTGACCTACATGTATACCTGTATTATCATAATAATTTGATATGTTTCAAGCTCTTCAAGTATTGCCTGCATTTAATGCCATTTGATTGACACTTTTAGCTCAGCCAAAACAAATCTAATGTATGTATTCAAATAACAAAATATGGCTTATATCAAAACTAAAATATGGACAAAAGTAGTTTGATCACAGTGAATAAGAAAGTGATAGCATACAATAGGGAAAGAGATAAAAGATTTGGGATTTCAAAACTGAGATGTTGGTTTTCTGTTTCATTGTTATCTATTCAGTGGGCATCCATCTCATTTTAAATTAAATTAGATGATAAATCACAATACATTCTTCAACTAATGTTCTTTTCTAAGCAAGGAAAACAATATTTTTTTAGAAATTTTGGAAAAAAGAAAAAGGGAAGAAAAAGCTTTCTATTTTTACCTTCAATTCAAAGGCTTCAGTCTGTGTAATACAGGATGGATCAACGATTGGTTTGGGTCTGGTCTCCTCTGCTCCAATGATGCTGGCCCACTGGGGCGGTAGCCCCACATACTTGCCCAGTCTGCGATCATAGCCGGTGTGCACTCGATGCTCAAAGTTAGATGGGGTGGATATCTTCACCTTACCGTTTCTCTTTTTAGATGTCATTTTCAAAGCGTTCTAGTAAAAGAGAAGAATTTTTTTTTAAATGAGGTGATGCATTGTCAGTGAAATGAAATAGCCATTGCATAAACATGTACATTTCATTATTTCATTATTGAATATGAAAGTTGGATCACTGATTCTATATTCTCAATTTTGATACTTTTCTTTTTCATGTATCAGCATTTATTTTGCAATGACAGGTCAAAGTATCAGAAGAGAATGATAAGCATCAAATCTAACTTTTGAAAAAAATCTAGAAAAATGCCTCCCAAAATGTACAATCATAATACATATTCATATTCAATACATGTATGCAATATCATACAAAGTTACAATAACCACACGGAACTTCTATTGATGAACAAATATAAACACTGTAATTGATAAAGAATGAGTCAATGCAGGCCTGAATCAATGAGATACAGTGTAGATTAAAAAGGAGAGCTTATTATGTACTTGATAGTGTATAAGCAACAGTCAACAGAACTCAACGAAGAAGTAAATGTACCTCCAACAGTCAGGATATTTACATGGTAAATGAGAAGAAAACTACAATTTCATTCTTACAAGAGAGCTACTCCACCCAATGTACTGTACAATGTACATGTTCTACAAACATACACTTTTATTGTCTAGGACTTACTCATTGATGAGGCATGGTTTGCTACGCTTCCTACACAAGTATGCAACAAATTATGGCAGAAGAAGATTAAACTACAGATATATATCTCATGCTACACCTGTGCACTACACCAGTAAATAAAATATGGTATGAATACTGCATTTGTTATGTGCATACAACTAGCATTGTTCATTTAATAGCAGATAAGGATGTAACTTTGGTAATAATTGTGTGATTGACCATGCATGAAAGTCAGAGTGCATTGCACAAATGAACTCATGCACTGTTCATTTCTTGTTTGTTAGATTGGTACATTATTTGTAGGCTGGTATAGGGAAATACAGACATGAAATTGCCTAGGTAAATATGTTCATTCTTAAGTTGCTGATATAAAGTACATCGATCTGCAAACAGGTACATGCAAATCATAGCAAGCAAGCTCCCGTATATTGTTGTTGACATACAATTATCCTCCTCTGTATATATGTACAATCCATATGAGTCATTAATTGTCATTGGGAACTACTGAGAATACTCTTCGAAACATGTTTCCACCATCAGCTTTGCAAGAGAGCTGATACTGATACACCTGACCTACAATAAATATACATGTACATGTACCTGAATACCCGATTTGACCTTGACATGGAACCTTGTGTTTACCTGCCAGGTAAGAAGAGGTTCATATGACCAAGGACCTCCATGATATGACTCTGGTTGTTTGGGGTTTAGAATAACACTCTGAGAGATTTATGTTGCAGTACCATGGAGGTGTTATAAACTCTGTAATATATGTGCTGGGGATCCTGTATACTTACAGAATATTCTGAACTTTAAAAAATCAAATAGGCCAGATTCTGGACTACATGTACCTACATGTATGTTCAAGGAAATGTATATATAAGCTCTTGTCTAGGAACTTGTATCTTTATGTAGACCATCTACATACATGTACATGTACATACATACACATCTATCTAAATTGAATCACAACATTCTTGCATTTCATTTTCACTGAAGGAGGAAGTTTATTGCCACAAAAATGACAAGATATCGACAGAGAAGCATTCACAAAAATATTAGATCTTTCTGGTTTAATAGGCTTGCATGTAGGCCACATGTACATGTACATGTAACTTGTAAGTGCGAATTTTAGAATACTATTTTAGAGTACTATATACTAGCTTTTAGAACATACATTCAGACAATGCCCACTAATATCAAGTCGGTTCTTGACTGCATTTACTCTGTAAAAATATTATCCATATATTACCTGCTAAATATGATCTTCTCTTGTAATGGTTATTCCTAGAGTTTGATAACCAATATTTTTCTGAAATATCCGAGCATCACGAGAAGAACTACTTCAGCATGTGTACCTGGAGTCATTCACTTGAGCTATATAGATTATGATACAGGGAAAGCCTTAATTCTCTGGACTCTGCCTTCATGCAGAGCGTAAAATCCAATTATGAGAGCAAGCAGGACCCCATACCTTCAAAATATTTCTTCCCCATCCTAGAAATTCCGTGCAACATAACAATCAACACGCAATCAACAGCATAAACTTTGCTTGTACAAATTAAGGACACATCGATGAACCCATATAAAATTTACTGTAAGCAAGGTACATGAATAAAAAGCTTTGTGAAAGAAAACTGTAAAAAACTGAGTTCTTACAATTTATCGGCTTTGCACAGAACTTTATGAGTACAATAGACTTAAATAGATTGAGTTCTACATGTACTTTCACGGTACTAACAAAACATATAGGACAATAGGCTATTTTCAGATTTCTGTATCCTGATGATTCCGTACCATAGACACTCGTACAGATATACATGTATGTTTTCTAACTATACGTACATACACATGCACAAATATATACCATTTAAAGGTCCCAGTTTCTTTGGGGTTTACTAAGAAATGTATTTTTTGGGGCATACTGTAATGTACCGGTATATCTTTTAGCTCTCCAAAGCTAATAGCTCAGTGCTGCTCCCACGTTTCTCATCATCATAATAATTTAACATAATAATATTTGGGGTTTATATGGCACTTAAATAATACATCCAATCGACAATGTCTCTACCTATAAATGTACATTATAAGTGCTTTACAGATATCATCCAACCATTACCTGTATCTACATACATGTACACTGTATGCACATAGAAATTTAAAGATACATAGTTACAATGTCACATGTCAATTTGTTTTTATATCAGAAACAACTTCACTTTATCTTATCAATGTTAGAAAGTACTGGCACTTCACATTCACCTCAATCTTCTGGTATCATACAATGTGCAATGGGCGTACAATGAACTGGAACACTGCATGTAATGGCACCAGTGCTGTAAAAGGTGTAGCGTCACCAGAGTGTATGAGGTTATGAAAGGTCATGTGCTGTCAATCTAAATTTTGACACCAAGGCCAATGATATAATGCACACTATTCTAATACCATTATAAACCCACATACTACATGCTGTTGGACAATGCTGTCTGTGTTTTTAACAATCATAACAAATTTGATTTCCTAGACTCTGGCATGAAGTCAATTACGGTACTAAAAAAAACATGATATTACCTGGCTGGATGTCTAAATGAGTAGTAACTGAAGTTGAATTCATGAGTTGTTTGAAAAGGAAATGGTACACAAATTGTTTTCTTTTTGGCAGAAATTTAAACTGATGTAACATCAAATGTAATGAAAATGGGGATGAGTGGAGAAAATGATAAAAGTTGGGGGAGGGTTTTAAAATATTTTTCCCCTTCAAGAATGATGCAAATGCTATTTATTTGTTTCATTCAAAATTAAATAAAATAAAGTTTGATCTGCATCATTACTCTGGAATAGAAAGAAAAAATACCTTTTCACTTTTTGTCCCTGTACATCCCATTATATAGAATACATTTATATATTCATATTACTCAACCTATTTCATTCTGCTACATTGTACATTTAAACATAGAACAATACGCACCTGAAGTTGTCAGTAAATGAAAATGATCACCATGCATATTAAACGGGTCCTAACTCTCCTGAGTAGTGCAAGTTAATAGTGCATACAAATACTTTGCCTCCCAAAATCACACTACACTGTATGACATGGGTTTCCAAAACCACTCATAAAAATCACCTTAAATAAAATATGAGTAAGAATTGTGAGTGAAGCAAAATACATGGGGAAATGATTTGTTTACAAACACCAGCATTCTACAAGAACAAAATAAAGGATTTTTTTCTTCCAATAACCCAGTTCACCTTGAATGCAGAGAGTCAGACATGTGGGCTTGCTATTTCTATGATTAACCCCCGTTAGTCATCCCCTACAATGTCAATGGGTGGGACTGATACCATGTTAATTGACTGTATGGAGATATTATCAAGGACTATCCAAATACATGTAACTGTGAGTAATGCAAGGAATTCAGTGGGCGGGTTCTCCATTGACTAGACCCAACGCCTTGCCTGTAACGTACTGCATGACACAATGCATTCAATACTCCTAGGAAGGCCTGCACTGGCTGCACGCGAGATTTGTTATTTTGCACTGCAGAACAATGGCAAACAAAACACAGGTACCAAAGGTCTTCTTGATCGTGTGACAATAGAAAACTATTTCTCCCAGCCATGAAGCATGTACTTCAGCGCTTCTTGTATTTTCAAAATAAATTGTGTGATCACTGTTATCAATATCATTATCAATTTTTATTGATAAAAATTAGATTTTACTAAAAATAATTGAGTTTTGGAATTTTATGGAGTAATTTGTCTCTATGTACCTGTAAGTGTAACTATGAGGGTACACTGTCAATTTGAGCTGTGTAAACTTGTTAAAAGGTCAAACACTTAGTGTAAGGTATACACAAATCAATCATAATTTCTCACTGAGGTACTAAATATTGCAAGTACAATGTATGCACTTTATTAACTACCAATTTGATTTATGAAAGTTTGCAAAAGGTATTTGTTATGTTTTAAATTGATATGTACATGTACATGTACATATGTACATGTACATCTAAACAAAAAGCTGGATGATACAATTTTTCTACATATATGTACATGTAATGCTGCATGGCACTATTACTATTATCATATCAGATTATCAGGAGGCATATTTTTAATAATTTCTTTCATAAACAGGATACCAAACACCCCAACATTATTTGTCAAACTAGAAGTTTAACTCATCCATAAAGACATGTAGTACTCATATGTTTATCTTGTCTGTTGTGGTTACATGCATGTACAGTGTAGCATGCAGTACCTACATGTATACCTTCATAACAATTCATAATCATTCAAAAGAACATTTCTATTCTGTAGTGTGTTGACTACAAAGAAAATATTATCCTCTACCCAAGGCTTTCCCCCGTATAATTTGAAAAGCTTTGAAAACCTTGACTGTATGCATGTGCATATTTTAAAGTATCTTGTTTTATTGAGGGTGAAGCATAATACATTGGATTTTAATATAAAGTTTTTCCCTGTGCTATGTGAAATGAATTGGAATGTGTATGTACAAGCCATTTGATGGAGCCTAGTAGCCTACATATTCAGTTAAACTACAGCACTAATAATAGAAATTAAAATAACATAGGCTAGGTTAGCATTTTTGATAGAAGCAGGATTTGATTACAACTTACCCCCATTTCATTCCTATTGAAGAAAGAAATAATAAATAGAAGAGTGACAATACACATGCAAAAAAGAAACATGAAAAGAGCATTACAGTACATGTACATTGTAGTACAGTGATGGTTCTGGGCGTAGTAAGGGCTCCACTGTAACTTTTTTTGAAGGCGGTCCGGATTTAAAGTTTTAAAGTCTCTACAGTATACATTGTATATTAAACGCATTTAAAGCCCTACATGTACAAATCTCAAAAATGTTGGGGTCCGGTCTTACATGTACATGTAACTTTTAGGTGCCCATGTGTCCGGGTGCCTGTACAGTGTAAGTGTCCAGCCCTGGCATAGCTATGTTTGAACTCTGAACATGAACTGCGCATGCAAATAAGTCTAACATATTATCTATCAAAAGTTATTCATGAAATTACCCCTAATGATTTCTGAACACAAATCAAGCTTAAAGTACAAGTCCACTCCAAAAATAACTTACTTTCAATACAAGCAGAAAAATCAGACAAACCAAAAAGTTTGAGCAAAATCAGATAAATAATAAGAAAGTTATGAATTTAAAAAAAAGTATGTACATGTACATGTAAAACAATGGAACAATGAAAATCACTACACAAATTGGGAACGCACTCATCAGTTTGTGATGTCATGTCCTCACTATTTATCAACTGCTTTATATACGGTAGTTTACTCCCACTAATTTCCCTTTTTCTCCCCCAAAACTTGATTCCCCCATAGCTTTGCCTACGTTATATGATTTGTATCACTTTCATATTGCATGCAAGACATTTCACAAAATCTTTGAAGGACTTTGAAGAATTGATACTATTTTTTTAATATTGTATATATTCATAATTATTGATTTTTATATAAATAGTTTATCAAAATTCTAAATTTTTCATGATTTAACTGGAAACAACCCCTCTATATTGGTGCATCCACACAAAAACATATTACTATCAATCTAACTTGGATGCTGGTGTGAAGAAATAAGATTCTTAGGGGGAAAATAGGACATTTATATTATCAATATAAAGAAAATAATCAGTGGATAGTGAGAACATGACATCACAGACTGATGAGTGAGTTCCCAATTTGCCTTGTGCTTTTCATTTTTCCTTAGTTTTACATACTTTTTCAAAAATTCATAACTCTCTTATTATAGTTATTAGTTATCCGATTTTGCTCAAACTTTTTTGGATTGGTTTGTCTGATTTTTCTGCTTCTATTGAAAGTAAGTTATTTTTGGGGTGGACTTGTCCTTCAAGAGATGGTTGGTTGAAAAATAGCAATGAAAACAGACATACCGGTACATGCACTAAAGCTTTTCGTCTCGCCCTCATTGGGGTAAATTGCAAGAATGAACAGAAGGCCCAACTCAGACAATTATAAGCGGAAGCTTAATAACCAAGCGCGCACAACATTAACGGCTGTGATTGGCTACCGGAAAGTAGACGCAAATCCAGCCATTTAATGACATGTGCCTACTTCTATCCAAAACCGTCAGATTAAGCTTACATTCACAACCCAGGCACTTGTGTAAGCAAACAACGTGGCAGATAATGCTAACTCTGCTTTACACACCACCTACTGAAGAACCAAGAAGGTGTTGAACAATATTGTTCATGATCTTGTTTTTTTTTTTGCATTGTACATAATAAGGATGTGCACAACAGTGTAATGAGGTACCCGAGTACACTCCCAGGCTTATAAGCGAATACTCGAATATTCGGACGCCATGTTTTTTTTATAATTTTTTTGATTTTTTGTTGTTGAATTTTTTTGAATTTTTTGATTTGTTTTCTTTTTTTTGCCACCACCATACCACTGGTGCAGTATCCCAGTATCGCCGAAAACGCATGCAATTTTACTTTGAGTTGCAGTTGAAGGCGCCAATTTAATCATAATAATAACAGTAAACAATACTGTTTTAAAACCCAAAGATGGCAGAATAGTCCTCCGAGTCCAAACAGAAATCCGGACATTTGGTCCCAGTTTCTGAGTGGTGAGTTTGACAGTGCTTGAGTTGGGAAACATTTTTACCGACGGTACTATGGCAGCGGCCGCCGCTCTCCCTGGCGCGGGCAAGCGTGGGCCTGGACAGTTTTTTTTTTTTGTGGCCGAATATTCGGGTACGAGAAATTGTACCCGATTAGTTGTCAACCGTGCGGGTACTCGAGCATTTGACTACCCGTCGCAGCCTTAGTACATAATGTACTTGAACTTGATTAATTATTTATGCAAACTATTTTTTACATGACCTACATGTATTTACATGTAACTGTTTATATTCATTCACACATGACAGTATTACATGAACATTCTATAAACATAAAGGTGGATGAATTGCTCTTTGCGATGAAACACTTTTTTTTATTAAACAAAATTTATCAGGACATACAGTAAATGTACAGTGTAAACTTAATAGGTGATTAATGATGGGAAAAGTCAGTCAATATGGAAACTTATTGTACAATATAGATCTAATTAGTAAAATTGTATATATTTGATTTGAGACATGTTATTTAGGTTCTCTTTTACAGTCCTTCATAAAATCTGAATAATTTTTATTTCCAAGTAATTTACCCTACCAAAGAAAAGGAGGAAAGCTAACAAAGGAAATAAATAAACTGCTAGTTTATAATTGTGGACATCTGTCAAATTGCAAGATTTAATAACTCTTGTATTTCTCATATTTTCTGAAACTTTTACTAGCACATGCCTACTGTCTCTTGACTCTCGCTTCGCCATGTTGAATCGACGATACAACATCAATGAATCGTCTGGTTAGGACGAAGAATCACCCTTTTTCCCATCAAACTTCTTTGAATTATAATTCTGAGTGGTTTGAAAGATGCCCAGAGGAGTCGAAAAACATTGTAAGTCAAAATTGTAATTATAATCTACTATCTCTTTACATTGCGAAAAAAATGTGACCCAACCCACTGTTTGAATCGTTTTCAGAAATGGGCTCTGGAGCTCTGGAGCTGGGGCCCGTTCCTAGAAACCGTCATAAGTCTAACTTCTTGACCATCCCATTGAAACGTGTGTTATAGAATTAACACACGTTTCAATGGGATAGTCAAGAAGTTAGTCTTAATTCTTACGACAGTTTTTAGGAACGGGCCCCAAACGCCTTCGACATTGGCGTCAGAGCTCCCTGGATCTGGAGTTACTTTTTTTTAGACTTTTGTAAAACAAAACTAGATCTAGACTACATGTAGATTTACATCTAGATCGAGGCCTAGAATCTAGGTCTAGTCTGATTCTTTCTATTGTTGTAGTCTAAGTCAGGTTCCAAATTCCCATAATCTTTCAAAAGAATGCCACCAGATAGCAACAATTTATTTGAGTAGCTAGCTATAGTATAGGGCTCGCCTCTACCTCCACAGCTAGCCGCTCCGCTCGCGCTCCGACATCACTCATTAATCATTTTTACATTTGTCACCCGGGCCCGTGCAAACGGTGGCCCACAAATTGAACACAAATTGAACAAGTCAAGAGTTCCGCAGAACCAGCCAAACACACTACAACATGTCACTCCTAACTGTATAAACGATTATGATATTGATAGATTAGGTACACGATCAACTTTGTTGAAAGTAAAATGCTACTTACTAACCAGATGACATCAAGGAATTTCTCTTCAATTTGTCTCTTCAGTCCCTCGCACTTAGATCCATGTCCAAGACGCCATTCCGTAAACAAATTTGTATACACCCAACATCCGGGTCATTGGGATTGGTGTGGCTTCCTTGTCTGTCATATGTATCCGGATCCGAATTCAAACAGAGGTCTCTCATTTTCAGCTCCACCCCACGATGCTTTGACACCATCAGTTTCGACTCTCAGATTGAAGTAAAATAAAAGTAAGGTCAAAATAAACAAATTGCGAGTTTTCCTTAATCTTTTCAAAATTAAAGAGAGGCGAATTTCGGATGGGCCTATACTATTTTGGAATTTAAGTTTAAAACAAAAAGGTATCCCATTTTGCAGCCAACATAAAATTCTGTAAAATTTTGCAGGAATAATATGAATATTCACGTAGACTATATCTCCTATCTGTATAATTAAAACGTTAGCAGCGTCCTAACCCCTTTTACTTTCTAGACTTCATTATCAAACACTATTGAGTGAGTGACTGAATTCTTTTTTTCTTTGGTAATAACAAACATAAAATCATTAAAATGAGCTGCATATGTAAAGGGTACATGATCATTTCTACATCAATAACCCGCGATCTTGTAAAATTAAACTGATGGAGTCTTTGCGTAGCAAATAACGTACGACCGTTCGGTACAAGGATCTGAAAATCAGACTATTTAATTAAACGACTGCGATAGCTAAATTCCATTCGACAATTAAAAGTCTCTTTTTTACCACTAAAAGACATTTTCCAAGCCCTTTTGTTTTGAGGGAAGTTCTAAATTAGTATTATCTTTCAAACTATTTAACCTTTTCATTCTTTTTGGCCTGCAGATGGGAGAAAGTAGTTTTAAGAGATACATTTTCCAGAATTTGATATAAATTTGAATGGTTTCAAAGCATTTAGTACAGATTATTTATGAAGTAAGTTGTATAACCTACAGCCAGTGCTCCATTGATGCGTGCCTGGTTGGAGTAACACAGTAAAAACCTTTCTCCTGTTATATATACTCCAACGTAGCTTCCAAGTATATATATGATTATTTTCATTTAGGATTCAGGATTTCGGTCAATAATCTGCAAAATTAGGCGAAACGTCAAATTTAGACCTATATAGATTACATGTATATTGAGCCAGAAACTTGTGGGACAACATTGAAGAGGGCCGAGTTTTTTAGGGTGGAACTGCATTAGGTTTTGCACAGCCGACTAGTCGTTGAGGGCAATGGTAACCGGAATCCGTTCACCACAAATCAATATCCGTCGCGGCTATGTCACATGCATGCAAAATACATGTAGTACATGTATTGTGTTAGTCTTCTCCCTCTCTCTCTCTCTCTCTCTCTCCAGGGAGGTGCCCTGCTCTCTCTCTCTCTCTCTCTCTCTCTCTCTAACTCTAACTCCATTTTCTAATTTCTTTTGGCTTTTTTTATCGAGTAGGTGGAGGGTTTAGGATTTAGGGTTAGAATTGTATGGACGAACTGTCAGGCATTTTTTTTTCGGGGGGGGGGGTAATTAAATTGGCTCAGTATTGATGGGTAGGGGTTTCGAGGCTTGAGTGGCACACCCCCATCCCGACCAAATCTGAGTATCCCTCCGGGGTATTTATCAAAACAATTAAATTCAGCTCAAGGCTGAAATTGTATGTTTTAAAAATTAATCAGATAATTATTTACAATAAAATGATACCATCATCAAAATGCAAAAGCAATCTAACAAAATAACAATGGTAACATCACGCAGCAATACTATAAAAGATTTAGAAACATGTATCGAAGATGTGAATAATAGTTCGAGGATAAATCCAATAGAGCATATGTTCAGGAATATAAGGCTGTTTGCACACAATAATATCACTTTAGACGTTCAATTTAAGTTGAGCAAGCTAGCTAGAGAGTTTATAATATTACACAGATGTAGGTCTAACACATAAATATGGAGACCCATCGACATGGATAATGAAAGAAAATGAAATTCCATCGCAAAAACAAACCACATGCAGCAATCCCAAAAAGTCAACCCCCCCCCCCCCCCCCCCCCCCTTCAGAAAAGACATGCTTATGAGTGTGATTTTAAAATTACCGAAACATTAGTGAGACAAATTATTATACCATCATAAAGATACTAATTTTTTTTTTTAATCGTTCTAAAATTACCTTTTTTTAATAACGAAAATTGTAATAATTACTCTGCTGAGTTCAAGAAGTAAGGAGAAAAAGTTAATAAGAGCAGAGGATGGGAAAGCTAAGAATGATTAGCGTTCATCAGCAACAATAAATAAATGCAAACGTGAAAAGGAGAATTATAAATCACAGTTGATTGTTAAGAAGTCGTACGATAGAGGGGGTAGTTTACGTACGGTGTCTTTCAGTTCTTTAGTTATGTAATGAGAGTTTCTGAGTTCACGGCAAGAGATTTGGCGACGAGTTGGTGGTAGAGGATCATGATGTCATGGTGAAACAGTTTGAGAGAAAAGGACTCAAGAAAGGCAAGATGGCGAGAATAAACAGTCTGGATGAGATGAAGGAGAAGATTTCTTCTTCATCTGTACTCTTTCTTGTCTATTCTTCTTCTTCTTCTTCCTCTTCTTCTTCTCCTCCTCCTACCTCTTTTTCTTTTCCTTCTTACTTTTTTCCCCTTCTTCCTCCTCCTCCTCCTCCTCAGGTTTCTTCCAACTATAGAAAATAGGGCTGCTTAACCAATTGATTAATACATTACATGATTGATTTTTTTAAAATACTTATTTATATATTCATCTTACGATCTATCTATCTTTCCTTTTTTCTATTTACATATTTTGTTATTTATATATCTACTTGACATGTCTTAAGCGCCAAAAATAGATATACACTATAATGCTCCTCTTTTATGCCATGTGAAACTATGAACATATTTTCTGAGCCCCTACTTTAAAAAAAAAGTAATTCTGAATTGATGTCATATGATCAGTTATATTAGCTTTTCAATATAACTGATCATATGACATCAATAATGACCCCAAGAAAATCATTACTTAAGATTACATTACATGCAATTCTAAATTTGACTTTAGTTCGAATTATCATACACTAGTCGGCACAGACGCCTTTTCCTTCAGTTTATGATATGACACTAAACTATGCCCTATCTTTTACTAGATTCTTGATCCGCCTTGAAGCATAAGGTAAAAAAAAAATTTATAATATACAATTTTTTCATTTTTTCAAGTTAAAAATCGCAATGCATTCACAATGAAGGGCATCACCCTGAAACCATCGTCATAATATCATACAGATATCTTTACACGTAAACGAGAAGAAGAGTTACATGACGAAAGTTTTTGAAATTACAATGAAAGCCACAAATCCTTGGTAGTATAGTGGTGAGTATCTCCGCCTGTCACGCGGAAGACCGCGGTTCGATTCCCCGCCAAGGAGGGCTTCTCTTTTTTCTTTTTTTTTCTGAACCACACAAGTCATTATTATCATCACTTTTTTGTTAAATTAAAAGATTCAGAATCGACCTAAAGCCCCAGTCCCATATAAAGCCGGACCAGCACGGACGAGCACGGACCACTCCGGACCATCCCGGACCATGGTCTGGGTTGATCCGGGATAGTCCGGGATGTTTTGTTCAAAAAAGTGTGATGCTTTAAAAGCTACAGTCCCATATACGTCCCGGACCGTCCCGGACCATCCCGGACCCCATCCGGGGTGATCCGGGATTCGGTCCGTGTTGACACCGTGTTGGCACCGGGGTGGTCCTGGATGGTCCTGGATGGTCCTGGGCGGTCAATAACTCACTCCCGGACTGCCACGGATCAACACGGACCGCCCCGGCGCCACTACGGATGACCCCGGACCCAGCACGGTGGCTACACGGATCACCCCGGATCAAACTATTGTCCCGGACCGTCCCGGACCACCCCGGCAGTTTTTGACCGTCAAAAACATCCGGGGTCGACTCCCGGACCGCCCAGGACCATCCAGGACCATCCAGGACCACCCAGGACCATCCAGGACCACCCCGGTGCCAACACGGTGTCAACACGGACCGAATCCCGGATCACCCCGGATGGGGTCCGGGATGGTCCGGGACGGTCCGGGACGTATATGGGACTGTAGCTTTACCAACACAATATGAAATCGACTCTACTTTGTTTTCCTTTGCTTGATCAGAAATTGTTTTTTTGTTTTTTTTTTCAAATTTATTTATATATAAAAATACTTAATTATATTGTCTTATTAAATTTTTAATATTTGTACGGAGCTGTGCCCCATAATATATTACAAGATTCTTGATCCGTCCTATGGCATAAGGTAAGGAAATCTTTTCTTCATAGAACTAAACTTTTTTTTTAAATCGCAATGCATTCACAATGAAGGCCCTGAAGGGCACCACCTGGCCTGCATCAAACCAAGGAGTTACTACACTGTAGTAACTCCTTGATCAAACATCATGAATACATATCATGCAGATTTCTTTTCACGTAACGAGAAGTATAGTTACATTGACAAGACTTTATGAAACTACACTAAGAGCCATCAATCCTTGGTAGTATAGTGGTGAGTATCTCCGCCTGTCACGCGGAAGACCGGGGTTCGATTCCCCGCCAAGGAGGGCTCCACTTTTTACATTTTTGTTTCTGAGCCACACAAGTCATTATTACTATTAGACAGCAATAACCATCTGATTTGGGTCATTTCTTTAATAAAACTGACATTTGTTGTCATTCTATAATCGGAGGTCTAGTGGAGCCAGACGTAGTCTCAGTGGAACAACCGAAGATTAGAGAGACTGAAGTTTTCGGTCTATATTACTATACACTTTTTTGGGGTAAAAAATATATTCTGAATCAACATTTCCATCACAATATATCAACTACACTTTGTTTTTCCTTTGCATGATCAGAAATTGTGATAAGTATTTTCTTTAAATTTCATTTATACACGTATATATTGGCTTATTAAATTGTCAATATTATTTTGTACGGAGCTGCGTCTCATAATTATTTTACAAGATTCTTGATCCGTCCTATGGCATAAGGTAAGGAAATCTTTTTTTCATAGAGCTATACAATTATTTTGTTTAATCGCAATGCATTCACAATGAAGGGCATCACCCTGCATCAATCGTCATGATAACATATCATGCATATACACGTAAACGAGAAGAAGACTTACATGAGAAACATTTACGAAATTACATTGTAACCACCAATCCTTGGTAGTATAGTGGTGAGTATCTCCGCCTGTCACGCGGAAGACCGGGGTTCGATTCCCCGCCAAGGAGGATTCCTTTTTTCCTTTTTCGTAGCCAATTAAAGGTCAAGAAGCAGTAGATAATAAGTGGTTATTGGCTATTCTATTGTTGACCACTATAGAACGTACTTCTCGGTAATGCGGACCAGCTCGGTTTAATTTAAGCCCCTTTTATTATATCAATAGACTTCAATGTGAAAGGCTTTTTGTATTCCCTCATGAAAGTTGAAGTGCCCTTTTATAATGTCAAGTAAATGCCTGGCTATTATCGTTTGCAAATCAAAAGTAGTTTACAGACTAGAAATGCTTGGATGGGACAGTAGAGAGTGGATAAGAAAATGAAAGGAAACTATTCATGAGAACAATGGTACCTATAGCTAGACAAACAGACTCTCTCTCTCTGATCGGATTTGAGGATTCCGCCATATTACAGGTATCATAATTTCATGCGAGTATACCTCTATATATAACATGACAAACAGTGAGTTTGTATATCACTTAATATTATTGTATATCATTGTGTAACACCTAATTTGAGACAAAGCTTGTCTGAAAAGTGGAAGAAAAATTATGCGAGGAGAGGCGTTTTTATTCTTTAAAGAGGGGCTGCACTACTTGTAGCTACTTGCGCCCTCTATATATAGCCAATAATGTATAAGTAGTACCCGTTGATCCCCAAATGGTCCCTTTTTCTTATGTTAACCGACTGCGCTCTCGTCGCTCTATATAACTGGTACCCCAAACATTATGTTTCAGCCCACCCACCCCCCCCCCCCTCCCCCTCCCCCTCCCCCTCACAAAACCCTGCACACGTCCATGATATATCTGTAAAGATATAATCTGAGGGGTCCCACCCCTAATATTTTGTAACTATAGAGTGCTGTTGGCTGGATGATCATGACAAGCACGCAGTATCGCATGCTAACATAGTTTTACCCACCACTGGGTTTGTCGTTTCAAAATGAATACTTTTATTTTTTCAAGTTATACTGATGTTACTTCACAGATAGTTCCATGGTATGTATTGCCAGACAAGCAAGCAATTAACAAAGCAATACACAAAAATCGTCACTTTTAAGGGTGTCTTTCCACTTCAAAATTCCTTCGTCTCACATTCTGCAGCACCCGGCCAAGCAACCCTGGTTCACAGGAGGAAAACAGGACCATGATTTTTAAAGTAGCCTAAAACACAATGGGGCATCCGTCATGTAAAACATGGATATCAATCAACGGCAGGTGATTACACAATACACCGTTACAAACAAACACACAGTAAATACAACAAGGCCAATATTTATGGACTAAACATATGTCAACTAAATTTCGTACCATTTCACATCCGGGAACTAGTCATAAAACAAAAATCCCTCTTCACCGCAACTGTTCAACGATTTATTTTTAGAATGACTTTAAACACGTGTCAAACTTTGCGTCATCGTATTCATTGCGCGGTGAAATTGGGAGGAAAATTTAATATAAGGCGTCAAGGGTAGAGAAAAAATATCACACCTCATCTTGCTTTGACTAGATGCAATAATCAGATCTACATCAGATTTATAATTTAATATAAAGACTTACACAGATTAAATCAAAGGGATCTCAATTTTGTGCTTTGGGAAAAGGGAAAGAATATGGGTTTGTTGGTTTCTCGAGTGATGTCTTTATTCAGAGAATGGTCTCAAGGAAGTCCGTCCAGGCTGTTAATGCTTGGACTGGATGCAGCAGGTATGTCTCTCTTAATTGACTTTTCATTATGACGACGTTCCTTTTTTTTTTCTCTCTCTCTCTCTCTCTCTATTACCCTGCACTGCTTAATTTCTGCTACTTTGGAATTCTTGATATTGGATACTATCCATTATACCGTCCGACTCTACAAGAGGGATGAAAAGGGAGAATAGAGAAGGGGAAGAGAAAGCTCTTATATCAGTGGACCGGTGGGAGGGGTGGGGGCAAGTCACTGGATGGGGAGGGGCACGATAAATAAATCTAAAACTCAATCACTCAGTCACTCTATGCCAATTACATAGGCAAGACCCAGTGTCTTTACAGGCCGAAACTGATAAAAAAAAAACTGCAACGCAGTTAATGTCGAGACCGTCCCACCTGTAACAGGGTTATCATTCACATGGGGTTTTCGACTTAAATAACAGGATACAATTTGTCAATGAACCTGCAACCCACTCACTCAACCTTCATATCTCCATCTTTCTCTCCATTTCTAGGGAAAACCACGTGTTTGTACAAGCTGAAGCTGAATGAAACAGTAACGACGATCCCGACCATCGGATTCAACGTCGAGACCGTCACACCCTTACCAGGGTTATCATTCACCATGTGGGATGTCGGCTATCAGGATAAGCTCAGACCATTGTGGAGACATTACTACCCTGGGACAGACGGTAAGGAATATGAATTATGATAAAACCACAATCGGTTCTAGTAGAATCTTTTGTTGGATGGGGGTGGACTTGGGAGTTCTGACATTCATTTTCTGCATGTGCCTTACTTAAATTCAATGTTGATCAATAATGTTTTTGGAGTGACGTGAGTGGAGGGGGGGGGGGGGGCTTAATTCCACAAGACCCCTTCAATACTGCTACGGGATCATATAGCAAATGATTTGAATTCTCACTTGCTTACGCACATTTTAGTCGATTTAGTGTACATCGAACTGAATAAAGAAAATGTTATGGGTATTTTTTCTCGAGGATCTAATTGTATATTTTGTTTTGATATGCATTTTTTTAAAGATACTTTGTTGTTGATCGTGCATGTGTAGTTCAAATTAGCTAGACTGATAGTTTTACTAATTCTTCATCTTTTTTTGTTGGAAATATCTGGCGCGCATTATACAATGGAGTATTATTATATTTCTTTGTCTTCTGCAGGTGTGATCTTTGTCGTAGACAGTCAAGATCAAGAGCGTTTCGCAGAGGCCAGGGACGTACTACTCGGTATACTGCAGGATGATGCGATGGACAGAAATGTCCCTGTCTTAATCCTCGCCAACAAACAAGATATGCCTGGTATTTATAGCATGAAAACTTATTTTCATAACTTTAAGATATACAATTAATTGTTATACGTAGAATAACTTCGCAAACAAAATTTGTTTCCACAAAATTAGAAATTACAAAACGAATTTTAGATGTGGATATTGTGAAATTGAGGCTTTCTTCACTATATTAGTATGTGCTACTTTATACTCATTAGTTTTATTTTGCGCGGTAAAGTATGCTGTTATCTTACAGCAATTTTTTTGAAACCTTATTTCATTTCTTTATGAAGGTGATATTCATAGTTATTACATTTTCACTCATATTCCTGACGTTATCGACTGCAAGTGAAATACGCTACAATGCATGGGGACTCACTCACATACCATGGTATGCATGCATGCTTTCACCAGTGGCAGATATAATGAACCTAAAAGAAGTGTATAAATCATTAATATGGCAGTTGGCCTAAAAATAAATGGGGGTGCCCTCCCCCAAACCTTATGATAATTTATCATGCTACGGGAATCGGTCAAAGAAACTCCTATTTTCTAGATCTGTCTTTGGAAACTGGCATTTTCATACCTGTGAGCTTTATCAAATTGAATGACAAGCAATAATACCTGTATTCCTTACGATTTCTTCATTTCTATTTCATTTTGTTTAAAGGTGCATGTGATGTCACTAAATTGACCGACGAACTCCAACTCCAAAACCTTACCCAGAATTCTTGGCATATCCAAGGCGCATGCGCTACAACTGGAGATGGTTTGTACGAGGGACTTCAACAGCTTTCGAAGATGATCGCAGAATTCAAGAACTCTTGATAATCTTGTCACAGACAATCAATAGTCGTTGGATGAATCAGGAATGTTAAGACAAAACAAAACAAAATGAGCTATAATGCCAACAAGGGCCCCGATCCCTCTATATAATTGATGTGCAGATATGCAGATGTGCATGGTAGATTGAGGAAAGTGGGGGGGGGGGGGGAGGCTGGCAAGATATTTGATTGTCATACAGTGATCCTTTTCATGAGTTATTGCTGCGTCATTAGGGACTTTTAGATTTGCACGTTGTCAGCTTTGACTGCAACGTGTGACGTCATTTTAAGGCACTGCGCATGCGTTACGACGTCTCAGTCGGCGATCGAGAATGCGTCAACCTTTATTTTTCTAAATCTGTATAATACATACATATTGATATTTATATAGCGCCTTTACAGTCATGCTCAAGGTACTAGTGTGTCGCGTGCGCATAAAATATACAGTTCCTCAGGTAGACAAAGCCGAAACATCCCTTCCCTGCTATTATGTAAAAATGTGTAGAACAGGTGAATATGCATGCATATTCACCTGTTCTACACATTTTTACATAATAGCAGTGAAGGGATGTTCTTTTGTTGAGGGTAGAATGAGGAACTGTATATTTTGTCCTCTTTCTTTGTCCGTGATGTTCATAATGTTACTTCCTGCATGCATGTATATCGTCGAGTGCAATCTAAAAGATTTCTAATTGTAGTCAACATGGGCAGTTAATTACGTTGACACGCATGATCAGTTCGTCGTGTTCTCGTCCACTCATTCTAAAAGTCCCTAGTATCGCGGTTTGGTCACGAAGGGTATATACACGTAGCTATGGGGTCGCCGTGCCTGCATGGTGATTGATTTTATCGGTAAACTTTTTTCAATTATTAAAAAAAAAAAAGTTATGTCATGTCCCGATTTATCCTTCATAGGTAGCATAATTATAGGATTATGTGTGAAAGCTAGATAGCAAGACAGGTTTAAAGATGATTTAACCACCACTGAAATGAAATTTAGACATGTAAAGCCTATACTGTAGTTCATTGATATTGATTGGAAGAAGAAAAAGAAGAAAAACACGTAAATAAGCTAGTTATATTCTTTTGGGGGCAATTCTTTGGTTAGATCATTCCAATACGTTTCACATGTTATTCAGTTTATTCATCATCTGATCGGTAAAACATTTAGATAATCTCGCCAGAACATTTGTTAGAAAAGTATAAAGGAATTTAGATTCAAAATAATGTGATTTTCTCTATTGTCATAGGAAGTGATAGCACATTGTGAATAATGTTGTTGTTTTGTATATTCATTTAACCAAATGTTCACATGACTTGTATATAGAAATGTTTTTATTAAATTTAATAAAGTGAACTGGAACTTGAAATATGCACCACCTATTGGCCAATAGCACAAGTACGCTTTTTGGGGGCCAATACAGTGCAAAGTCAATATTGGCCCTGACTGACTATGTTAAAGTATGTAATCATTTCAACCTTTGGAATGGTCTGATGCAAAAACTAGTTTTGAAAGAATATCAACAACAAACTCTGTATGTTTGCCACGACCTTTAAATCATTAAAGTGATCATATTCCAATATCTTCTAACGATAAATGTTAATATAATGTTGCTCTTTTTCAAGATTGATAAGAAGAAATTACGATGAGAGAGTTACCTTTTCTACACTTTTGCAAATTACTGTTAATGAACAGAAATTATTTGTACAACTAATAATGAAATCTGTACAGAGTATATTTATGTACCAACATGCATTTGAAGTTTTTGAACATAAAAAATGTATTTGTTGGGGTAGTCATAACAGCATCTGGCTTGAGAAAGTCCACAGAGGTGAATGAAAAATTGCCTACCAATGTTAAAGTTGGAAGAGCTTTTCGTGAATGAATAGAGAGATCTTGCATAGAATAATGTGCATTAGTTTTTAATAAAATGAATTGTTGCCTCACATGAACATCTTTTCCCTGTGTTTATTTACGTTGATGAACTGTTTAATTCGATTTATCTGCATGATGACTCGATTCTTCAAAATACTGGAAACTCACGTCGATCTAAAGCATTACAAGTATGGAAAGTCATTAGGCATAGTGATCAACGCCTCTATAAATGAACCTTTTACCGCCTGACATTGTCAAACTAGAAAATTAACCAGAAAAATTCTCATATAGAATACATAATACAATTAATCACACTTTATTTACGATGCATCTTCGACTGATCAGATTTTGAAAGAAAATCGAGGTTCTGGAGGTTAAAATGAAATATTCATTAAAAAACAGTTTCTGCTTGCTATGCGGAAGACCAGGGCTAATTAATGTTGAGACAGGAGAAGAATGTTAGTTTCATGTCATTTCAAGGAATTTAGTTTGAGAAAAATAAAGATATAGTTATATCTGTATAGATTCATCCATCGCACAAGATCCAGGTATTGATTAGTTCGATATTATGACAAATTTGACAAAATATGCCTACTGCGCCATTCCTAAGTCATGTAAATAGCAAATGAGCTACATTTTATTACCATAAAATAAATGATATCATAGCTCTAAGAATTTTTACTAAAACCGTAAATAAAAAGAACCTTCAACATGTTCAGGGTAAATAATATGGTAAGCATGAAATTTTAAATATCTAATACAAAACCCTGCTGGCGATGACGCCATTTCGACGAGTTCATTAATTCATCCTTGTTCGGCACAGCAATGAATGATCACTCTTTAAATGACTCCACCGCTCTCGTCAATTCCTTGGTAGTATAGTGGTGAGTATCTCCGCCTGTCACGCGGAAGACCGGGGTTCGATTCCCCGCCAAGGAGACTATTTTTTTTTTACATACTTTTGCACTTTGAAGATTTCCATTTTAAGGAATATCAGTTTCCATGACAATGTATACATTATTACACAACTCTTTTAATAGCTTCAATTACATTTTTTTTTTCATGAAAGAGAACTCTCTTATTCTTCTTTTTTCAAATCTACTGATGATATTCACAGTCGATAATTATTGTCTGTGTCCTTCTTTATGACAATATTAGGAACTTTTAGATTTGCACGACTGCGACGTATCACGTATGACATCCATGTGACGTCCTTTTAAGGCACTGGTAGTGACGTCACATTGCCTTAAAAGGATGTCACAATATATAGCAGTCCACGTTCTCGTCGTGCAAATCTAAAAGTCCCTATTGCAAAGTAGAGGACAGCACCCTGTTAAATAAATTCATCTGAACAAATGTTAAATGAGACATAATATAGAGTGATACATTTTAAGAAAACAAATACGAGACTGTCTGTAAGAGCAAAACGTGCGTCTCCTTGGCGGGGAATCGAACCCCGGTCTTCCGCGTGACAGGCGGAGATACTCACCACTTTACTACCAGAATCTTGGTCTACAAGTTTTTGATGGTTAATAACATTGTCAGTTAAACGGACGAGTGACTCCGCGATGTTGGTGATCCGTATACAAATTTAAAGGACTTAATGAAGCCAGTATCGTTTCCAATGGCATTGTTATATTTTATAACACCATCGCAAAAACTATCTAAAAATCAACTTATGGTAATTTCAATTAGCATTGTGAACATCGTTTGTGTGTGATATAGAATCACCTTGGGTTGATTTTTAGAAAGTCTCTGCAGGCGTCTATTTTGTATGATATTTATTTGTACAATTTTCTTCGTATGGTTATTCAAGTTCAAGATGGGTTGGTTCAATATAATGATGTATATTTTAATGTTTGGTCACTTTGATTTTCTGTTGATCCTTTGGATAAAGTTCAAATTCAATATCATGAGCATCGTTGCAAAACAGTGCCAGTGGACTATGAGTGACCCCCAATAGACTTGTTTATACTAACACATTCAAATGAATGGATGTTTCCTTTCTGGGGACCTATAGGCCTAGTGATGAGTTAACCTTTTATTAATGAATAAACTGCAATACCGGGAATCCAGTCTGTAAATATTACTTGCTGCTATGCCGGACAAGCTTTCGGGTTGTCAAAAACATGTTTTGTGTACAAATTATGCATAGCATTTTGTATAATGTTAGTAATCGTGTTTATTCTGGCCTTATTTGCATACATATCCCGTTATTTTAGTTGATCTTCATAATACTTCCTCTTTGAGATAATGCATGTTACAAGGTATGTCTTTTTTCAATGAAGAGATTACTGCAACAGGGGGGGGGGGGGGGAGGCATAATTATGAAAGAGAAAGATACAGAACAAGGAAGTGGAGAAAGTATAAGTATAATATGAAATAAAGAGAGGGAGAGAAATGGAGAGTGAGAGCAAGACAGAGAGAGAGAGAGAGAAGGTGAGAGACAGAGAGAAAAAGTGAGAGAGGGGGAGAGAGAGGGAGAGAGAACGAGAGAGAGAGAGGGAGAGAGATGAGAGAGAGAGAGAGAGAGGTAGACAACATCCCGTATTCCCCTGACCACTAAAAATAGAATTTCTCTTGTTTACATGGACGTGTATATCGAACCTATATTTCTTCCACCAATGTAAAAGCAGCGTATCAATAGTTGAGATAACAATAGGAATCGCCGATATATGACGTGGAGCGTTTGACACACGTACATTTACGGTTTGTTGATATGGTGCAATCATTTTGTTTGCTTTCTATTATTAGTCTCAGTTAAGGGGTAGACTCACTTCACATTTGCCAACGTAATCAGGTAGCAATAATTTGGTAAAATGCTTTTTTTTGTTGTCCGTGTTTAAACAGCTATTTATTGTAAAAACACAGACAGAAGTCTTCCCGCTATAACATTAACATACAATTTTTTCTTGATTTCATTGATATACGTTGCTAAGAGTAATAGCCTAATACACGTAACCTGGGCAACTGATAAACAGACATTCTAAAAAAAAAGAGACGCATAATCAATTTTCATTATAATTTTGTTGTTATCATCATTATTTGTGTTACTATTATCATTACTTTCATTATTATTATTATTATTATTATTGATATCATTATTATTATCACTATGAATATTGTTGATATTATTATCATTATCATCACCATCATTGTTTTTGTTGTTATTGTTGTTATTGTTTAATAACTTTAATTACACCCTTGAAGACAACAGGAATGATAATCATGTAGGCATAGACATTGATATTACACGTAGAATATATTTATTTGATATATCTCTTTGTTTATGATTATGTAAGCTTACCACTCTCACTTTTCCATAAGTCTATATTGCATGAATATGAATGAAAAATATAATCAGGTCTATCCTGAAAATGAAATCAATATCATTTCGCCATGTCAAATTATTTAAAACCCCTTGCCTATGAGATGATGTAAAAAGACATAATCATTGTAGATAGCGGGTAGTGTATTTAGTCGCATTTTACTCATGTTTAGCCCCCTTCCCCTCTGCATTGTTTTTTTAACACCGAGGTATCCCTTTTATTCATGACAGTTCATTTGGTCGTTGACAGATGATAAATTCAAAATCACCATGGAGATAAACACGTCTTACTTCTACTCTGCAGGGAAAGGTGATTACCCAAATAATCTAATCAATTGCACCATAAGCCGTAAGATAATGATTCATTGATTAGTGTTTCATTCCTGCCTAATAAATATGGGTTAAAAGTACAATTATAGTGGTGAAAGACATGTCCCCAGAACGTCGAATGGTCTCACATCCGGGAACTTGTCATCAAACTTCCCTCTTCACCGCGATTGGTCGACGCGAGGCAAAATAATGACAGCTTTACTTACACGTGTCCAATATCGCATCATCGTGTTTTTCAATGCCCTGCGAGATTTGTTATAAAAGGTAGAAAAGGGATGCTGAAAATAACAAATTCTACCTTGCTCAGATCATGGTGAGACCTGGATGTTGAATCTATAATACTAAGGACTTACTCTCAAATAAGTATTTTTAACAGATCTACATATTTGTTGCATAGTGGATTGAATGCACACGGAGATTTGATATCAGTATTCCGAGGATTATCTTTTTTCGTGCTTTTGTACTCTTTTGGAAATTTGTCTTCATTGTTCGATCACCTGAGGATAATAAAGATGGGTTTGCTTATGTCTAAAGTGATGACTCTTTTCAAAGAATGGTCTGAAGGAAGTCCATCAAGGGTTCTTATGCTTGGTCTAGATGCAGCAGGTAGGTTTTCCTTCATTTATATTAATTACTTTTACGTGTTGAAACGGTTAACGACCTTCATCAAAGTTTATACCGATTAAATCTTTTCATAGATGATAAATGGTTTTTGTTTTATCTGTTATTAATAGTTAAAGGCTTACACAGATTACCTGTATTCATAAGACTCCATTAACACTTAAAAAATGGAACTCCTATTCAGTTTTCAATTATTATCCAAACTTGTTTATTTAGGAGTGGAAAGATCAAGCTCAATTATTCATTCTACCATCGACAAGAACTATATAGACAGGCAAGGGAGAAATGGATGAGAGGGGGCAAGGGGGAAGGGAGAGTGTGTGTGTGTGTGTGTGTGCGTGTGTGTGTGACTGAGAGAGAGAGAGAGAGAGAGAGAGAGAAGAAAAAAAAAGAGAAAAAGAGAGAGAAAGAGAGAGAGATTAAGACAAAAAGAGACAGAGAGAGAGAGTGGAGGGGTTGATCGGAAGGAATGAGATCGTTGTGCTGGTCAACCGAGAGATGCTCTCGGATGGGGGAGGGCTGGGACGAATCTATAGTCCTTTTTGGATATAATTATGGCATCCCAATAAACAAAATCACGTGAAAATCACGTCAATATCAAGGTATCGACTTGAGGACAGTTACGTTCTTCAAACACCTGACATTTACGTAAATGTGTTAATACGTTTATTGCACTAGGTAACTTAAAACACACGTACACTAAATCACGCAATTGTCACTGCAATATCACCATTATAATAACGTGATTATCCCTACCTTGGAGACCTTGGTTTGTAAACCTAATATTCCCGTGTTTGTTTGGTTATGAAATTACATCTTCATAAACGAAATTATCGCGTCACAGAAACACGTGAAGCGTTAGTGATAGTTTTAGTCAAAATATCTGCGTGAAATTCACGTGAATATTACGAGGCTGACTTGAGATGAATCATTTGAAATTATTTTAGTTCATAGTTAATGTTTCCCTTATTCATGTTTAACTAAATGTAATTTATACGAAGTAGCGAAATGTCCTAATAACTGGTAATTTATATTTGTATTATTTTCGAAATGAATTGCATATAACTAAATCATCAGTAATTAAGAAATATGCTGTAAATTCAGATAAATTGTTTAAAAAACATAGATCTGCACGCACCCCATTTTCAATATGCAAATTAACTGGTGTCAGCTGGTTCAACTCGAAATATGCCAACACTCAGTCATCAACCGGTGCAACTGGAAATATACACACTCCAGTTATCAACTGGTGCAATGAAAATATGCCAACAGTCAGTTATCAACTGGTGAACATAAAAATATGCCAACAGTCACGGTATTATCACCACGGAACTTAAATGGTAACTGTGAAACCATCAAGACACCCAAGAATAACTCATTTTCACACCTGAAAAACACGGAATACCCAGCTTATATAAATAATCCGTTTGAGTCACGATATCATCACCGCGGAACTGCTGGCAACGTTGACTATCATTCAAATAGGTGTTTTAAGACACCTAATCATGACTAATTATTCACACCTAAAAGTCACGTATGCCCAGCTTAGATTAATATTCCGTTTAAATCACGAGATCATCACCGCGGAACTGCTGGCAACTTTGACTACCATTTAAATAGGTGTTTTAAGACACCTAATAATTACTAATTTTTCACACCTAAAAGTCACGTATGCCCAGCTTAGATTAATAATCCGTTTGACTCACGGGATCATCACCGCGGAACTTCTGGCAACTTTGACTACAATTCAAATAGGTGCTTTAATACACCTAATCATTACTAATTTTTCACACCTAAAAGTCACGTATGCCCAGCTTAGGTTAATATTCCATTTGAGTCACGAGATTATCACCGCGGAACTGCTGGCAACTTTGACTACCATTTAAATAGGTGTTTTAAGACACCTAATAATTACTCATTTTTCACACCTACATATCATGGATTCACAGCTTAGATTAGTAATCAGCTTGAGCCACGTGATCATAACCAATAAATTTATGGTAACTTTGAAACCATTTAAAAAGGTGTGTAAGACACCTCCGAATTACTAATTTAATATAACCAGAGATTCACGGACAGAACAATAAGACGATTAGCCGGTGTAAGCAACGTGATTATTACCATCAACCTTGGATAACCTGTGAAACCAATCGATAAAGGTGCTAGACCAAATAATTGCGTATTTATCGCCACCATCGGTTAACGGACAAAAAACTCGTTGCCTGGTCAAGTGGTTATTTGGTCATAAACACTCCACTTACAAAGGTAAGTGGAATCACGTTATTCCAGTCGCGTAATAAACTGGTGGTTTTTAGGTTAAATGAAAACGTGAACAGGAATACCTTTTTTGTTTAAATGAAGGCACGTGTCGATAACGTTTAAATCTAGTTCAAAAGGCGCTATACTTTAAAATCACTTAAAATACACTCCCAAAAGAGGTTACTTTTTAGTGTTCTGTTTATTGGGATGTTGAAATATAATTTACACGATATTTGCAAATAAATCTATAACCCACACCCTCAACCTTCATATATCCATCTTTCTCTCCATTTCTAGGGAAGACCACGTGTTTGTACAAGCTGAAGCTTAATGAAACCGTAACGACGATCCCGACCATCGGATTCAACGTCGAGACCGTCACACCCTTACCAGGGTTATCATTCACCGTGTGGGATGTCGGCGGTCAGGAGAAAATCAGGGCACTCTGGAGACATTATTACTATGGCACACATGGTGAGAAATGTTTTGATATATTTTCTTTGCCCAATTAGTTATATAATTATGGTAGTAATTCCTCTGTGTATATTTTTATTTAAAAAATTCTGCAGTTCTGTATGTATGTAATATATATATATATATACCCATCTCTCTTGCGGGATGAATACAATCCATATACATACTACTTTTTTTAATACATTTTATCATATAATCTTTGAATTAAATATACCTACCTTTTGCAAAATGGGATACCATGACTCTTCTATTAGTTTTAAATTATATGATAACTATAATGCCCCCCCCCCCTTTTAAAAAAAATATATAAATGTTAGAATGGCATAGACTTTTTGCTAGTCCTGATCTGTTCAAAATATATCAACGTTTTAGTACTCAAGTAGTTTATAATTATTCGTTTCTCTTTATTCCTTTTCAGGTGTCATCTTCGTAGTAGACAGTCAAGACCGAGAACGATTTGCAGAAGCCAGAGGGGAACTACTCGGTATACTGGAAGCTCAAGAGATGACGAAGAACGTCCCTGTCTTAATCCTCGCCAACAAACAAGATCTGCCAGGTATTTATAGAATTATAACTCACTCATTGGATTAAAAGATGATCGTATTGTAAGCCACTCAGTGACAGAGACTCTATCTCTAACTGCTAAGAAAGGAAGTATGGCTTCATCATATTCAAGGGACATTTCGATTATTAGTTATGTCCTATATAAATTATATGAGTTTAAGCACACCGGATGGGTTTCGAACCCAGGATTTGTTGTTGTTATAAAGACACGTATACTGTATAGCATCAGATATATGTTGAGTGAAATTTATGCCTTGTGTAAGCAAGAACCATAATTCATCTTCTATAAATATCATTTTCTTGATAAAGGTGAAAGTTTAACAAAAAAGTAAAAAATTAAGAAGGATTTCCGAGGCATTTTCCGAGTATATCTTTGGAACCATTAATCATCCTTCCACGATATCAACCAACAATACCCATGCCTCTTATATCATTAACATTATCTTTCTTATCATTCTATTTCATTTGTTTAAAGGTGCATATGGCGTCACTAAATTGATCGACGAGCTCCAACTCCGACACCTTACCCAGAATCCTTGGCATATCCAAGGCGCATGCGCTCCAACTGGAGATGGTTTGTACGAGGGACTTCAGCAGCTTTCAAAGATGATCCGAGAATTCAAGAAATCTGGAGGAAAGACGTCCATGTAAGATGTACTTGAATAAGAAAAGACAATGGTGGGGCAGATCTACTCAGGCAGGTGTCACCGAGGGCGTCGATCCATATCTAGGGATATTATAATTATGTTGAAGAAGGGGAAGGATTGGCTATTAATAGGCGGCATATACACTCGATACGTCTTTCATTCTGCAATAAGGGGGGGGGGGTGTACTTGCAGGGTCATTAAAAAAATATGATCTTCAAGAATACAATATTGGGACCCATATTTGAATTAAACATTAAAAAAAACTTATTATGATTTCCATCAAACTCTCTTTAGCTCAATATAAATTAATTTGTCAAAGAAAGGTAAGAAGAGGGCTAAAATGTAATGTCAAGACAGAGGGATATTTCTTGCAACAAAATGTTTTTGATTGTCTTATTTGGGCTTCTGTAATGAAAATATATTGGTTGCATCGTAGACCTTTCCTAATCACAATAAATGCGTCCTTCTTTAGCTATTATACCAGTCTTTCATGCACTCTGAACGTACTTTGCAATAAGCCCTTTTAGACATTGATGTTGTCATAAATAATAACATTGATGAAATATCATGCAGCGATCAGTGATTATATACGTTCCCCTGGCATTATTTAGATACGCAAATCTATACGTTTTCTTTACACATTTCACATTCATGTCTACATTTTGAGAGCCATAACGTTGAAGCGTCACTTGATTTCGAAAAGTAAGATGGTAATTTTGTAGTTGTTGAGCTGAACATTTTGCAATGCACAACATTTTGTGTGTGCATATTAATGTGTAGCATATTTCAAAAGATAGAGGACACCATATTTAAGTAAACATAAAAATAGAATTGCTGGTTAGTGAAGTCTCAACTTTCTGCATTGAAAGACAATCTTCAAGTCCAGTTTCATTCGAGAAATATAGCATTGATTCTGCGAAAGCCAAATAAAACCAGAGGTTAAACATGTAATGCTCATCTTTTCCAGTTTACATAATGAATAAACCTATGTTTTTAATGTTTTCCCCAATTTCCACTGCTATGTAGATTTGTTTAAATAAAAAGGTCTTGTTTTTTCAAGAAAAAAAGATTAAATGTGTATATTTGTTATATAGTATTCATTACAAATATGATTACCAACTAATACCAATGTTTTGTTGAAAACATGAAAATGTATTTCTATTATATATTTTTGTTGATACAAATAGAGAGAGACATTTATACATGTATAACTCATGTCAGTCTATGCGATCCTTACATAACATATGCTTTTTTTTGTTCATGTAAAACTTCTGTTTATTGATAGTCCACCAAATGAATCGGTAGTAATCTAAGCTTATCTTGGTTGTCTAAATATCTTTTTTAAAAGATTATATTTTTTGTGACGAAAAAATATCAACATTTATGTACAAATATGTTGACCAATTATATGATGTTGTGTTTGTATATGCAATAGCCGAATCTCTACTCATATAGAGAATTAAATTACGTTAAGTTGATTTTTATGTTGTTTTTGTTGTTGAATGTGTTATGGATTTAGTGATCAAAAATTGTTTTGTACACATCCAATAACTAGTCATGTAATACGTAATCGTGTATATTTGTTGTTTGAGAAAAGTATGTGTATTATATATTTTATTGTAAATAAAAGCAAATTTCACTATATTGAACAATCATCTGTTTAATAATTTGTTGGATTGTATTTTTGTAGCTTTTTCAAATTTCAGTAGATATTACATTACAATATTATTTTGAACTAATCTATAAGTATTATTTTGGTGAAATGATCACCCTTCCTAAAAAAAAAGGGGGGGGGGGACGATTATTACTAATGGACATTTGATTACTAACTTTATGCATACTTTTAGAACAAATATTTTTCTTGACGACTGAAAAGGTTACCAGAGGCTTCTCCGACATAGCAAAAATTAATGTATGCAATGTAAATTCCATCCATAGAGATGCAATTTTGCATAGCAGGTGAATGGAGTAGTTGGTAACCAAGGGTTCGGGAGAGAAACATGCATAGTTACATTGAATTACATTAGTAAACAGGTTGTTTTATGAAATGTATTATTTCTCCAAGCAGAATTTATTCAATTAAAAACAAAGTAACTGCAAAAGACATCATTCAGAAGATAAATCAGTAACAATTCAAAACTTAATCCGTACATATTCCTTTTCATCCAAAACAATATATAGAGGCACAATAATCAAAATATACATACAGTGTATATATTTTTTGTATAAACAATGTAACAAACAAATAAAATAAAGCAATTCTTTGTACATACACTTCAAATAAAATATAGTACTACCCTGAAGATAGAGAATTACAAAAAAGAAAGAAAAGGGGCAGGGGTATGGGATATGTTAAAGTCCTCTTTATTTTGGTAAAATCTGCTTGTGTACACGTCATACAGCATAATTATGAACACTGTCACGGTTAAAACAAATAGACTATTATTATCGTTATCACTCGTCAATTCCTTGGTAGTATAGTGGTGAGTATCTCCGCCTGTCACGCGGAAGACCGGGGTTCGATTCCCCGCCAAGGAGGCCATTTTTTGTATATTTTTACACTTTTAAGATTTCCATTGTATTATACTACACATATTTATAACTTATCATTCATTGAGGAATATCAATTTCCATGACAATATAAATTATCAATCAACTCTTTTAGTAGCTTCAATTAAATTTTAGGATACAAAAGTGGAACAAAATCACACTGTCATTTTTGTAATGTATTCAAATGAATGAAGCAGATTGCATCGTTGCTGCTATATGCTGTCATGCTTTATTGAAATTATAACATGGTCGTCTTATAAAGAAGAATGGTACTCCCCCCCCCCCACTATTCAATAAAATATTCATCAAATTCCCTAGTCCACAGCCTGGACTGTTTCCGTGTCGCGTGCCCAATCAGCTGAGAAAATGACACACCCTAAACACTAAAACGGAAACAGTAATTGCCTTTCATTCTTACACCAATGATCTGTACGGACAAAATACAGATCAGTGACTTAAAAGATGATTTGAATTGATTTGATTTGATTTATTTTTCCACTCAAATTTTCACAAATTAAAATGACATATAATCATAAACCGTACAGTATTACAATATATAAAAGAACAAATGAATCATACAAGTAACGAAATACTGATAAGTATATACGTAATAAATAAGTTAGACAATTAGACAAAATATTTTATATTGCTTGATTTAACCATGGACCTATTACGGATGGACATTCATCGTTTTCTTAACAAATTCATTGTGAATGTCTCCGTCAATGTCGTCTCAATAACATTCCGTACATATTTCTTCACTTTGATCTCATGATCGTCACCGCCAAAAAGCCGGGACAGAATCAAGATAGTGATTTTACATACATGCGCAGAAAATAATTACTCGCCTAAGTCATGGGAAATCGATGTGCAGTTCTGGCTTATAATCGGAAATTGTTGTTCCGTGTACTGTATTTTATTTTGAAAAACATGTTGATATACTAGATAGAGTTTATAGTTGGATTATTTGTGATTTAAAATCCCGTTTCCCCCTATATCCTCATAATATTCCAGAGTTACAACGCACAGGGCTGATATAGATCATGACCTTCTAATTGTTTTATAAGGTCATAGGTGTGTGCGAAAGTTTGCGAATCAGTAATAATACATTTCATATCACCAAAATCGTCTGCTTTTCAACTTTGCTGCTCCCCATTGGGGATGCTTTCAGGCGCGGATCTACGGGGGGGGGGGGTTAGGGGGTTTAAACCCCCCCCCCCCTTGGGCGGCCCAAAAAAACAAAAACAAAAACAAAAAGGAAAAAAAAAAGGAAAAAAAAAAAAAAAGAAAGAAAAAAGAACACACGCTGGAGAGAAACCCTTTCAAATGCAAATATTGTGAGAAGATATTCAACTCATCTGGTAACTTAACCAAACACATGATAACTCTGGATATAACTGTGTATTAAACTGTTACTTGATTTAAAAAGACGTTATCATGCACTGCTTTTTATGGTCTCCATTGTGTTAATAGATGCCAGGAAAACATCACTTACGGGGTTTAATAAACACCCCCAAAAAATCGGCTCGCCGCTTTGCGGCTCGTGGACGATGCTCTGCATCGTCATTATTTTGGTCAAACCCCCCCCCCCCTTAGCAAAAAGCTAGATCCGCCCCTGGCTTTTATTTAAGACACACTCTTACAGAGCACATCATCCAAACAAAACCCAAGAGAGGGAAACTGCTCCTTTGTCAATGACCGAAAATGCTTACGCAGTCGTTATTGTTAAAACAGCTGAATGTTCTCATTTAGATGCACATAATCAGAAGGCGGTGACTATCATTGGATCAAAGAAAGAATCACGTTGAATGTCCATCCGTAATAGGTCCATGATTTAACTAAGAGGGGAAAAGGGGATTGAAGAATAAAAACAAATATATAGGCCTATAACATTTGACAGAATGTTGACTACCATTTCTCATACAGCAGTGCGATAGCCGAACAGGATCAGGAATCCCCGGCCGACATTGTGACGTGGAGTGCATGACATCACTCACTTCTGCGGTGTATTGATCGGTCCATATTGATCAGTAGCATGCATGTTGCTTTCTGTGTATAGTCTCGGTTAAAAGGCGTCACAATTTATTCCACTTCAACTCTGGTAAAGTATAACCAGACTTGCAAGTAAAGCGCATAGAGGCATGCAATCATGTCTAAGTGTTACGCGGTATTCAAAAACGTTTTGTAAATTAATTAATTAATTAGTATATATCACCAAAACGAGGGGTCAAAATGTGGTTACACCTCTGGGAACACGTCATCGGAAGTTCCTCTTTATTCTGCTAGGTTAACAAAGATATGGCTACACGTTTCACGTCTGTGATGTTGGATATGACTACACATTTCTCTTCGCGTTTTGTGATGGAAACACGCTGTTTGTCACTATGATTATGGCGGACAAAGAAAGCGGACAAAATATACAGTTCCTCGGGTAGACAAAGGAACATCTCTTCACTGCTATTATGTATAAATGTGTAGAACAGGTGTCACATGCATATTCACCTGTTCGACCCCAGCCCGACTATACAGACCTAACAAAATAAACATTACTCCTAAAGTAACACAAATTTGGTCGGTGTGGAGACAGTCTGGAGTCGGTCTGGAGTTAGCCTATCCGATAGGCGTCGGGCTAAATGATGATAATAATAATAATAATAATAGCCTAATAGTCCACTCCAAATTTTATTAAACCGACACGGAAATTCTTTTTGCCCAATTGATCGTGAGCCCGGCAGCCACTGAGCAGCGCCAGATCGACGTTGCTCTATCCCTTATTGTTGAACGCCAAACAAGGTAGCAACAACTCCCATCTTTTAACGTCTTTTGGTATGACGCGGCCGGGGTTCGAACCCACGACCTCCCAGTTGTGAGGCGGACGCTCTACTGACTGAGCCAACACTCCGGTGGTAACAAGTGTACATAATGCATGGCCGTCCAGAGGATTTTTTTATGTTGGGGACCGGGGTAAAATGCAATAAATTATTGAAAATTTATTGCATTTTCTGTTTTTTTTTTATTTATGGAAACTGCCCCCTACCCTAGCCCCGCTGCGTAGAGCCATGGTTCAGTGACAAAGCGATGGCCTCGTTACTGTGAGGCCCCAGGATCAAAACCGTGTCGATGTGCTATATAAGTGCCCCAGTTTTGTGGGGCATTTATCCTCATAACTGTCATTTTATGACTTAAGGGTGTAGGTCCCCTAGTTGATAAGCATAGTAGTATACACATGCTTTAGCAGTCACGCAAAACACACATTGTCAAATTAATATTCAATAAAATCTGAGAATGTATACTATTATCTAGATCTATTATTTTTAAATTATTTTTAAAATAATTCCATAAATTGGGGTAAAACAAAAATATTCCAACTATATGAGCGACGGTGTATTTAATTACTTGCAGAAAATAATTTCTACTGTTGTAACACCACCTATCTGTCGAATATAAGTACATGTTTTTACCTTGTATATGCGTTACTTTGTAAATTTTTTTCATATGCAGTTAATGTGGAAATAAAACCTAATACACATTTTTCACAATTTCAGAATTTCACAATTTGGAACTGTAAAAACAAATGTCTTTTGTGCAAACGATGTTCTATTTAATGGTAGATGAAAAGAGCTCGCCTGGCGAGTGAAGTAACTATGAATCGAATTATTTTTACGAACATATCATTAAAAGGCAAAGGTAATTGTACAGTGTACATTAACTGTCCAAGCTGAAAAATATACAAGTCTTTAATTTTCTAAATGTTATTATTCAGAAAAATATTAACGACAACGGGACCTACTGTTGAATTCTGTGAACACTCAAACTCCCTCTTTCACTTCTGTCCCCTGCATTTCGACATAGATAAAATCTCATATTTATTGTCAATATTTATGTATAGGCCTATACGTGTTTCAAATTCACACAATATACCGTGTGAGTCAAAAAAAAGTTTACACCTAGAAAATTGCTAATTAGTTTAAAAATCATCTATGAACAGTAAATTGTTATACATCATATGAAAGAGTGTTTTATCCCAAATCGTTTGGTATCATTTTTGTGTGGTATGTGTTCACGCTTGGATGAACAAGAGGCATTGTTTGCGAGAGTGCAAAAATCGCCTTGCGCCAAAGTGATGCCATACAGCATGTATTATGTTGGGATTAGCGGAGTGAGAGAATGTATTGAATGTATCAAATGAAATGCATTGCTTATGGTTTTTGCACAAGCAAAGTCACAACACACATACACACGCAGGCACAAATGTTCGTTGATATTTGATATTCGATATTTGATATGTGTGGCATGATTAACTTTGTCAGGATGTTATTTGGATCTGCAAGGACCGAATAAATACCCAAATCCCTATTGTTTTATTCAAACATCACATAAGCAACTTTGGCGCAAGTCGATTTTTGCACCCTCGCAAACAATGCCTCCTGTTCATCCAAGCGTGAACACATACCACAAAAAATGATACCAAACGATTTGAAATAAAACACTCTTTCATAAGATGTATAATAATTTACTGTTCGTAGATGATTATTAAAAAAATTAGCAATTTTCTAGGTGTAAACTTTTTTTGACTCACACTGTACATCTATATTAATGTTTTTTAACCCCCCCCCCTGTGTGTGTGTGTGTTTCTCTCTCTCTCTCTCTCTCTCTCTCTTTCTCTCTCTCTTTCTCTTTCATCTCTCTCTCTCTCTCTCACACACACACACATCTCTCTCTCTCTCTCTTTCTCCCCCTTTCTCTCTCTCTTTCATCTCTCTCTCTCTCTCTCTCTCTCTCTCTCTATATATATATATATATGCCCCATCTCTCTCTCTCTCTCTCTCTCCCCCCTTTATGCCCCATCTCTCTCTCTCTCTCTACAAACACACACACACACACGCGGGCCTTTTCTCCTATCATTCAGGTTCAAAGGTCCAAAACTACATCAATTACTTTTCGAACTTCACATAACACAAATACAAAGTAGCTTAACATTTAACAATTTGTTTATATATATATATATATATATATATGAATTATTGAATACAGGAACAACTTAAGCTACATACTATTCTATGTAACTAACATAAATGAAAACTTAAAAGTATGGAGGTAGATCAAAGAATCAAGATAAAAGCATAGGCCATCTATCATTAGCATGAATGCTTGAGTCGACAGCACCTGGGAAGGGGGGGGGGGTATATGACGCTGTTATAGGAGTATGCAGGAGAATAGAGAGTCACGTATAAAGATTTGTTTCCTTCTCTTCAGAACGTATCTAAATAAAAAGTGGGCAGAAAGAAAGAACAAAATACATTTTTCCATCTTTCTTCTTCCCGTGTATTTTTTTAAACTTTGTTTCATTTCCTTCTTTTCTTATGTCCTTCTACTCAGTGATTTCAAATATTATCTTACGTGAACCTTCTATGTATCTTGTGATTATGCCTTCTTCCGTCTTTCTCTTTTTGGCATTTTCCAATACTGTTACACATAAAGTTCTATTCTGGTCATACAATAAAGGTGAGACAAACTATATTGAGCAAGGTAAATAGATTATGGAGCCAATAATAATACATTGTGTAGTCTGAGGGTTTACAATAAGGAAATTGAAAAGGAGATGGCTAAATTGAGCTGAACGTCCATATACAGTGGGACTATAACAATGTGGAACTACACCCATTTACATAAATGGTTTGTTTTATTGAAAATCATCTCGCAGCCCGAAGGCTGAATTGTGTGAATTTTTACAAATTGATAAAAACATTACAATACAATAAATACATGTGAAATCATGAATGTTTTGTCCAAACTTTAGAGCTCAATCTCAAGAGCTCAAGTATATTTCGACTTCGAGGGCATTTGCAAATTCAATCTTTTTCAGGGGCATTTCTCTTATGAGTTTACGCACAAGGAATTAGAAAGCTCATAAACTATTTTCACCTTCACCAGGACATAATCTTCTCGTTAAAGGGAAATCCAACTCTAATAGCAAACTATTATAAAAGAAAACCGAGGAGCAGGCTGGTACAAGTTTGAACGAAATCGGACAAAAATAAGAAAGTTATGAATATTTTATTTTGTAAGCTGTAATCACTAAACGTAATGGGCACTTCAATTTTCTGAATCGGTAGAGTCACTATGACGAAGCGCCGGGCAACTTTCCCATTGTTCCAACATACGAAATGACATAAATCATAAATGTTAATTTTTCAAAATATATGACTCGAGAGTATCATTTATTTTTAGAGAACATTTAATAATATGTTATCCACAATATATTTTGAATATCGCCCCAAGGGAAAAGGCGCTTAGGAGAAAAACAGCAACACGAATGGGAGAGTTAATAATTATCCGCAACAACGTCACAATCCAGTAACCAAATTGCCTATTTGAGATTTGCATAGCTTTAGTGATCTCATGTTTCAAACACTCATACACTGTCATAACTTTCTTATCATTAGTCCGATTCATTTCAAACTTTCGCCAATCTGTTTCTCTTATTTCCGCTTTCATACAAATAAAATTATTACAGAAGTTTGATTGCCCTTTAAATTATATTCTTCGAGGCCATCTAGGCAGCATTCGTGAATTTTCTCATTCTAATTAAATGTCTCAACAAATAGAGACGGTGTGTTAAAAAGATTGACTTGGCGAAAGGTGGGGGCGACATCTCTAATTTATAAAAAAAAAATCTTTTGAGTTATATTAGTAAACTTCATTCAAATACAGGAACATTAACAATACATAAATAAAACAATTACATAAACAAGTCAATCAACAAGTGATATGGTTTCGTGAGCGATCACAAATTAACAATAAACAATGTAGCTTATAATTATACAGTGGTAAATGATATAATAACTAAATAATTATAATTAAATCCCATTATTGTGCGCCCCTGTCCCACAGCTGCTAATATAGATTCACGCATACTGGTGTCCTATAGCTAGCACCTAAGAGGCTCAGAACAAGGTAAATTACTTAGACCTTGATCCTAACTTCATACATTTCGTCATAATACTTCATAGCCTGATCGGTACATCTATTGACGTCAGGTCGAACGTCGTCACGTAAAGGCATCTTGCTTGCCGGCAGAAATTCGCTGCTCCTGATAGCTGTGTCGAAGAAGTACACCATCTTCCCTAAGATGTCGTTCGAAGGAACCATCCAACTCTTCGTCACTTCGGAAGACCCATCCCACTTCAAGAGCGATTCGTCGTATGGCAGCCCGGCCGATCGGCAGATCTTCGGTAGCAATTCGGCTGGATTCGTCAGCAGATCATCGCCGTCGACAACAATGGATTCGGAGTCTAGATTTTCTATGACATATTTCCACATGTAATAAACATCTTTATGCACCGAGTCACCTGCTTTTCGGAACGGGTGGTCGCGTCCGATATCGAACGTTTCCTCAACTGCGGATTCGCCTTTCAACATCCCCCAGGCTGATAGTTGGTCAAATGCTGATTTTCGAAACGAATTATACACTCTGAGAGGATGTCGAATTAAGAAGATATGCTTGAAGCCCTTTGGGATGAACTTGTACTGTTCGGGTGAGAGGGCCATATCCTTCACCAAGACATGACGGCTTACTGACTGCTCCAAAAAACGACCGATCGATGCATAACTGTAAAAAGAAGGGGAAAAAACGGGGCATGAAATAAAAGTATGATGTAAAACTACTTGTCTATAACCAAAATCAGTCTTTCGTCGGGCCTGAACATGGCCAATCAGGGCCCTGTTTTATAAAACTTGTTATCTATAACAAGTTACAATAACTGTATAAATCTTATAATCTCCTGAACTCGTGGCATTTGATTGGCTAAGACGAAATTTGTCATAGTCATTTGTTATTGATAACGATTTTTTTTGTAAACTGGCCTAAATCCTGCACCAAATTAAACATATTCTACTGAACATCTCTCTCTCTCTCTCTCTCTTTCTCTCTCTACACACACACATACACACGCCTTTTCTCCTATCATTCGGTTTCAAAGGTCCAAAACTACATCAATTACATTTCAAACGTCACATAACACAAACGAATAATTGCTGTTAAAAATATTTTATTAGAAGAAACCTATAAATGTGCTTTCGAACTTCACTAAAAGGAAACGAGTAGCAGCTGTTAATATCCTTTATTATTATATTCATTATTATTCACACACACACAATAAAGAAATTAGCAGATGTTAACAAAATATTCTAATTGATTTACAGAAATGTGACAACTGTATAGTGTGGTTACACTCTGATCGTCTAGCCCAAACTTTGCAACAATAGGTTACGTGGGGCACGATAAATTTTGTTTCTTGTTTAGTGAGGTCCGAAGTTTCTTTAAAGCCCGTCTATACTAGTTTAACCAGGAGGAATTAGACCACCCTGCGTGGTCACTGACAGGTGGTTATCTCATCAACTCAGCTCTCAATTAACATAAGAAAAAGAGGACCATGAGGGACCAACGGGCAACGCTTAGGCATTGTTTTCTATATAGAGGGAGCAAGTAGCTACAAGTAGTGCAAAGGGGCTTTAAGACCCCACATTTTGTTTTAATTGTCAATGCTACACTTTCTACGGAAGATTTAGGTGTATTGTTACTCCTAAGCATCTGTATATTCTGTCACACAGTGGTAGTGATGATGCGTGATTTTTTTTTTTCTGCCCCCCCCCCCAAAAAAAATGAAATAAACGTGTTTGCTCATAACGCCACTGGAAGGGGTGTACGTGAGCATTATCTAAAGAAAACTTACGAAAGGTTCTCCTGTCTCGTTGTGTTCATCAGCCCGATCTCTCTAAAGTGATCAGCCATTCGTTTATAAATCTCTTCATTCCCTTCGTATTCGGCTGGTAAATCATGGTCTAGCTGTTGCTTTGTAATCACTCTGGCGTATCTGCAGTAGATGTAGGGTTCGAACCACACTTGGATGCCTTCGATGAAACTAAGACACTTGGTGAGAGCCGTAGAAACAGAGCGAGGTACACACCAGATAATTGTACGACTTCCACCATCACGAGCAGCTCGCCCTTCACTTGCAAGGGTACCTTCTGCTATTTCACTTCCAATGCAAGGTAATTCCATGATTTATATTCAAAGGTTCAAAAGTTCGGTTTAATCTTTAAAAAAAAATGGTTGAACGTGTTGAAAATTATTATACCATGTAACAAAGTCGGAGTAACATCCACATGAACACACCTGTAGTTAGTTTCATTAGGGTTCATGCTTTCAATTGAAACGGCCGGAAAGCGGAGTTTCTTCCCATACGACCCCATTCCATGCTCCAACGCATACACCTGCAAAGGTTAGTGGCATATTTAGACAAACATTATTGAACCCTTGAACTCTATTCAATTCAATTCAATTCATTCATTTTCCCTCTTTCAATTTGTTTATTGATTATTATGAATAAATATTTTATAAAACAACAATAACAATAACTGATTCAGTAATACAAAAATCTTTTTTTTTGTTAACGCAAAACGATGATAAATAGGCCTACATACATAAAAAGAAACAATCAAAGTTACACAAACATCAAAGTTGCATTATCTCACAATACATATTATATTTAATTGGGGAATGAAATAGCCTAGTCACTATTCAGAACAAAGCTTTGGGGTCTACTTTCGAAAATTTGTATCGAATTACACTGATCATTTGACCATCCAAGTCTACTATACAAACTTTCACACTATGGTATACGTTGAAGGGCCTTGCATATTGCTCCGGTTGTCTCATTTTCGCCAGCACAAACGTAGCTAGTTCGCGTATAGCAGACGGCAATCGGCGGATCAGACGACACTTGACAGTGATTTTGTATGTGAGATTGCTTTGCTAAGTATAATATACAAGAACCTTTTCCATACTCTTTAAACTATCATTGATATCTGATAATTAAATAGTTAGTAAAATAAACCTACCAAACTACATAATACAATGAAATACTTGACTGAAAGTAGGGGAGTTTGATGTGGGGCACAATTGCACCCCTCTGTTAATGATCGAATAGTCCATGGTGTTCATGAATATTCATGTTTTTGCTTACCTCGGCAAATTGCTTGCCTATACTAAATGGACAAATTACGGTGGGGGGTTGGCTGAAATGGACATAATGAACAAATCAGAACTGATGTATGATAATTCATACTTGTTATCCTTCCTGTGCTTGACTTGTAACCTTACAATTGAGTGGTAAATTGCGTCCAAAGTTCGACTTGTTGCACATGTGTTATATAGGCAAAGGCGAGCTGGCGACGTATTTTGACCACATTACGGTGGGTAAACTTTCAAAAGTCAATGGGAAATGAGGGTTCCAATGAAAGAGCTAGTGATAACGTACGTCGGGGTGGATGTGCTTTTCGTTTAAACAAAAAAAAAATGAATTTTTAACGATTTTTGTGGGTAAAAGTCCATAGGCTAACATGTTTATAGGCTGCTGGACTCTGACGATAGGGGGCGTTGTCAAATGAGACTAAACGGAGCTATATGGAGGGGTTCTAAAGCTACCTCAGGGGTAGGAAACAATACGTATATATAAATGGAGTAGACTCAGCCTTTCTACAGTTAATTTGTGGAGTTCCACAAGGATCTCTTCTGGGTTCTCTTTTATTTATATTGTATATGCATGACTTTCAAAACTCTTCCAATGTTTTGTCGATTATATTATTTGTTGATGATTCTTCCGTGTTTTTCTCACACAAAAACCCCAATGCACTACTTGAAACAGTTAATCTTGAACCGAAACTTGTTGAAGAGTGGATTTGTGCTAACAAACTTTCCCTAAATTTAAAGAAACCTCAATGTATGCTCTTCAGTAACTCTATTTCGGGGGTTGCCTAGCAGTGTTTACATAAAACAGTTATAAACTTAATAGGTAATTCTTCAAAATTCCTTGGTTTTTATCATTGACAATAAACTTTCTTGAAAAGAACACAACTTATATTTGAGCAAAACACTATCAAGGAACATTGAAATAATAAATTCCTGTATATGTTGGAAAGTTTGTTCTCGACGCTTATCTTGCCTTATCTTAACTATGGCATACTTGGATGGGGGAATTCGTTTAATTACCAGTTTGAAAAATTATTGATACTTCAAAAACGCGTCATACGAATAATCTGCCACACTGATAGGTTAAGCTACATCAATAGTTTATTTAAATTTTAAAAAAAGAAAAGAAAGTTCATGACTTGTATAATTTCTTGTTAGGCTGTTTTATGTTTAAATTAAATTCTAACGAACTTCTTCATGCCATCACGTAGACATTCCAAAATATCAACAACTTCATAATTATCCAACCCGGCAGTCTTCCCTTTTTCACTTAAACAAACTGAGAGCTTTACTGAAAACAACACTTTTATCTATACGGGTCCGGTGTACTGGAACTCCTTAGAAATGCCGCTCAAACTGCTGCCAAATTTAAGTACTTTCAAATATCTCTTGAAACTTAAACTTCTTCCTCAGAATGAAAATGCTTAAGAAGGTCATCATGATGGAGTACATCGTTATTATCATACCTCGTTGGTTGGCTGCACCACATACCCGTTTTTGCTTTTGTTTTGTCTTGTTATTCGTTTTTATATATTTTGTAACAAACGTATTATATTAAGGGAACCTTAATCACAAGCATAATGCTTCCAAGGTTTCCTTCTCATTACTGCAGATTATTGTTAGCATCATTTGTATTTAATTTCTTGCATAAAATAATTTTTACTGTTGTAACACCACCTATCTGTCGAATATAAGTCCATGTTTTTTACCTTGTATATGCGTTACTTTGTAAATTCTTTTCATATGCAGTTAATGGGAAATAAAACCTAATACAACATTTTTGAAAGAGAATTCCACAATTTGGACCTGTAAAAACAAATGTCTTTTGTGCAAACGATGCTCTATTTAATGGTAGATGAAAAGAGCTCGCCTGGCGAGTGAAGTAACTATGAATCGAATTATTTGTTACGAACATATCATTAAAAGGCCAAGAAAGGTTCAGTGGAGCCTGCATGTAAGAGTGGGGGGATGGGGATTTTTTTTGTCGACCCCCCCCCCCCAAACGTTTTAGCCACTGCCGTTGTCACCATTACGTACCACTATTTTGCTCGCATAATTTCAAATTTGGCCCCCCCCCCTAAGAAATCCTGGATCTGCGCCTGCCCCTTTCCCTTTGGACCCTTACCAACTCTCCCTATATTTCTCTCTTTTATCAGTCCTTCGAGCTTGAGCTCTCTTTTTCCTTCTCTTTTTGCTCGTATTTCGATTGTGATGCTGCTCCTATTCTCCTTTCATATTCAAATTTATATTCATACCTGAATTTATTCATGATGTGATTCAGAATTGTATTTAAAATTCTTGCTATGTATAAGTCATATAACTGTCTTGTTATGTGTTGTGCTGAAAGCCAAAGACTTTTCTTTATAGAGTCTTGACGCCCTTCTGGCTTTCAGCACACGACACCATGTTTTTGTCTTGTGTTTTTACATGGAAAACAAATTTCTGTATTATATATGGACAATAAATCTTAAATTTTGAACCTTAATCTTTGTAAATGAATCTACTTGTTGTCAAATATGAGGTATCCTTGTGCAATCAGATCTCAAAATATATATAGCCATGATGTAAGCACCATGCTTTCCAAGCTTGGCTAGGAGGACAATTTACATGTTGAGACAACTCAAACCTTTCCAGCTCCCCTAGCTGTGAGGATATTTTGACTGTGTACACTGGTAACGTTAATCAAGCCTTTGGTGGAGTATGCCTGTCTTTGAGTGGCACCCATGCCCTAATAATTAACAATGTAGGCCTACGCACATAATTATATCAAAATATACCATTTTCGTAATTCAAATAAATGTTAATTTGATTACTTTACTAAAATGGCCTATTTCTTTAAAGGAACTATTATGTCCCACTTGCAGGTCACAAAAAGAAAAGGTTAAATTTCAAAGGCATTTCAGTGAAAGACAATACTTATTTAGAACTTCCCTCAAAACGAAAGGGTTTGAAAATGGCTGTTGTGTGTGTGTGCAGGCGAGTACGCAGGCGAGGGTTTTGGGGTTAACCCCCCCCCCCTTGAGTTCTTTTTATGTGTATGTTTTATGTAGTTTTTGGGGAAACCCCCCCCCCTTTGGTTTTTGGTTTTTTGGTTTGTTTTTTAATTTAAAAAAAAAAAAAAAAAAATTATGCCAATGGCTGACCTAAAAAAGGTGACCTCACCCCCCCCCAACGGAACAAAATGTCAATTTTTCAAATTTCAAGACCAACCCCCCCCCCCCCCCCCGCTTATTCAGCGGCTGGCTGAGTCGTTGCGATTTTTTAGGGACTCCGAAAAGAACAAAAAAGTGTCCGCTTACCCCTTCTACGGCTGATGTGGCCCGCCCAATTCCATTTCCTTCTTTTCATCCACACCATACTTTAATTTTGCGAGATATATTTCCTTAGTGACCAATTAAAAAAAAAACGTTGTTTTTCAGACTGGGGAAAGACTAAACAATTACAATTTTACTTGATCGTATAATTATGTTTCGTAGTTTCCCCCAATCTTCTATCAATTAACGTTATGTCTACATAACATATATTCAATAATTAATTTTGTTTATGGTGTCTATTTCGAGGTAATTTAGGGGTGATCTTTGTTGTTAACAGTCAAGACAAAGACTGGTTTTCTGAGACAAGAAGAGAGCTACTAGGTGCACTTCGAGCTCCAGAGATGTCAAGGAAAATCCCTGTCATCATTCTCGCCAACAAGCAAGATTTACCAGGTATATATCCCATATGTTACAATTTAGTTTTTCAATACACCAAAACCACATAAGAATTTCTCAAGAATCAGCGTAATGGTTTGAACAGTTGAAGTTATAGCTTTGAAAGATGTAGATTGTGTTCATTAATCACATAATTAAAAAAAATCTTTCACATTCTAATCTTGTCATGCTTGAATTCTACCGTTGAAAGAGGGTTCTAGGACAATTACCCCCTGGGCATTCACCCCCGGCCAATTACCAATTGTCCCAGGAGGCGCGATAGCTCAGTTGGTAGAGCAGTGGTCTCGTATCCGGCGATCCGGGTTTGACACCAAGGCGGTGCACTAGTGCCCTTTGGTAAGGCATTAATCCTCATTACCAGGTCTTTCGGAGAGGACCTAAAGCCACCGGTCCCCTGGT